AAATAGGCGCAGGGGACCTTTAGGTGGTGAGGGAGAAGACCTGACACCTTCAAAAATTACACGACATCTGTATCCACAAGGTCCCGGTCTGGGTCTTGAAAATACAAGTCAATCCCTACTGATTTTCTATGGTGAGGGACTTGGCCGGGCAGCCTGCGATGGCAATTGGCGGCAGCCCGGCAAACATCACAGGGCACCCAAAGGGGGAGGGGGGGGGGGGGGGGGTGGGTCGAGACGCGCGCGTCTTCTTGTTTTGTGGGGGGGGGGGGGGGTGGGGGGGGGGGGGGGGGGGGGGGGGGGGGGGGGGGGGAGGAAAAAAGGGCGGGGGGGGGGGGGGGGGGGGGGGGGGGAGAAGGGGCCCAGGGGCGACGGAATGGGGGGTTCGAACGGGTACACTAACGGGCGGGATTGGCACTATCATGCTGGGCTGCAAAGTGTCTGGTATTTTGGAACATTGTTCTAGACTTTTATATCCCAATCAGAGCCATCCACCACTCCACGTTGCTTGAATGAAGCTGTAGCTGACACTCCAAATCTGTGTGTCAATCGTTCTATATTCGAAGAGGTTTTTCATTCACAAATGCTAGAGGGAATCGGAGCTTGTTGATATCGAGGACGCAGATATCCCGCCCGGCACCTCGAATTCATCGAGGTACATATACCAGAAGACGTACCGCGTAATGGCCAATGCGGAATCCCATCCAATGACTTCCCTCCTCTCCCCGTGCGCAGTCCTCCCATGTGATCCCATCATCCAATCCCATCCCGTCAAGAAGAGTGGAGCCACGAGGCGTGAGGACGCTGAGGAGTGGAAAAAAAAGAAGAGGACCTGGAAGGAAAGGACCATGCAAAACGCTACGCCGCAATGCCCAGCCCAGCCCCGAGCTCAGCCAGGCCCAGCTGTCAGGGGCTGCCACCCAAGACTTTCTCCAGCTTTTCGACTTTCGCTCATGTACCCTACGAATATCCGTACGCACTCTACTCTATCTGTACTCTATCTGTACAAAGTAGGGATATTCAAAAGCAAAAACCATCCGTACGAAAGCACGAGCACAAGGCCACATGTACGAGAACCTGAACAAGCCCTCCCGGCGAGAGTGATCCGTGTGTGGACTTTGGAGGACAGACACCATCACAACACGTTCGGCAATGGAAGATGCACTACTCGGCCCACCGAGTCTTTCCAGGTTCTTAATGGGCGCAACAGAGATAAAAAGTGGAGGTATCACTGTGCGATGGGGACTTGTCGGATTCGACGTTCCAGTTCGAGATTGCGGCGCCTCATCAGCCCCAATGGCAACATGATCCTGGCGCATGGCACATTGCAACCCGCCAAACACGTTGGATTTCCCGCGAGGCCCCGTCAACCCAGCCTCTACCCCCAATCTCTCCTGCCGAGATTGATGGGTTTGTCCATGCCTGCCTCCGCGCCCCCTTGCTTGCCGCTGCCGCTCGCAGTCTTCCCAGCTGGAGCCAATGAACGAGATGAGATGCAAGCTATCCGTACAGCACTTTGAAAGTCGAAGGCACGTCGAAACGACTGACCGTCATACGCCGCAATCCGACACTGGGCCGCCCCCAAGTCCGCAACGCACCGCGGGCGGCGTGCCATTGTCTCTGGCGCCCTCGAAACCTGGCCTACAAGGTCTCTCCCTACAGACCGACAACAGCTGACCAGCGGGCCCGTACTACACTAAACTCGCGACTTTTGCCTCCGTCCAGTTCCCGGATGCGCATCTCTGCCCGTCAGTCATCATCACGGAAACGCATTTTTTATTTTTTGGCAAGTTGGGAACCCGGCAGGCCCTGGGGAGGAGAGAAGAGGAAACTCACGCCCGGGACACGAGTTTCCTCCAGCCGTCGCCTCGTGTGCTCGTGTTGTGATTACGAGCCCTCGCCGCATTCACGACAAATGCCACCGTCGCATCCCTTCCCTCGAGCCACCAAGCCTTCAAACTTACACCTCTCCCTTGGCATCTTTTTCCTCTTCCGCTGATGCGCATGTCTCGGCGCATTCGAGAAAGCACCTCGCCCACATTGCGCTGTAAGGTCTAGTTATCATGGCCAAGTCAGGACAGATTTCGCCTCGACGCCTTAGCTGGTGGAGACGCTCATCCCACCTCATGCCACCCATCCAATGCCGCCGCCAAATTGCCCATCTTGTGACCCTGAACTGGAGTAAAGGAGGAGTCGAGGAGTCGCCTCTCTGTGCAAAGCCACATCGATTTCCAAGAAAATCATAAATTGAGCCACCCTTGAGAAGCCTTGCGAAGGGGGAATGCCTTCGATCCATGGACCCGGCAGGGAGGCTTCTCAAATCGCTCAACATGCGACGTGACGCACCTCTGCGCGTCCGGCCCACGATCCATTATACCAAGCCGCAAGGGCTGGCAGTTCCCACTGTTCCAGTTCCCAGTCTTCCAGAACACTTGAGCACGCCAAAAAGTGGGGGGTGACGAAACCAACGTGACATGCCAGTGCCACTGCCGCAGGCAAGGAGAAGAAAATCTACAATCCACATCCCGGGACCGCCCGGCGTCGAAGTTCGTCCGTGGCCATCTTCACTTGTGGGCTCTTGGTGCTACTGCCACTCAATCATGTAATTACTACATTGTAGGTATTTCTATCTCTATTTTCTTTAGTTCTGGCCGTGATCGCACCCGGTCAATTCTCACAATCCTCGAAGGGTGAACCACCGGCCCTCCCCACCCTTCCGTGGTGAGATCCGAATATATTCCGGCCGACTTCCGGAGAACGCCACACGGACTCCCGCCCCGTCCGTCCCATCCTATACCATTCCAACTTTTTCCAACGACCAAAGCAAACAGCAAATCGTCTGAATACACCGTGTCAGGCTTCTTCTTACTCTCTTCCTTTTTCGTGACTTCATTTGTATTGATACGCCAAGGGGATCCGCTTTGGGGCAACTCATGGGGGAAATCAACGGGACAACAGTCTCGAGATTATTTGGCGCATAGTAAAGTAGGATAGTGTGTATAGAAGCCATCAAGAGAATTCTCACCAACAAGTCGAGAACCCTCCCCCCCATCTACTCAAGAGAACGTTGCAGAAGGGGCAAGAAAGACAAAAAGGGGTCGTCGGGAGGTCCAGAACATGGATAAACAACGCTGATGTCACCCCACCCCCAAACGGCAGTACGACTTACCAACACACCAGCATCATCCCAATCCGAGCTACAATATCAAAGTTGCATCCGTCATTCCCTTCCTCATAAAAAACATTCAGCTGGGAAACGTCATCATTGAATCAGCCTTGCCAGACATCTCAGCCCCCTTCCTCGGGGGTAGCTTCTCCTCTTCAAGCACCCAAGCCCATCCTTGCGTCCTAATCTCGACTGGAGTCCGTCCCGTCCCGTTCGCAACACACTGTGTATGTGTGTGAGTGAGTGAGTGAATGAGTGAGAGAGAGAAAGAGAAAAGACCTCCTTCTCCGCCTTTCCGTCAGACATTCCTAGTATACCCAGTGGCGGAACACATTCGAGACCTAGAATCTTCAACATACCTTATTCACATGCGCGATTGGCTCCCTTCACGACGGGGCTCAACGCGTATATAAACGGATACCACCAGTGTACGTACAGACACATTTGCTTGCCCATTCGCCGGATTGCGGGCGCACACACGCAAGTACCGGCCGGCCTAGCCCCAGGACCTCCGAGACATCACCCACGTCCGACTACTCGGCTCCGGGAGCTTCCCTCCCTCCACCACCACCACCACCACCACCACCACCACTACCACCACTCCTGACTTCCCCCGCACCAGTGTCACATTTTCCCAACCTCCATTCCATCAGCTCTCAACCCGTACCTGACAAGCACCACCTTTACTAAATAAACTAGGTACCTGGCATCTACTGCGGGTGGGGAACAGAGAGGGAGAGGGAGAAGAGGGGTAACTTCACAGCCTCCATCTTACTATACGAGATGCGACTACACGCACACACCCACTCACCCCATGGAGCTCTCAACGTTCACGTCTCAAAGATACAATGGGTAAGATTCTATAGTCGGTTTGCTGAAAGAGCTTGCAAGCCTTTTTTTTCATTTCTGTTTTGTTCTCTTGTTCTTGCCATCATACCCATGAAGTCTTTGTCGTTAATCGTCGTTATCATCATCATTAGCGGCGCAGAGGCGTCGCAAAAACAAAAAGGCGTAGGATCATGGAATCCATCATCCTCCTCCACATCCAAACCCGACCCTTCTTCCCTCCTTTCCACTTCTTCTGTTCCCCAAACATCTCATCAGTTCAGTCTCTTTTCCCCCTTCCAGTCGTTCTCGTTCTCGTTCTCGTAATGTTGTGTTTGGCTCCGCTACTTTCCCATCTCATCCATCATACCCCTCTGCCTGATGATAAGCTCTCATCAGTCTCACCAACCCCTCCCAAAATCGAACGGAGAGCGTGACAGTCATCAAAGGAAGCCCCTATGAAGGAGCCAAAAGAAGTTGAAAAAATCGAGATGCTGAACCTCTCCAAGGTACCCTCGACCACGTCGGCAATGCAGAAGAAAAAAAAAAACGATGCTTCGCTTTTGAGGCCATGAATAGGAGGGGTTCTTCTGCCCGTGTTTAGTCGTCATCTCACCCCCTGACCCCCAGATTTTGTCTCGAAAACAAGCGTGGAAAAGAGTAGAAATCAAAATGCCGAGTCCACGTCTCAAGCTCATATGAGTCTAGCCGCCCCATCATCATCATTTGTTCCAATCTGTGTGGAAAACCGTCATTTTCGAGCAAGCAAGAAAGAAAGTAGCCCGAGCCCATTCGATATCAGATCCCGAAGCCTGGGAACAAAACGCAAGATGTTAAAAAAAAAAAAATTGTCGAGAGAAGAAAAGATGGTCGGTCGGCCAGAGTCGCCTCCGGTTGCTGATCCGTTCGAAAATGAGGGACAGCCCTTGGCTGGTACTGTACAATCCCAGCCAAGTGCCTGGTCATCAAAAATCTTGGAGAGGAAAAAAATTTCGAATCTGAGAATAGGTGACGAGAGAAGAAATGGGGCCGTCCGAAATTCGAAGGAGATCGGCCGGGAGAATTATGAAGCGCAGAAAAACCAGATGTGCCGCGCGGAAACCATGATTCTAGTTCATTAAGTCGTTACGAGTCGTCGTAGATGGAGAGTTTGCGTCGCTTTTTGCCCGTTTTGTTTTGTTTCTCCATCTCTCTTTGACCCCGTGACATTCCAGGCCAGCCGTCTGGGGGCGTCGTCTTCTTTCATAGGTTTGCTCAGCTGCGAAGCTGTGCCACCTTATCGTTGTTGTCTCGGATCCCTGTCGCCACGTAAGGCAGAAACCCAGGCTGCCTGCCTATATTTAGTCGAAAGAGGCCGTAGAGCTGCTGCTCGAATGGTGGCCAGATCGACGGTGGCTGTCTCGCGAGCTGTGACTGGAAGATGTGTGGCGGCTCTTCTTGGAGCGGCGAGCAGGCTCAGTGGCCGGAAGCCCCTGAACAATGCCATTGCGGGCCAGCATGCCGCCGTTGACGGAGAAGTTGCGGCAGACCATGAACGCACGCATAGCGGCGTTCTCCTGGGCCAATGAGTCGGATTGATACGCGAGATCCGTCTGATACTCCCGTCCGTTAACCAGAACCAAGCAAGTGTAGCCACTGTGATCGCGGTAACACTCGTAGGAAGGGTCGTTCCATCCACGTCGCCGGCAAAGACCTAGATTGGATCGGTTAGCCTCCCATCTTCTGCAAGTCATCTGGAGTCAATATTGATGACGCAGCTGAGGAAAAGCAGCGAACGCGCGTCTCTCTGAACGACGTAGTGCCATCTGTCTTCGAACCCAACTCCCACAGGCTTCCCCCCTTGCGAGCCCTGCATGTCGTTCCTCGGGAGAGCCGCAGCGAGAAGCTGGCGTTGCTCACTGGATGTAGTGCCACGTCCCGACTCGTCAAGAGTCACCAGGAACCGGGAGACGCTTGTCATTACCACCATTGACAGAATGCAGGGGTAGGCCACACGATCTGACCCAGTTCCCCAGGTCATCTTGAGTGGCCCCACTTATACAGACAATGGCGATGACGAGGTTCAGGGAAGCATTGGGTTCCAACAATCCATCTACGAAACTCAATTGACGACTTACTCTCGAGGTACTGCATATAGAAGCCTCCCATGCTGGCAGTTGTTCCCAATGGGTCGATTAAGGGACGCGGCGGTGGTTCGGGGATGCAGGTCCAGACGCGGAGACGGACAGACCGTGGCAGGGGAGAGAGGATGTCTCAGCAGGAAAGAAGAAAAAGTGAAGCAAGTGACGAGGGTAGATTCCTATCCGGACAAGGGGACCAAAGATGCGGACGCCGTGAGATGCAATCGAGCCCAACGGTGAGGCGAGCAGAGAGATCTGTGGTCGGGAATGGGCTGGGCTGGGCTGGCACGCACTCTACGCACCATGCGCCAAAGCTGTCTTGCGAGGGTCGTATGTGAGGCGTAGGGCAGAAATCCGGGGTGTGCTCGAGGGTAGGTGAGTATGTATGGGATGAGTTGTTCAGTAGCGAGATGTAGGAAAAGGGGAGCTGGGATCGGTCAAGTTTCTCGTCGTTTTCGTGGTGCCCAGATTGGAGAAGTGAAGCCTGAAGAGGTATGGGGGGGACAAGATGAAGAAAGTCGGTGGAAGGGGTGTTGATGTGTTGTTACTTGTAAGTGTGTGGGTGAGTTGTGTTATGCGTGTGTACGTGTATAAGGTGTGGGTGGATGGTGTTGTAAGTTAAGCTACGTATCCAGGGCTTCCGTCTCTCGGGTTGCAGGAGTGCACTTGAGCCATGAACGAAGAGACATGTGTCTGCTTTATTGCAGAAAAAAGGTGCGTTCTCTTTTTTTTTTTTCTCCCTCTCTCGTGCTTCTTGGCTTGGCTTGTCAACGAACTAGTGCGGGGGCAGGGGGAGGGGTGGAGGGGTGGTGGTCAAGCAACAAGTCCCAGTCCAAGTCCAGCATCAACTTGGTAAAAGGTACATGGACATAATAACGACACTATCCGCAACAGTATGTAGTATTGAGAGCTTCGGCGGCAACGGCAGCGACAGGAAAGGAAATGAGGGACCAGGCGAGAAGGAGGGGGACGGAACTGTGTACCTTGGAGGAGGAGACGAGGAGAAGGTCGACAAGCAAGCGACTGGGCGTCTTGTCCGTCCTTCTGTCTGCCTGTCTGTCTGTCCGTCTGCGTCTGGGCAGGGACATGAACATGACCAGCCAGTCGCCGAACAGACAGGGGAGAGCAGGGGAAAAATGGGCACTGCGGACAGTGCAAAATGACATTGAGGGTGCTTCTGTCAATGTCCCTTTTTTCCCTGACTTCGTTTTGGTTCGAGATGCAAGCGGCGATGCGGCTCTCGAGAGTGTGTGACCCATGCTTTGCTGCGTTGGCTCGTCTCGTTGCCAGTTGATAAACACCGCTGGAGACTAGACAACTCCACAGCGACACACTGAAGAGGGGAGGGGTACCAGCATCATCGCTGGGCAAGGGCCCCCCCCCCAGGGCCAGGGATGTGTGGACGAAGATCTGTCTCTGCTGAGACTTGAGAGAAAGGTCCCCTGCTCGTCTGTTAGTTTTTCGAGTTTTGCTGGTCCGGTCCCCTGGTCGCTAATCTCCAGACCTGGCCGTTCGTTGGAGTGTCTGGCCTGTAGCAGACTAGTATCGAGGCCTGTACTGGAGAAACGACGAGGTATCTCGATAACGTTGCCCCGTACGGACTTGACCGCAAGGTCCGTCGTGCTTCGAATGCTTGGGAGTTTGTCGCTGCTCGTGGCGCTTGACGGTCCCGTTCAAGCTTCTGCTTCCACTTCTACTTCTCCGAATCCAATCTTTGCTGCCGCCGGTTGTGCCGCCGCACATCGACCGACTTACACTTTATTCTGTTTTGGGCCCGGGTTGTGGTTTCCCAAAGACATCATCGTCACAAGCAAAGGCGCGCGCCTCTGGTACATGCGTACACGGTCGAAACTTTGGACGAAGTCTCGCCGACCATGTGGCCCGCCGGGTCGCATAGTGGGCTGCCTTAGCTGCTCTAGGGCCACAGCAAGAAAGTCGAGGGCGATTTGTGAGACGAAAAGGCTGAGAAAAACAAAAAGGAAAAGACTGACGAGGGCTGCAAATCTGCAAAGCCGGTGGCAAAATGGAACCATACAGACTTGTCGGACCCAATCTGGCGAGGCGAGTTGATTTTCCCCCGGCAGCGCACAGGACGACTGGTACGTTCATGTTCCTTTTACTTGATCGAAGAATCTGCCAAGTATCTCGCGATGAGGAGTAAACATGACATGCGGGATACGCTGGTCCCGAGTCCGGGCTTCCATGGTCTTTGATTGAAATGTTTCGGGCTGGCGGCGAGTCAAAACGCCAGAGCATGCTTATTTGCGTTTCTGACTCTTCTGAAAAGGGATGTGCCCGGTAGGGCGTAAAAGGCCCTGTCCAGTCATCGCAGAGGGAAAGAGAGGAAAAGAGACAAAGGACGACTGATGAAAAATTGATGCCATAAGTTATTCGTGTTAGCGGTGACTACTGCACCTGTAATCGACTATTGAGTAAAGGGCCGGTTGGCACTTGTGGACAAATCCCCAACAACATGTCAGAAGCGCCGTTATTGTCGGTTGGTGTTGTTGCTGTCCTTGTCATCGTTGCTGGTGTTGTTAATGTTTTCCACCGCCAATTGCAGGCTGTTTTGTCACGGGCCGAGCGCCAATTTGCTGTTTAGATATGCCATCCACCGTCAAGTGTGTACGTATGAGGCCATGTACATTGCTTGCTGGGCATGAGTGCATGTATTGACCGCGGTCAACAACCGTCGCTGCGGGGGCAGCGCGACGCATGCGGTGGGTTCGGACTCGGAGTTGAGCAGAGAGAACCCCCCCAAACGTCGAGAGCAAGTCCACCGTCACATCCATCATGTCTGCTTGCTGCTCGCTAGTGTTGCGGGACCCGAGGTTGGGGGATTGGAACGATGAAGAGGAGGAGGAGGATGACTCCGGCAACTTGGAAGGTGACATTGTGATACCAACAGAGAAGGACGATGAACCTAGAAGCAGAAGAATTGGCAGCCAACCCTAAGTTCGTCTGTGCCATGTCAGGCAAAGCCTGGCCGTGCGCTTCGATGCTAGCTGGGACAGGGCGTGAAAAGCTCCAGGCGCCGGGGCCCACGTTTGGGATCATCGGTGGCTCCCAATGATGTGCAGCGATGGCGGGCGATTCGCACGGCATCATCAAAGTCAAAACCGCCTGTCGGCCAGAATCGTCTCGTAGGCTAGCAATTGTGCCCAGTAAGAGACGGCCAAAATCGAAATCCTTTCCTAATAGCTCAACGAATCAGCGGCAGAGAAATTGGACAAAATCCCCGAGCGCAAATGTAGCGATACACCGGTACAGAGTCGTTGCGGTGACGGAACAGGGCACCGTTCTAGAGCGGCAAATCAGCGCTTACTGGGCTGTCGTCTGCTCGTTGGCTCAGAGGGCGAGCCAGCGTGCCGACTAAAATAGAGACCCCTGGAAAGATGAGCGACGAAGAAGAGACGAGAGTGAGCAGCGGTCGGCGGCGAGACGCTGGATCTCTCATGCTGTTGCTCCGGCGGCAGCAATTACTCGGTATTGCTACTAATAGGTACTGCCTTTCAAATCCCACGAAGGGGTGACGGCCGCTCGTCAGGGAAAAAGGTGAAGTAGGTGGCACCTGGTGACTGAACGGCGGGCCTCCGGTCGAGGTTCAAGGGCCCCCGGAAGGCGGCATAGTCCCCCGCGGAGAGAATTGCAAGGTCGGTCAAGCGCTCATCTCTCTCAACTCTTGTCGCTGTAAGCTAGGAGGGTAGCAGACGACGTGCATGAACACTCTGAGCTCTGAGTGATGGCTTGGGGAGTGGGTTCGACGAGATCCATCAACATGGAAAAGCCTATCTCTCTCTCTCTCTCTCTGTCTGTCTCTCTATCTCTCAGAAGCAAAGGTAGCTTTCAAGGTCGCGGAGTGGGATGAGCAGCATGGGATCGATGGGGAGGGGTGCGCTGTAATCGGCTCTGCGGGCAAATTATATCTCGGTTCTCCATCTGTAAGAAGCATGTCCTCTTGCCCACTTCCCCTCTCTCTGGGTATATTGCGAGAGTTACAGTGTCCGCCACAGATTGCCTAGGTCAAAAGAGGACCCTCCCTCCTGCTGTCAGGTGAGGCAAAAGTTTATTCAGGACCAATGCGATGATGGGAGCGAGTGTGGAGGGGCAGGAGATGAATATGGGGAGAGGGAAAAAGCCACGAAATGCAGACCGTTAGATGGCCGAAAACAGACAACGACGGCGACAGCACCGAGAGGGGTGTGAGGACGGTGAGAATGACAAGAAAAGGCCATAATGTATGATGAGGTCAGGCAAGGCCAGGTATGTCAGAAGGAGGGGGCAGCTGGAGGCTGGCGGAGGGTTGAGGAAGTGGTTGATTCTCTGTATTCTGTGTTGTGCTGTTGTTCCGTGGTTGCTGCTGGCTCGCTGGTGGGCGTGGGCCAACGAGATGAGACGAGCGTGACCTCGGTCGTTGTCGATTGTTAAGTGTCCGCCGTGCGAGGTGAGCGGTACACGTTGTTGTGATCGTTGTCGATGTCCCTGTCGCCTCCAGTTCGTACGTTGTTGGTTGTTGGTTGTCGGAGGGGAGAGGGGAGGTGGGGAGGAGGAGACGGAAGTACATGGGCACTTAGTCAAGGAACCGTTGGCAACTTTGGCAGCTTTGACAAGGGGGGAAAGAGCAACAGGACCAGAAGGAGAGCATCGGTACGTACCGTGGACATGACATGATGGGTGCGGATACCTTGGACGTGGGTTGGTGTGTGCGGGTGCATCAGTAGCAGCAGCAGCAGCAGCAGGGCAGACGCAGCGCAACGGCGCGCGCGAAGACGCACAAGTTGCAACTAGGCCGGGCCAAAGCAAGCGCAGGCCCTTGGGACGCAGACCACCATGCAATGATGAGCTGGCAGTGCCGCTGGACGCCGAGACGGTGTTGCTTTAATGAACCTGGAAGGCAATGGAAGGAAAATCAGGAAACCAAGCCCGGCGAGACCTCGATCCAAATGGCAGGGTGCTCTAAACAACATGCACTGGCCTTTTCCCCACCCCCTTCGCCCATCTTTGCCGTCTCTGCGTCTGTATATGAGTGTGTCTCTCTCACACTTCTCAGTCAATACATACCCTGAGTCCTGACATCTCAGGTGTTTGTGCCTCTCTACGTTACGTCTGATATCTTTGTGAGGGTTGGGAAGAGGCAGAGAAAGAGAGACAGAGAGAGGTAGGTGGGTAGGTACTGTGGTACCTGGCCGTTCGCAACCGCGATCTGTCAATGCAGGTGAGAAACGCAGAGTCAGATAGGGTCATGCGCGCTGGGTCGAATAACGGCTAGATTGCCGCGAGTCAACTCTTGTTATTGTCGTTGTGACTTGTTTTTGTTGCTGATGCTCCGTGCTCCGTGCTCCGGAGCATGGGGAGCCGTCAAGAAGAAGAGGAGGAGGAGGAGGAGAAGGCGGAGGAGGTTGGCGGCGTGCAGCTTGCCGCAAGGGGTCGTGTCAACCAGCGAATCACCAGTGGTTTCCTTCCCGAATCAATCTGGAAGCACGGTGGAAGGCGCCAACAATATCATAAACTTAGTCCTCTCACCAATGACCGTACTACCTACTCACTCACTCATCTCATCACTCTCACTCACTCGTTCGCTCACCGTGTCACTCATCTCATCTACCCATCTTACAAAGCCACAAATTACCGTCTCTCGAAGGCTGGCATCATTTCACCATCGTGGCCACCCACCTCGATCTGTCGCAAAGCAGGTCTTGTCGCCGGCGGATTGATTACCTTCATGGTCTTTCCCTGACAAAGTCTGACGAAGCTACTGCAGAAGGGTGCTGCTACGCCGCTACGGTGCTGCGACCAAAAGAAAAGTCAACGTCTCTTTACCGACCTGGGATAGCTACCTCTTTAGCGCTCGCCGTACGCCGTCTCCAAATGTGATTCGTCAATTGGCATCTTTCTGGAACCCTGTCATCTGGATCAATCCCAGCTTTTTCCCTCCTCTTCCTTTCTCCCTCTCGAATTCTCTCTCCACCTTTTTTGCTCCACCCCGGCGGCCGGCTCTCTGTCTCTCGTAGCGGGGACAATGGGGCAGGTTGTTGGTGTGACGTGACTTTGATATTCGAAGACCCTAAGCCGATGTGACAAGGCTTTGCTCGTTCTCTCGTCTTATATTTGGCCCATGACACATTACTTCAGCTAGCATCGAATGAGATGTGGGACAAATCAACGTTGGACGTACTACTAGTTTGTATGCCTCCTGTCTATACCCGCCCACCTCACTAAAATCATCTGATTTGAACTCTCCGCTAGCCAAGTGAGTGGGCATCGGGAGACCCCCAGTCAACCAACATCCCATGTTCCAACGATGGACCCTTTCTACCTGCGTGCTCTGTAGAGAGCACAGCCGCGCCCTCACAAAGTGGGCATTGTACCGTGCAGAATAGAGATATCAAAGTGGGGATATCCTCACTACGCCCGGAACTTCTCCCGAGACATGTCTTTCCTTGGGCCTTCATCCAAATCCCTCTCCAGCTCTGCCTTTGCCGCAGAGATGAATGTCTCCACCGAAATACATCGTCTCATACAATGGATCCCCGGTTTAACGCGGCTGAACAACAATCACAACAGTATTACCAAAACCTGTACCGAGGTGTCGCTCTACTGCTCTCACCGTAAATCACTCGGGGCCTCTCGTCTCTCGATATTTCATAGTACAGCAGAAGCGCGTTGTGAAACGAAACGAGCATGCCCCCCCCTCCTCCCCCCCAAGCCAGCACCCACAGCACGGGGGCTTTTTGTGATCATGGCCTGCGGGATCCGGTGGCTCGGGAATACAAGTTTGTGATTACGCTGGCGTCCCTCTTGTGTATCATGTACTGTTTCTGTACCCCGTCTGGAGCTGACCTGGCAGGGTAGCTTCTTGATGAGGGGTGTGAGGGGCAAAAAAAAAAAAAGAGACATCATGGACCCCTCCACTCCCTCACTCACACTCTCTCTGGCTCCCTCTCTGCCACATCCCGCCCCCCGAAGAAACAACACACCTGGCCTTCTTTCAACGTCATTTGCATTTAGAGGTGTCGTCCGGGGTGAAACGTCATTGGCCAGATGCCAACGATCCGACGAGATGGAGGGGTTCGTCAGAGTGAAAGAGGGTTCGCCGGACCTCGAACTGGGGCCGACATTTGTTGGAACCTGAAGTCGCACCACATTGCCACCAGACCGCCGTTCTAATTACCGTTTCGCCTGCAGAAAAGTCCATTGCATTTTACCACGCCATCATCTCATCCTCTCTTGTGTGTCTGCGGCCTGTCTGTGTCTCCGTCCCGCTACGCTATGCGACGCCAGAGCAGCATACCGTCCACCGCTCGAGTCCACCTCGGCGGATCCAGATCCAACCTAGGCATCTTCTCGCCGTCCGACCTGTATCAGCCGACAACGCGTCCTTTCCAATAACAAGTGGGAGAACTGACCCCTTCTCGAGACACAGCCCGGCCATTTTGAGCGGCCACAACATGACCCTCCCGGATATGCTTTTTGATATCAAGACTCCAAGAGAATATCAAAAGAGGGGCGACTTGCGTCTTGTTCATGTATGACAGCAAAGATTTCTGCGCCCAGGCCCTGCGCGCTGCTGTAAGGCGAGATGCACCAATCGAACCTCGCGTGGCCGCCATGGGTTAGGTCAGTCTGCTGGGATAATCCACCACGCTCGCAGTAGACCTGCCTTTCTTCTCAGTCTGTCGCCCACACACAGGTCCGTTGATCTAGTTCCTCTGTGCCTCTGCGGTCTCGGGGCTGGACTGGTCCTGTCTCTGCCTTGTGTCTCAGACCTGCCATACCAAGACAAGCATCCAGGTCGTTCTTGGCCGTCAGGTAGCCCCAAAAAACACGCGGGGAAAGGCGGCCACACGAGAATCGCACGGCAGAGGCATCGAAGTGGCGTGTTACAGGGTCCCAAGTCTTTAGATTGGCCTGGTCTAGGGAGGAGGAGGATGATGTGCATTCGCCGCCGTCGCGTCGTGGCGCTGAGAGCCAGAATTAATGGCAAAGGGGACCCTTGCTTTTGGAAAATGTGCAGTCCCGGCTGTTGAGTGCTGAGGCGAGAAGTTGGCCCGTTGCGTGGGATGTTGTTCAAAGGCACACGCCGACTGGGTGGGTGTGTTCGATTGCCCTGGACCACAAAACATTGTTCGAAATGTATTACTCGCTGCCATAACACCTCTTCCTCCCACAGCTCCAGTACCATTGCATGCCGATTCGCGCGCTGCAGCTGGCGTGCGGATTCAGATGCAACTTGACCTTTTTGGGAGACCCAGCTTGGATCTCAACATGCACGACCACAAAGTGTCCTGCGCCGCCATCTTGCCGTGATGAGTTGTTCAAAACTTGCACATACGATCCCTGTCCGAGATCTCTTGCCTCGGGCTTGAGCTGCAGACCCGTCGTGTTCGTTTCACTGTCCCACCCTTCCTCAAGATTGGGACCGTCAGTAAGCATGCTTCAATCGCCGAGTTCGTCTCGGAAGGTCTCCGCCATCACAGTGCCCCTTTTCGGGCGGACCACGTGACGCGGGATTCCGACGTTCCTCCTCCATATACATAGGGGGGGCGGTCGCCTTCAAGCGGCCTGGTGGCGGGCTATAATCCCTGTTTCGACGCAAAATACGCCTTCATGTCGTCGACGCTCTCTTGGGGGATGGTGTAGACGGGGTGGATCGTCCCGACGCGGTCCTCCTCGTTGAATACCTGTGTTCCTTCGGCACAAGGCGACGCCACCCACTTCGGCTCCGATAGGATCGTCTCATCTTCGTTGAAATATGTGAGATCCCACTGGTGCTGCGCAGAGCTCAGTCCTGAGAGGACGTAGCAAGTGTGGTACGCATCCGACGGCCTATCATTCGAGTCAGCGACGAACCATCCAGATGAGGAAGCTTCTATCATTATCGCCATCTCACCTGCTGGGCTTGTCGCGGAGACCGCCACGTTTGGACCGGTCTTGACCGCAACACAATATGTATCGAATCAACCCTTCTCGGCTGTAAAGACTGCCCTCGTGGGGAGCAGAGTGCGCCTCGGTTGATTGATCCTCGAGTTCGATCGCGCCCTTCAGCACAGCGTCGATCAAGGGCCAACACCCACCAACCCAATGGCTGTAGCAGCCGTCGACGAGCTTGTTTGTGCGGCCACTGAAGCCACCCTCCGGAGCGTACTGCCGTGACGAGAGCCAAGAGATGAGTCGTGGCACGTCGAGGTACCTGTCATCGGGCGAAGCAGTCAGTATGCGCTGCTTTCATGTCAACCCCTCAGTGGACGACCGCGGCGGAATACGTACTTGGGGATGATGCGATGCGGAGTATCCAGAATCGAGAGGCAGCCCAAAGCGCAGAAAGCGTAGGCTCCATGCGCTTCACCATCCGGCTTTCCCGATATTCCACCCTCAAACGTTTGGCCTATTGGTGAGCGACGGCGAGGCAACCGGGCTAAGGCATGACTTACATCTACGTACATAATCCGCCAATCCAGTGAAGAGCGTGGGTCGCTCAGGCGTCCAGGCCGGAGAGTCGGTTGAAAGGTCCAGAGGCAGGTCTAAGAGGGTTACAATTACGGTTGCACAGTAGGCTCCCCTAGAGGCCTGTCAGAAAGATGTCGCAAGCCCAGAGAGTGGGAGAGAACGATGGAGGGGGGTTGGTATCAACACACCTGACATCTACTTCTCCGCCCAGGGCCATCTGAATCCCGCCACTGGGTTGCTTGAGAGAGCAGAGCCATTTCCACATGGCTTTCCTATCTATCGCCTCGTATGCATCCTCACCGCCGACAATGGCAAGGGCGAGAACGACTGCGTAGGTTGTGGCGAGATGGGAGTCCTGTCCGTGACCGCCCCCGATACCACCGGACGGGTTCTGCATTGTGCGCACTGTCTTTATCAGGTCCTCCCGGTACACTGCTGTGTCGTAGCCGAGCAAGGCCAGGGCGTTGAGAGACCAGTACAGGAACCAGGGCCGACTCGCGTCGGCCGCCACATACGGGGCCGGGAATCTCCCAAGCTGCTTCTGTAGAAATTTGACATGGTTATCACGAAGTAGTGAAGGTACTCCGTGAGCGTTGTAATCAATGTCGCTGTCCGTAGCAGCCAGCAGCGGGACACACTCCCGCACCGTTTCGGCCTGGATCGATGATGTGGCCGTCGGGAGCGCATCACGCACAGGTGGAGACGCCGTGAAAAGTTCTGGCACGACCCCGTTCGGCTCGATTCCTAGATCACTCGTGTCGTCGATGAATTCCTCATCCATGTCGCTGTCGGAGTGTTGCGGCGACCCGGTCTGGGCCGATGCAGCCATATTTGCTGCGCGCTTGATGAAGGTGACTTTGGTACGGCGCTTGAGTGGTTTGATGCGGGGTCTCATCTCACTCATGGACAGATTGCGGAACGAGAAAACTTTGAGACGTCGGGAAAGAGAGCTCCCATTACCCGGTGAGATCGCTAAGCTTTGACGTCTCTCTAGGCCGAAAGGGAGTCTGAGCTCACGATATATTCGCTTTGGGCAGTGTTGATGGGCGAAATAGGCCCCTCCCACCTGCCATTATGCACCTGTGAGCAGAAGTTCATTAAAGTGGGGTCTTTGTTATTTGATTGGTTATTCTTCTCCATGCCGATTAGTAATCATCATACTCACCACCATTATACGTCACATCACGATGTCAATCTTCAACGACAGTCCTTGGAGACTAAACCTGACAGAATTGTAAACTGCCTTTTGGAACAAGAAACACCGAAACATGAAGACAAACCGCGTTGAGCCATCATCAAGTGTCTCGGAAGACTTCTTATGCTATTGACCATCAACACGCCGCTACCCCCCCTCAATTGTGTGACTCCCACATAGGGCTTCAGAACCGAGACACACAGAGACTGTTGCTCATCATTTGGATGTTTTCTCCTCATCTGTTTTGAATTTCTCATAGACACTAGTCTCCTCCAGTGTCTGAGCGTCTAGGACGAAGAAGTCGAAGGAGCATAGAAACGTTTCTAAAACACGGCGACTTATTTGTTCCCCAGTAACACGCCTGTTTCTAGAAGAATCTCACTAGTCAGGAGGATTTCAGGATACGAGAAACCATACCGAAGCTTTCTCGGGGTTATGGTCTTCACAATCAGCTTTTGCCATTTCAGAGATGGCATTTGAGTTAGCTAATAGCCTCCACTTCTCATTCCCGTCACGCACATTTCCATCTTTGATTTGGGTTAAGGTTCCGAAGCGTTTCTATCAAGCAAAACTGGGTTGAGTATCTTGATAATCACCGTACTTAGTCACAAGTTGAGAAGACGGCACACTCGCGGCTGTGCGGTGAGTTCATCGGCCGCGAGGAAGCCCACGATGTATACCTGACGGGCCTCACCCCAGGTGTAGAATACGTGAAGAAATTGAGTTGCAAAGAGTCATGCTACCAAATTATAGTGTCCAATTTTGGATGTTACTTAGCCTGCCTGCATGGAAGCCAATAGTGACCTCGAACGACTAAAACAGAGACGCTATCTATATCAATGTTGTGCCATTAAGTAGTATGATTATTCTCGACATTGCAAGACTCTGGATCACGCAATAGAGAGCTCAACGGTGTTTGGAATGATTCCTCGGCAATAATTTTAGCAGTCTTCGCAATTGGAACTGCTCTCGACGTAATTGACCGTCTCTCGATAGTCATGGGTAAGGAATGCACCAAGTATCAATGGCAATGAATAGAAACCGCGAGCATCTTACCGTCAACATTGAGACTTACATCAACTCACTCAATAGAATGATGTGATTATAAATAATTGAATGAGGGGCATTCTTCAAATCTTTCAGGTCACCCAGAGCAGCAAAACCCAACCCTCAACGCCATCCATCGAGCAAAGTACGATGAAATCGACGATCGTTGGACCGGAGTTGTCTTGATCAACATCAAACCTCATAGATTAAGAAATCGAACTCAGAGCAGGTGGCGAACTTCCATCAAACCAGGATAGAGTTTCCTCAAAACGGACAGACGACTGCAGAGCGGTAACTCTACTCCGTCCCATCGCCCGCTCGGGCCAGGAAACTGTATTCACCTTACCCCCAACCTTAAATCCGACAACAATGTCTATTTATACACGAGATTCTAGCTGTTTCAAAATCTAAAAAGGTGCTTGACAGAGCACTTTTCAAAAAATCCAGCCCGGATGATGCCCATCAATTGAGAATGTAGAGCTGGAGCATTGGGGAGCCGCTCTTCCCGAACCAGACGGGGCCGGCTCAGCTCAGATCAAACGAGGATGAGATGTGTCCTATCAGTAAAGGATCGAAACCAGGCTACCCACTTGAAAGCATTTCGAATCATACTAATGGTACGAATTGTCTCAAATCCAGTGATCCAAATGATATAGACGGCATCGGTTCCACGGTGCTAAACTACAAGCCAAGTTTCCTTGACTCCTGGAATCCAAACTGAGCCCAAGACTCGCTGATGGGGAATAAGATGCCTTCAATGACAATCAGAAAAGTTACAGGCAATAATAGTATTATAGTCTAGTCATTGCAAGAAACTAGAACCTCTGGATTGGTAGAGTTATAGCTACTCATATCAACTCGGATTAGTGACTCACGTCAACTATGCCGTCTTGAACATGACGTCTGCAGCTTAGGTCGTACAATCAAGTCTATGTCGGCCTCGAGGGCTATCCGGGTCCGTAAGGGCAACCGGTCACTCACGACGCTGACTCATCCAAGCCTAACCAACATTTCTTGGATGCCCAGATCGCCGTCTTCCGACTTATTAGTCTTGGAACAGATGGGAAGCGTGTAGCTCCTTTGAGTATGACGCAACCCACATTTCTTGAGCTTCAGGACAACGCAAAAGGTGGAAAATCTCGAGTCAATTCATTTATCATGAGCAGCAAATAGCTGTCTTTGTGGTGTGACTAGTACAGCTGCCCACTCACACACCTGCGGCATACAAGTTTTTCCGCATAGTGTAAGAGGGAGCGGTCAATATTGCCTGGGATACCATTGGAGCCAGCGCAGCGCCGTGCGTCCCTGCATGGCCGAGGAGCAGACATTCATGTGTCAAACCTGAAGGAAAGCAATGCAAACATCTTCAACAGCATTCCAGCAGCACGGAGAATGGACCTTGCAATCCCTTTCAAACCCACCACACTAGGTATTTTCGTCGTTACTGAATGGAATGGTGGCACTCCTGAATCCCTTCAACATGGCTACTTGGTTGCGCAGCTTGGGCCACGCTATTGGGGGGTAACAAGCGGTCAAGATCTTGAGAGATCAGAGCACCTTCACTAGAGGCGGATGGCGCCGTGATAGCTTTAGGCCATCCGGTGACTAGAGCTGGGTAGGAACGCTGTTCGATGCCGATGTAAGACATTGAAAACTCCCCGCTAAGATTCCTGTGCAAAATGGCATTGTCGTCAGTCCATCATGTTGGTTGTCAGAGAGATAAATTACTGTTGTGAATTGGACAGGGTGTGAGAGAAGCTCCCGTGCCCCGCGCCGACGGAAGAGGGGTCGAGGAGGGGTCAGCGACCCTCAATTGGCCCCATCTGCATTCAATTGCTGGTGGCCATCTCGCATTTGGCCTTCTTATGCAACAAGTTGAGTCCTAAACAACTAAGCGAAGCAAAACTGTTCAGCCTGATTAGCTGGTTATCGAGAAGTCTTAATCAGCTCTTCCCGAGCCAATGCCTCGGAATGACAGCCACGAGTCTCGACTAGCCTCCTGTCGCCCCTAACAGTCCAGAAGCATTACTTGCATCACGTAATGCAAGGAAGACAGTAGGACTAGAAAGTCCTCGGGCGAATCCCCCAACGGCCGACAGAAGAGGTTGCGTGATTGGTTGACGGGCCTACCAAGGCCTTTTTATTCAGATGAGAATCTCACACCGCACATTCGAAATCCAGGGTATGGCTTGCAGCAGGTTTCTTTTGCCGCACAACAGGCATGGGAGATGGCGGGGAGACACAATGTGCCTGAGCAGCCCCTTGCCGGTTCCCCTAGAGCTGCACCAATGATCGTGGGGAAAATGACTCTCGCCTGCATTGCTGTCGGACGATTCGTTGGCCTTTGCTGCTTCGTTCGCCGCCGGTCGAATTTGGCTGGTCTGTTGAAATGGGAATGATTCACTCTGGCACGAGGTTCGCATATCAAACGAGACAAACGGCCCTGTAGCATCAAACTCAAAGCTTCGTACAACGTCGGCTTCGGCGGACATTTGCTTCATACCACTCGTAATCTGGATTCCCTAGAAACTCAGCCAATTTTCGGTCCGTATGGGGTCCGGCTGCATCATGGATTGCGGCAATCCGTTGACGAGACTCATGACTGGAGAAACATGGTAGGTCAGAAGTATAGTATGCAAGATGATGTGCGATACTTAATGCCATGGATGCAGGTATCCGAGAAGAGGCAAGTGGCATAAATCGCCATCAAAGACGGTGCCTTTCGGAGTGGACTTGTCAGACCAACTATTGACTGAGATGTCTGGACTCAGGTGTCTATTGATAGAGGAAAATGGCGTGTGCAGGGTCTGGCCATGGCTGTGAACGGGTGTGCTGGGAACAAGCGACATCGATCGGGGAACTGACGCAGATCTGATGTGCCTTATTTGCAGGCAAAGGCATTTAGAGAGACGTGCGTTCGCGGCAAAGACGGGCTAAGAAAGTCTCCCGCTTGCGACGTTGATCGCTTGGTCGAGGCAGGAGATAATGGGTTGCCTTTCGGAGTCGGGATATACCTTGATTCATAGCAACCTTTCGATATCGCGACGTACCTCCAGACATTGTCCGTGATACGGGTGGGGAATAACTAGTCGTTTTATTAAGTTGCTGCTGGCCGCTGGCCGTACCGCGTCAAGCTCGGCTCCTCGATGAACATGCCTGGACCCTGTACTGCGACTTGTTTCGTTGTCTGCAACTGGTTCGTTTGACAGATTGAGGGCTGTGTACCCATTGCCCCTCCTTATTGTTCGAGCTAGAGGAGGGAGATCTGCTGAAGCCTCGCAATGGTCTTTGCACAGGCACTCCGCAATCCACCTTGTGCTTTGGTTGGACACTTCAACCAACCACCGGGAGCGTATCATCCGTGACAGCAGACCGTCGGACCATTGGTACACGATTCAGCGATCCGCCAGGAAGAAACTATTCCCGCGAGATATTCTCCACTATGCCGTATGACCCGTCGACCGTGACATAGCAGTATCGCGCACCGCAGCCCGGCCTTGTCTACGCAATCGGCATCGACGACATTAAACACCCATCCAAAGTACAGATGGCCCAGGGCAACTTCGAGCCTCGGAATGTCGACACAGCCAACGATATTGCAGGAGAGCCCCTCGAGGCTCAGGGCCCACTGATGGCGGGGTCTGCAAGAAGACAATCCGGACGCAGGTTGTCTCCACGCTTGTGGGGAGAGGAGCATCGGGAACATCAGGTCGTTCCGCCGCCAGAAGCCCAGGCACGCCGCAGGCCAGGGCCAGGCGTAGTCGGCCATTGCCAATGGTGGCTCTGTCTATCTGCAGGCTGTAGCGGGGCCTATGGCGAAGATGCAGTCTATCAGGCGAGGGGGGCTCCTCGTCACCTCGTCTGGTCTGCGAATCTGAGATAGAGCGTTCGGGTTATTGAGCCGACTGCTGCCAGCAGCCCAGCATCTCTCCAAGCATGAGAGCGACGCCGTAACGTACCTACGAATAGTCTGTTCTCGCCGTCAAGCTACTCGCATAGAGTATCACGCTAGCTGCAGGCGTGTGGGCACTGGATCCGTTATCGACTGGAGCCCGTACGAGAAGATTTTCATCCTTGCGTTTGCTAATGTACCATGGCAGATCTACGGCAACTTGCGATCCAACAGGCGACTTGTCAATGGCTGCTCTGGTCCTGGCTCGTGGGGCTCGGACGGCGGTGGTAGGGGGCGGCTTGAAAACTCCGAAGTGTCTGGTCAGTGGTGAGAGTGGTGGCCCTGCCCTGACTCTACCCCAGCTACTGCGGACTTGGCATCATGGTAAGGGTCAAGAAAGACAGGTTTTCATCGCGGCCGAAGGCTGATTGAGTTTTATCGACCGAGGCTATCAGTGGGCAGCTTCCACCTTGGAATTGTTTGTTCGGCGTTGCCGCTTGTAGAAACAAGGCGGCAATAATGGTAGTCCATCGTTTCGTCGGTTGGCCGGGTAGAAGATCATCCCACTCATAGGTGCATGGCGATACAGCGGACAGGACCCTGGAAGAAGACAGCAATACGCAGAGGAGGGCCGAAGAGAGGGCCAACGTGCCGTTGACGCGAGGTGCAGATAGAGTTGTCCGTTGTCAGTTGACAGTAGCCGATCCAATGCCGTGAGCTGATCGTTTCCCAGAGTGTCAGAGAGCTGTGGGCGTTATCCTTTGTCTTGTCGACTCCCATTACACTGTGTAGCGTGCGCCGTCCTTGACGCATCAGCCATTTTCTGTTTCCGTACACGGTACAAGCCACACAGGTGATGCCACTGTGAATGTGGGAGGACGGGAGCACGGTCGAATGCTGATCAATGGAGCCTTGGCCAGCAGCCGGCCAACGTCCGTGGCCTCCGTGCCTCCGTTGCTCCTAGTGTTGCTAGAACGGACGAATACCTCGGGGCAGCCCGCTGTGTGTAACTGTGCACGGGCGATGACTGATGGGGATGTCCTTGTCCAGTCTCGTCCTATCTTGTCTGGGTCGAAGGAGGAATCAATGGCTGATGCCGGACATGCTTGGTGATAGACGCTACAAGCGGCCGGTGGTGGCGGCTGCAGCAGCGTCAAGCGAGAGGCGAGATGCGTCGTCGCCGGCAGCTCAAGCTCTGTGCGAGGTGCACCTATGCGAGCCTGTTTGCCTGGCTTGCTTGCCTGCCTGCTTGCCTGCCTGGGCCCTGGAGGCGCTGATGGCCAGCCAGCTCTGGTTCTTGGTCGAGCTCTCTGCCCTGGTATCAGTTCGGGAGGGCTCGACGCAGTTTTGGGGTCAATCGCGTTTGACGCTGTTGAGGAATTATCCGAAGAGAAAGATGACCCTGGGACTGCACTAAGTCATCATCCGGAACATCGTGTTTTAAACTATCACCTCATCGGCCTGTGTGCTGCAGGCACGAGGAGAGCTCTGGAATGTGGGCATCCTGTCAGGTATGACCATGATATCCGTAGCGCCAGAGATGACGAAGAGATGGTGGGTGTGCCAACGACAGAGAAGAGAAAGGCAAGAAGCCACAACGAGTGAGTGAATGAACCCGATGCGGGCCTTGGAATATGGGTGGCATGGCTGGTCTTGGAGAGCAAAAGTGACTTTGGTACCTGCCTGTGTAGTGTACGTTACGTGGTGGCAGGTGGGACATCGTGAAAGTGGAGGACACTTAAAGGCAGACTGGAGCGAGGTGAGGTGAGGTGAGGCGAGGCGGAGGGCGGGTTCAGAGATGTCGCCAAAGGCGGAAAAGAACGTTTCCATTAACGCTCTCAGGGTGGATGCGATACGTATCCATAGAGGCTCCAGTACGTACCGTTGGAGGCTGCGGATGGCTTGGATCATGGATGGCAGCTCCAACTTCCATCCAAGTCCCGTCCAAAAAGACACTGGACCCAGGCTTGCCCAGGGAACCCAAGATGGTAAGGTACGTACCGGCCAGAGCTGCCATCACGTCTCGCTTTTTGCGCCGTCCAGTGAGGAAAGGTGGTAGGTATCGATTTCCAGCCATTCGCCATGGACAGGGTCTGCTGTGCTGATATGATGGGGGCAGCCAGAGGCGGCTCCAGCCAGAAAAGGGTGTGTAGCGACATGTTTTACAGCCGCTCATCCCCCCCATGATGCCCCCATTTCACTATTTCTCACCCGCTAAGTCTAACATTTAGCCGGGCCTACAAAATACAGTGTCGAGCAGGATGATGTACAGTCTCACCCACACGGAGGCGGCTGGGGTGATTGGCCGGGCTCGAGTTACAAAGTGGTCCTCGTGAGCACCCGCCCCCCCACTTCCATGGATGATGGGTCCAATGATCCAATGGTCGGTCCAGTCTCCCGTCCAAAGTACAGAATCAGCGTCGTCCTTTCCTTCCCACACTTTTCCACCCTCCACCAACCCTCCTTCCACTGGCGCAACTTGGAGCGACACCCCCCGGTCGTCTCCGCTCCACACTCGTGCAGCTGCAGAAGGAGCAGCGGCCCCGTTCATTGGCTCCTGCTCCCGGCCGGGGCTGGAGGTTCAACTGCATCTCTCACCGCTTCTTTCTCGGGCTCGTCGTCGTTCCTCTTCACCCACGCATGCCCGCTTTTGGGGCCCCCGACCAAGTCCTTCGCCCTTCTCACCACCAGAATCCCTCTCTACCCACCTCGTCCTCCCCCCCCAAACCTTTGTCGCCGCAGCGAAGAAGGTCTTTTGCTCCCCTCATCCACTTCACCATCACCCCGACGAAAGAGCGGTGTCCTGGGGAAAAAGGCCATATCTCTGCTCCAACTCCCCTTCCTCGACTTACACCTATCCGTTGTTGGTCCTTTTTCCACGACTGATCATACCCAACATGAATGTCAACTTCGATACGAGTGGAGGCGACGCCCTCTTGGACCTCTCCTCCTTCGACCAGCGGGACCGGTTTTCCTACGCCTCGCAAATCCCCTCATCCCAGAACAGCCCCCAGAGCGTTACGAACATGCCCGCTCCGAGGATCTGGCCCATTCCTTTGGATATGGCCTCGAATGTCGCAGCCTCGAGTCCCCCCGAGGACCAGCAAGCCCACTCGCCCTCACATAGCTCCTCACCTCTGAGCCAGCACTCGCATCATTCACCATACCAGCAACCCGTCAACTCATTGACCGACTGGGCTTTGCAACAACATCAGCATCAGCAACAGCAGACACCCCATGGATTGCCCGATTACTCTCAATATGTCTCCGATGCCTACATGCCCGTAACATACAACCCCTATGCCCCGGGCTTTCAGACAAACCCCATCGACTTTCTCCCGGCCACGACCCAGGCGCTGCAAGCCGCAAACTTTCAACTCGCGTCGGCCTTCAACTCCATGCCACCCATGGACGACACTGTTCCGGCTATGAATTGGAGCATGGGAATGGAGAGCTGGCACGACATCCAGGCTGCTGCCTCGGCGTTGCAAATCGACGGCCTGTCTCATAGCATCGGCAGCAATTCGCCGACGGGTACCTTCCTCGAGGTCCTGTCCCTGCCGAGCTCTGGCAATGGAGAGGGGTGGTCAATGGTGGTTGAGCAAGGCTCCGGAGCAGGATTCGACCACTTCCAACAGGCGCAACCCAATGCGGCAATCTTCAACCCCAGCCAGACACTACACTTGAGAACCAATTCAGACTCGTCGGACGGTGCCAATTCATTTGAGCTCGGCAGCTATGAGGAGATTGCCCCATTCCCCATCTCTCCCTTCTCCCCCGAGTCTGATGGATACGTCGATGCCGGATCGCACCGCAATTGCTTCGGAGACAACCACAACCACACTCATACTCATAGCCACGCTCAGGCCCACGTTCATGCCCATGTTCACAACCATGACACAGTCAGCCCTGCAGCTGCCGTTGCGCCCATGCCCATCAAGACAACCACACCGACCCGGCCGACTCCCGCCAGCGGCTCCGGCGCTACCTCTCCCCCCATTCTCACCACCGCCAGGAGGAACTCGGGTCAGAGGCGCAGCCCCGTCACCGGCAAGGCCACCAAGGCCGTCATCCGCCGCACTTCCACTGGCAAAAAGGATGGCTCAGAGGTTAAGAAGGTTGGTCGCAGAAAGGGTCCTCTCCTGCCTGAGCAGCGTAAGCAGGCCAGTGAGATTAGAAAGCTTCGTGCCTGCCTGCGTTGCAAGTTCTTGAAGAAGACCTGTGACAAGGGCGAGCCTTGTGCTGGCTGTCAGCCGTCTCATGCCCGCTTATGGCAGGTTCCCTGCACGCGCATCGATATCAAGGACATTGGCTATTTCATGAAGGACTGGAAGGCCGACTATGAGCGCCACCTTGGCCGCGGTGTCTCAGTTTACAACGTCAAGGGCTTTGCTCAGAACGAGACTGTCATGTGGATCACTCACGGCTATGGCTTTGCCCTCCCCGTTTACGTCCGCGAGGTCTACGTGGCCGACGAGAGCTGCTTCCAGGTTGATTGGGTTGAGTCCTGTTTGACCGACCAGGAGCCCATTGACTTTGACATTCGCACCGAGAGGCTCGATGTTGGTGCCAAGGGCGTTTCCGTTGAGGCCTTGTCTGACTACCTCGACAAGCACATTGACGGAGGCTTTGAAGATTTCATTGAGGACCACTTCGAGGGTACTCCGTTCATCACCGAGATCCTGAAGACCGCTCACCGCTATTATGTAAAGGAGCGCATGCCTGTCATCCGCAAGGCTTTGAAGCTCGTCCTTGCCTACAACCTCACACTGCACATCACCATGGTTGAGAGCCAGGGCGAGGATGTTCAGCTCGACGGCCAGATCGATGATGAGGACTCCAAGTACTATGGCAAGACCGTTGCCCCCGTCATGATCAACTTCCAGATCAAGTGTGCCATGGCCGACATGTGGCGTGAGCTCCAGAAGGAGATCCTCGAGGAGTTGTCCGCCCTCTACTCGAGCGTTTACAGCGGTGAACGTCTCAAGAACTGGCCCACCATCTTCATGTTGGCTTCCATCCTCCTCGCCGTCTGGGAGGAGATGCAGTTCGACTGCCACTACCGCGTACCCGACCCAGCTGCCGTCAACAAGTTCTGTAACGACATGGAGACCACCCCCGTCGGTGTCATTGTTGGCCTCTTCCACGCCATCTCTCAGAAACTCCCTGCCTTTATGGACTGGGACACCGCGAAGCACGGACACCTCCTGAACAACAACGTCGCTGTCTGCGAGGCCATGACTGAAGTCCGTCAACATGTCATCAAGCACGGTAAGTTACCAATTATCCAATACATCATATCTGGAGAGCGCTAATAGCCCCAATAGAGGCATACCTGCGTACTCGCCCCGAGGCTAGCTTTGACCGCAACGACTTTGACTGCTTGTCGAATAAGTTCTTATCAAAGCTCGTGATCCGCGCCAACTGATTGTCTACTGTGCTATTATTATTTCTGCCATATGTTTCCTTCTTGAGATTATGATTTAAAAAAGCCCCCGGGTGGGCATTGGATTGGCATTTCTTTTGTTATTTCGAGTCACAGCGACGGCGTTGAACGAGACACCACACACACACACACACAAGATCTCTACACCACCTCTTCACTTCACTTCTTTTCGGCTGGTCACCTCCCCACCACGACGATTCATCGCGATGTGTTACGACCTTTTATCATGATTCAAATTACGAATGTATGACTCGAAGCTTTTGGGGTTGGTGGTCTGGAGTCGAGCGCAGGCGAGAAGGGCTGCGCGGCGGCAAAGAGAGACGCGACATGCGCCAAGGACGTTCATGGAGACGATCATGCCGGCACGACAGGCAAATGACAGAGCATAGCAAGCATAGACGATTATGATATGCATTGGATTTGGGGCGTTGGAAGGGCCCATTGCAAAAACCTTCAGGCAAGAATTGGAGAGGCACATTGGCCGATATAGGCATTACGCTGTTGTAGTTACCTTGGGCAAAAATCGATATGTCGAGATTGTTTGTTTCGCGCCCTTCGCCATGAGTTCAGATGCACCTTTCAGATCGTGACAAAATATGAAACCTTCTATCCCAGATGAGGCTGATATCAACGTATTTCAAGGGAACATGAGGGTCACATGAGGCAGCATGCAAGCCGTGGCGTGCAGCCCACCACCTGGTGAACCACCCAAGTGCCACCTCAGACTCGAGCAGCGTGGTCCAAATTGGGGCACGAACCTCTGCGGGATGGGCTTAAGCAGGGTCAATGAGGGGAAGAAGGCCTTATCGCAGCAAATGGGGTCAAAGGGCAAGCTTTGGTACGATTGAGGCCAAGCCAATGAGAAGAGTGGCTGGAAGGCAAGGATACGTACGGTGGTGGTGGTGGTGTTTGTGGTCCGGTGCAGAAAAAGGGCAGCCAACGTGGCCGAACTGAACACCTCCGGGCAGGGAGGGGGGCGATGCCACGCGAGTCTCGCTCGTGCAGGCAAAACAGGGCCTTTCGGGAGCGCGTGAACGGATGTCGCGATAAGGCCTGAGCGATGAAGACCGATATCGCCATCGCTTCATTCCTCGGCTGACGAAAGCGTTGCTTCGGAGCTGGACTTTGGGTACGAGACGGAGGTCGGCGTGATTTGTTTTCAGTGAAAGGCGACGTTTCATGATTGAATGTTTGTCAAAAAACCGCCGAAACGAGATAGAACTCTTCTTTGGCCAAAGTGGTTTCTGTTTGTCTGGTTCGGGCGGCGGTTCGAAAAATCAGGGTCGGGAGAGGTTGGGGTGGCCTTTGGGATGACGTCGGCTCATTTCACCTGCCACCCCGGTCTCGCCGGTCCTTCTCCGCAGTTTAGTGTTTGGCCATGTTGGGTGATTCGTGGATGAGGGTGAGTATTCAGCGACATTCAATTCGCAGGGTATAACTCAATGAAGGCATTGTGCAGCCTGACAGGTAGGTCGAATGAGCTTGACTTACGGATGAGGATGAGGTTGAGAAAAGCTTTGGACGGGGGCGATGGGATTAGCAAGCGAGCCATTCGAACGGGAAAAGATGGACCAAGAGGCTCTGGAGGTGGCGATTCTCATGCTCATTGCCGCTTGCTTCAGAGCGAGTGGTCAAGCACTCCAGAGTCAAAAGTGTACTAAGGTATCCCAGTGGCGGGTGGGGCGCTTGTTTTGTCAGTGACAGACAGTCACGGCCGGGTCGGACTTGTTTCTGACCCTGTTTGCTCTTTTACGCTTTTTAGCTTTCCTTTGGTTGGTGTCCGGGTGTCTGTGGAATCCGTCAGGTGCAGGTGAGACACGACGAATTCCAGTGTGCTGTGTCAAACCGAAGCCAGCCTTGCCAGCCCGCTTGACTTCAATATGGAAAAATGAAGTCTATCGGCAGCTAGCATCGTGGGAGAGACAGACATTCCTGAGAATGCGCTCGGCGATTCTTCAGCCGCATTGTTTGTTGTCGGCGGTAATCATTGCTCTCGTTGGACTTGGTAAACTGTAAGCAAAAGAGCAATTACGCCCGGGAAGAGGCGGAGCAGCTACCAGGATACCGTAGATAGTGGGCCTCCGGTGACCCATCAGTTCATCAGTGACATTCTCAAGACTCTCCGAGGGACTAGCGGTATCGAAACCGTGCAGTGTTTCCTCTTCAAATGCGGCACCACCGAAGGCACAAATGTCGAAATCTTGAAGAAGAAAGCAGATGTGCAAGATGGCAGCGTTGCTTTGTTCTTTTTTGTCTGTATTTTGGCCTTGGGACTACTGCGCAGGGGCGGCATGAACGAGACCATCTGATCAAAGAAGCGGCGGCGGCGAGTGGCCAACCGTCTAGCGCAACTGAGACATCAGGCACAGCACTCTGGGTTCGAGCCGCCTTCCCAGGTTCGTGGTCAGAAGCCGGCGATAAGGAAGACGGAAAACCAAGGTACCTCTACTTTTTTCTGCTCTGTTTGCCACATAGAAACCAATGTACACCAACACCTTCCTCAGAAAACCCCACCTGGTTCTGGAGGGTTCCGGCCTGCTCCTGCCTACTTTAGCGCCTTGTGGCACTTGCGCAGTTGCTGATGAATCATTCGCCATTCCCCCAGACAAGTCACTCACTGCATAACTTGCCCCACTTTCTCACACTTGCGCCCCCCAATCAAGGCCTACTTCCTTGCCTTCCGCGGTCAGTCAGTCACCTCCCAACTGGACCTCTGACACCTTGTTGACCTCCGGTATTTAAGCCACTTCACCTCTTCTTCCATTCCTCTTCCTTTTCTTCCCATCACATCCACTACTACCCGCTGTCGCTCGTCGAATTTCCCACCATCAACAACTCGATCACGAGTAACTGCATCCAGGAATACCAATCAACACCACGCATCAGTACCCAACGAAGTCGCCATCATGCAGATCTTCGTGAAGACCCGTAAGTTGTCTAGACATCCAAGAATCCGTCCCTGTCAATAACTAACACCGCCTCCCCCAGTCACCGGCAAGACCATCACTCTTGAGGTCGAATCCTCCGATACTATTGACAACGTCAAGTCCAAGATTCAGGACAAGGAAGGCATCCCCCCAGACCAACAGCGTCTTATCTTCGCTGGCAAGCAGCTTGAGGACGGCCGAACCCTTTCCGACTACAATATTCAGAAGGAGTCTACCCTTCACTTGGTTCTCCGCCTTCGTGGTGGTATGCAGATCTGTAAGTCACTCCATCACGCCTCCCTGGAATTAAATAGGCGCTAATGAGGTACACAGTCGTCAAGACCCTCACCGGCAAGACCATCACCCTTGAGGTTGAGTCTTCTGATACCATCGACAATGTGAAGTCGAAGATTCAGGACAAGGAGGGCATTCCCCCTGACCAGCAGCGTCTTATCTTCGCCGGCAAGCAACTTGAGGACGGTCGCACTCTGTCCGACTACAACATTCAGAAGGAGTCTACGCTCCACTTGGTTCTCCGTCTCCGTGGCGGTATGCAAATCTTCGTCAAGACTCTGACAGGCAAGACGATTACGCTCGAGGTCGAATCTTCAGACACCATTGACAATGTCAAGTCGAAGATCCAAGACAAGGAGGGCATCCCTCCCGACCAGCAGCGTTTGATCTTTGCTGGAAAGCAGCTCGAGGATGGTCGCACCCTGTCGGATTATAACATTCAGAAGGAGTCTACCCTGCATCTCGTCCTTCGCCTCCGCGGTGGTATGCAGATCTTCGTCAAGACATTGACCGGAAAGACAATCACGTTAGAAGTCGAGTCTTCCGACACGATTGACAACGTGAAGTCCAAGATTCAGGACAAGGAGGGCATCCCACCTGACCAGCAGCGTCTCATTTTCGCTGGCAAGCAATTGGAAGACGGCCGCACCTTGAGCGATTACAACATTCAGAAGGAATCTACGCTTCACCTTGTCCTCCGCTTGCGTGGTGGCCAGTAAGCGTTGGCTTCGTATAGCGGAAGTTGCCTCGGGCGAGGCATGGCGTTAATGGATTACGATTATGGCGGGACAATGGTTCTGAACGATATCTTCACACATTCCTAGGAATTAGCTAGGCACTCTTGCGCTCAAGAAAGCGCCAATACTAGACTTGATTGAAGTCTCAAATCACGTTTTTTGCCCTTGTGAGTGACATGCTCATGGAAAAGTACCTAAGTTTCGGTGATTGTCATGCCACTGCCAACCTTGAGTTATCGGTTGGACCATTGGTGGCTTATCAGTGACGTACCTTATGGAACCAGTTCCGCAGCGGCGGGGCAGTGGGGTGTCCTCACAGCTGCTGGAACCTCGCATACGAATCACCTCAATCCTCCACATTACACAATCATTCTGCCTGCCTCTGCGTGTTGCGTCGCGACATGAACAGCCCACGGAAGTCCTGGAAACAACTGGAAATTCACTTTCTATTGCCTCCATAGTTTGACATCTTTTCTTCCAGCCGCCGAAGCATTCTCACACACCTGAAGTCAAACAGCATCGTCTCACAGCAGCTTGCGAGGCTGAGAAGTGCTATGCGGACCTTCTTCTACCACCTCAAGTTCGAGCTTTATCCCACTCCAAGTCCCGCACTTGACGACACCAAGGGAACCAAAGGGAAAGAGCAGGCAGCAGCTCCCAGTAAAGAGGTGTGGCTTCCGCCGAAGGGCGCCAACATCTTCGCCGAACTTCCGGCACATTCCAGGAAAAGTTCGAAGAGGCCAAGTACAAGCTACCGACCACAACCTTCACCACTACAAGCGTTCGAGCCACCGTATCCCGCTACTACCTACCGATCGAGCTCGCATCGGGCACAGGCAAACATTGCCAACGCAAGCCTTATTGACTGCGGACCTTCCAGAGCCCCGGTCAAAGAAGACAGTGGCAGTAATATCGAAAGGATAACTGAGAGGCAGTGGAGAGCTCGTACGCGGAGTTTCCCACCTCCGCCTTCTTCGGCAGCGATCCGACCAGAGACGGCAGTCAGAGACTGGCGCTTTGGTCAAGTCAGAATCGAGAGCATCGACATTGATTCAGGGAGCGACGGGCATACATACCCAATGGCGGCCGAGGCAGCGAGCTCTGCAGCAGACCTGGGCGTCGGTCCAACATTTGGAGGCACCGGGATCTCCACAAAGGCGAAGTATGTCCCGCTCGAGACAAAGAGCACGGAAGTAGGCTGGGGAGTCGTACATTTTTACCGCGAAGAGGAGGAGACACCTGGTTTGGGCATGCCGCCGTCGGAAGAAGACGGTGTTAAGGCGGAAGACTGTACAACGCTTTGCATACCCGCGGTCCCCAGTTATCTCAGCCCAGGGGATTTCATTGGGTACGTCGGGGAGAAATGGAGGAACGACATCAGTCACTGGCGAATGGTTATGACGGCCCGGATGAATCGATATCTGGTGCTACTGAAGTTTAGAAACACCGAGAGGGCGCGAGATTGGCAGAGAGAGTTTGACGGAAAGGTCTTCAACAGTATGGAGGTGAGTCGTCGAGAGCAATCCCGGACACAGCCGCGTTACTGACTCTTTCACAGGCCCAAGTTTGCCATGTTGTCTTCGTCAAATCGATCACTTTTGAGACATCAACTAGAGAAAACAGGACGTTTCCCGACCTTAACCACGATCCGTTTACACCGTCCTCTTCTTCCGTCGCCGCCTCGAGCAGTTTGAAGCCTTTCCCTCCGCCGACACCGAATCTTATCGAACTACCTACTTGTCCTGTGTGTCTCGAGCGCATGGACGATACAACAGGTCTAATGACGATTCCCTGCCAGCATGTCTTCCATTGCACCTGCCTGCAAAATTGGAAAGGATCAGGTTGTCCAGTCTGCCGACACACGAACCCCGAAACCGCATACGACCCGTCAAACCCATATACCCAGCCCTTCGGCTCGTCGGTGTCAAATCTGTGCAGTGTATGCGATTCGACAGACGACCTATGGATCTGCCTCATCTGTGGAAATGTCGGATGTGGTCGCTACAAGGGCGGCCATGCCAAGGATCATTGGAAGGAGACGGCACATAGCTTCTCGCTGGAATTGGAGACGCAACATGTGTGGGATTATGCTGGGGATACGTGGGTACATCGTTTGATCCGTGACAAGGGCGACGGTAAGGTCGTTGAGCTCCCAGGCAGCAACGGACATCACCATGGACCGGGAGGTGACTACGAGGATACTGTTCCCCGCGCCAAGATAGACAACATTGGTCTAGAATATACTCATCTCCTCACTAGCCAGCTCGAGTCACAACGGGTTTACTTTGAGGAGATGATCAGCAAAGTAGCGGACAAGGCTTCCAAGGCAGCCGCGACAGCCGAGTCTGCATCGGCGCAAGCTACTACGGCCCTAGAAGAAAATGCGACTCTCAAGGCGGAACTCAAACGCCTCCAGACGCAAGTCATACCATCACTCGAGCGCGACGCGGAACGCGACCGTACAAAAGCCACAAAGGCCCAGGAACTCGCCCGCAACATGGGCAAAGCCCTACAGGAAGAGAAGCAAGTCACCCAGGGGCTCATGAAGCGCGTGGAGCACAACAAAGCCGAGGTCGAGGCCCTGAGGAAGGGCGAGGCGGCGTACAAGGAGCAGATTGCGGAGCTGCAGGAGACGAATAGGGATATGGCCATGTTCATATCGGGACAGGAAAAGCTGCAGCAGATGGAGAAGGCGGGCGAGATCGAGGCCGGAGAAGTTGCGGAAGGGAATTTAAGCGTTCCTGAAAAGAAGGGGAAGCGGAGAGCGAAGAAGTAAGGGTGCCAGGAGATAGTTTATTGGGACCGGCGTTCATGGGAGGAGGCTGGCAGTTTGATGCCTTGCTTACAAGCGATATTTAGTATTGGAGCGGTTCGTTCTCTCAATGCTTATTCCCTCTACTTGCGAGATGTCCGTGAAAACCTATGTATCTATTGAGGCTTGTGATGTTTGGCCTTGTCTACACGTCTCACCGAGGGTCTGTCGGTCTGCCTGGGCCTTACATCATGCAAGTTATCAATGTTTAGAGTGGTTTGTCAAGAGAGAGACGAATGCCTAGACTCTGCTGCCGCTATTTTCTCGACGTGTCTGCAGCTCGGAAGACTGCTACTGCTCGCGGTGAAGACGAGGTAGAAAAAACGAAGTATCGTCTTGGTGATTTGTCACCGATGTTTGCTACCTAGGTACCGATTTAAGTTGGAATGAAAGGCTTGAATAGAGATGGCGATGGTGGTTTTCGGTCCACGATTTGATGACAGCGTAGGAGGATATAAACCCGAGGAGTATTAAACGGTTTGGTTGGAATACAAATCGGTACTGATCATTGAAGATAAAATCTGAAGGCGGATGTCCGGGCAGGTAAAATTCTGGTCACGGAGGGAAAAAGAGAGATTGAGGAAGGTCAGTGACCCGAACGGCATGGTCAGGTAATGTTTTCTCGTCAAATAGACTAGATTGACTGAACGTTGTGTACCAAAACATAATTATAACAGCGATCCTGAAAATTCTCTACCGCCTTTTCCGCTCCTGCATCCCTATCCAGCTCTCAACCGGCCTAGACCAGACAAGAAGCAACCGCGCCCCAGGGAGACTGGTCTCCATGCTCTACGTCCAGAATCTGTGTGCTAGTCTCGTTCTTCCATATGCTTAGGAAGAGGGAGGCGAGGAAGGCACCTGAGACGACAATAAGAGGGAGCCCCGGAATGATCCGGTCGACGACCAGCCCCGGCCCTTTTAGTAATGTGGCTCGATTCGCGTAGCAAAATATGATGGAGAAAAGGGAATAACTGCATCGAACAGATGTACCTGTAAATTCCTATATCGCTCGAGCGGGAATGGGCACTTACACGTTGGGCAGCCTGGACAGGTGACGCCACACGATGAAGAGTACACCGCCCCCAACCATTTCAAAACACCAGAGACTGTTCCCCCTTCATCAGCTAAAGAATTGCAAAAGCCTTGGTGACGAGTCGGCAGACCTGGTGTAAGCTATGTCACCTAAGTCATGATCATCTCTGGTAATGGCAATATGTGCGGATGCTATTGTTGTTGCTGTCCCCCAAATCTTACGCAGTATCGTGAGGACATGGCTATGGCATAGCGTACTGATTCGGGGCTCAAAATTAATATGATACATTCTAGAAATGCAAAGGGGGGTTGTGTTAGTAATTACTTCACTGTTTACTGTCTCTAAATAAAATAAGTCAAAAACGTACTCAAAAACATAGATAGTCGCAAGCCTCAGGAGCCTCAGATGCAACGGTATCGACCTATCTGGAGGAACCGGCTCCCCCAGCTGCTGGAGCTCTAGGTCTGGCATGTTAATCATGGCAGGTTGTGACGAACTGCCGGTAGGGAATCTGTGATGATGAGCAGACGGCTGAAGCCCCATAGTTGCAGGTCATCGCATCAACTCCGACCCGGCCCCTGCCATTCCATTGCGCATAGAGATGGTTCGACCTTTATTGCCAACTACGTGATGATGAACTTGTTATATGACAGATATGATGTTATCATAATCACTGGTCCCAGTTCATCCAGTGCAAGGGCTGTTGACAGTCTTTGCGGGTATGCTCAACAATCCAACGTCGTGTTAATGAGGAATCATAAGTCCATCGACATTAGCAAGTAAAGCTCAAGTATTTGCTTCATATTGAGCGCCATGGGACTGCACCATACCAGTGAAAGGAGAAATAAAAGCTGGAGTTAGTAGCGAGTCTCATCAAGGATATGCTGCATCCGGGGTATAGCATACCCACATGGCATTGAGGTTCACGTGTGTTGACAGTATATATGCCGAGTATTCATGGATTGATTGTATCAACACCGAACTAGCTGCCTGAGGAAGTCACCCGCTTCTCCTTTGGTGGGGGTGGGCTAACCATCCTTAGTACCGCAATACCTTGATTAGGAAGATATTCACGATCCCGAACACCATCAATAATACTCACTCAGTATGCCAAAATCACGGCCAAAACCACCATTCACTTGAAGCAAAACAAAAATAAAGCAATGATCCTAATCTACAAAATACGACAAAAAATAGGAATTACTAAAAAAATGCAAAAAAAGTACACGCCCAAGTTCGATCCCGGCGCTCGAACTTGCGCGTCTCGCGAGTTAACCAGAGAGAGCCCGATCGAGATATTTGCTTTTCTCTCTTCCTGAGATACCGTTAGACCACTTGGCCTCAACGGGATCTCACCTGGTGAAAGCAATCAGAGTTGTAGCGCCTCAAAGGGGTCTGGATGGTGGTGAATTGGGTTGGGATGAAAGACAACCGGGTTGGGCGGGGGCAGGTGAACTTGCTCCTTCCCAAGGGCAGGAAGGTGCGCCAGTCGGTCGACCCAAGGCACCTTCCTACCATGTGACCCGGTTGTCTATGGTCTCCCGTATAGACCTATCAAGCTACCGGGAAACCAGAGTGAACACCCTGGCTACCTTACCTCAGTACCTTACTGCCTCATACACATGTCTCCTACAATGTCCATGCAAACCTTTGCGGAAAGAAGAGCACATGACGATAAGGCTGACCAGAACCAGCAGCATCCGATAAACAAAAGGGGAGAATCGACGGGTATCACAAACGTATCCTGTCCTCCAACCACTCCGCAATAGCATCCTGCCCGCGCTCACCAAGCTCAAGCCCTTCATTCTCGCCAACCTCAACGACAGCCACCCGCCTTTCGGCCTCGGCGACCTCATCAAACTCCTCATCCCACTCCATCCTCGACTTGAACTCCAGCTTCTCCAAGCTCCGCCTCATCAACCCCGCCAGCTCCGTCGCCTGGGCTTCAAAAGTGTGCCCAGCCACCTTTCGCTTCCTCGCCGCCGTCCTGGAAGCAAGTTCACTAGCCATGGACGACGCCATGCTGCGTTTCCTCGTCGTCGTCTTACGTTTCGCCACTGGCTCCGTTGGAGTGTCATGAAGTAACAAAACCGAAGGCAGCTTGAGCGTCGACTTTCTCGGTGGAAACACAAGCGCGCTCCGCCTCGGCGCCGGAAATAGCCCTTCCGCGACGCCCAGGATATCGGCCGGCTTCACGTCCGACGTGACGGAGGAGAGCCGTTCCAGAAGCGACGACACGGCTGCCGCCTGCACGAAGCTCGACGGCGCGTTCATGCCGGCCGTCTGGAAGAAGAAGCTGGGGCTCGCAAACGGGTCGAGGAGGTCCACGGGCGCGCGGAACAGGTCGGGCATCCTCATTTGCAGCGCATGCAGTGCTGAGCCGTCCTCGGGCCGCGGCGGGAGCTTCTTGCTGCGCGGGGTGGAGGGCTTGTTGACCTTGTGGTCCGGGAGGAACATGGACCAGTTGTAGATGCCGTTCCAGGCTACCAGTCCGCGGACGGCCATGCGCTCGTGGTGGTGGGACTCGGTGAGGGCTAGGGAGGCGGCGATGCTGGCGCCGGCGTGTGAGCTGTACACGTAGATGTCGCGGCGGGATGTGGTGCCCAGGGGAAGGAGGTTGTCTGTGATCCAGTTGTAGCCGGTGAGGACGTCGTGCAATGGGGTGGGCCATGTGAGAGGCGTGGTGAAGTTGAAGTCGGGGCCGTGGTCGGATTCCGGAGAGGTGGAGACCGGGGACGGGGACCATCGGTAGTTGATGACGGCCGTTGGGTAAGGGGTGAGGAACCCCGGGACGGCGGCCAGATATCCCGGGGTTGGTGAGAAGGGCGGTATATACAAGACCAGCGGGGTCGTGACAGGATGACGGTTGAAATTGTGCAGGCTGTGCGTTGCGTTAGAAATGACACCATAGTCTGATGGATAGAAGGAGACGGACTCTAGTGTGATAGTCCCCGAGGAGCGACAAGCCACGTCGATGGACTCGACATCAGGCGCGCGGTCATGATGGAAGCACCGTCGTTGAAAGACACGACTTTGGCGCAGATGAGACAACAGCCAGGGTCTCGGCCATCTTCTCATCGTCTAAGAATACGAGACAATAGCAGAGCGGGCTACTGAAACACTCATGTTCAGTCGGACGTTCGCTCAGCACTCCATGTAAGTGTGTGTTGTATTTACGAGTAATAACTATTATCCGTACGAGCTAAACGAATAGACAACGGTAATTCCCTGGACGCGTTTTTTTTTTTTTTTTTTTTTTTAAATTTTAAAGGGCCACCCCCGCCCCCCCCCCCCCCCCCCCCCCCCCCCCCCCCATACCACACGAGCATGCCCCGCGACCTCCCTTCGTGTTTTTTTTTTTTTTTTTTTTTTTCAAAGTTGAAGGGGCCACCCTCGGACCAACCAGCGGCCATTCCATCTCCACACCACCATCTCCGATTCTCCAGCCTTCAGTTTGCACCGCCGCAAAACGTTCCCCACACGTCACCGCTGCTAAGCTTTCGGTTCTTGGTCAAGGGTCCCTCAACTCCCACTTTCTCGCAGTAGTGTAGTAGCGTACCTTACTTACTGCTCCAAGCGCCGGAGCAACCACCGCTGAAATGAAGCCAAGGAATCGCCGAGTCCAGACAGAGGAAGACTATCAGCTCGTCCTGCTGCATGCATGGATAACCTGATCTGTCTGATGATCAACGCCCACTTGTTTGCCACATGCGATCTGGGGGACATATACTACACGTGAATGGAGAGACAAGTGTATAGAAGCGCGGATAGGTACCACGTCAAAAAGTTCCAACGGCTCCGACGGAACCGGCGGCCAAACCATTTCTTCACGGACAAGCGATCGCCGACCTCCCAATAGCGAGGAATCGTAAACTCTGATATCTGGGATCGAGAAACGGAGATCATCCAGCCCCCTGTTGACGATCTAAAGCAGGCCATACAACAAACTCCCGCCCGTTGTACTTGGCTACGTAGAGCGTCCTTTGGTGTGTCTCACTTATCTGATCAGTAGGTACGAATGGAATAAAGACGAGACAAAAAACAGGTAGCGAGTGCACACCCTCTTCGGCAAACCCAAACAGACGTCATCGCGAAGTACCTTCATCCCCCTCTGTCTGGCCCGTCTGGGGGACCCCGGCTAGCACGCTAGCACTTTCAGAAGTCTATACTCGCGAATCTCAACATCGATGGGGAAAAAGGAGATTTCCAGAAACCCTTCTTCTTCAACACAGTTGTTATATCCAGCCAAGACCTGTAAAATCAATCTTTTATAAGAATCTACTCTAGCGTTGTATTTCTTTGGGACAGACCTATCTTTTAGCCGGGAATGCCTTCACCTTCGGCGGATTCACCACATCGCACCCGCTCGTTTCTCCTCCGTGGCTCGCCGCTTGACCCTACGCCGCCATGAACGACGCCGACCTAGGCGACAACATTGACGAGCGTATCGGCCAGCTCGAACAATCAAATAACCCCCGCAGCAATGAGAAGCGCTTCGCCAACGATGTCGCCCACCTCGACCCGAGCCGGTGGTGGTTCGCCTCCTCCGCGTTCCCCATGGTCGCTGGCACCCTCGGCCCCGTCGCCTCTGCCTTCAGCATCTGCGCCCTCGTCCGGCCTTGGCGACAGCACTACCCGCCGAACACCGACATCACCGCCGCCCCCTTTGTGCCGGATCCGAAATGGTTAGACCCTTCTCATTCACCATGCCTCACATCCGTGATACGCGAACACTCATCTCACCGACCGAAGCTAACGAGATCTCTAGGCTCATCATCGTCAACGCCATCCAGCTCGCCATAGCAATCATCTCAAATATCTTTCTCCTCCTCAACATGGCCCGCCGCGTCCGCTTCTCCCTGGCCCAACCCATCACCATCGTCGGCTGGTACATGTCGGCCATTTGCCTCGTCGCTCTCAACGCCACCGCCGCGGGGCCCCTCGTCATTGAGCCCACCGAGGAGTACATCTACTCCCAGGCCTTTTACTACGGCATGTTCGCCGCCATCCTCTACTTCCTTACCGCCTCCCTCATGGTCGCCACCGTCTACGGCGCCGCCACCGCCCACTACGCAAAAGACTTCCAGCTCACCACCGCCCAGCGTACCCTCATGCTCCAGACCATCCTCTTCCTCTGCTACCTGCTCCTCGGCGCCCTCGTCTTCTCCAACATCGAGGGCTGGGCCTACCTCGACGCCGTCTACTGGGCCCAGGTCACCCTCTTCACCGTCGGCTTCGGCGACTTCGCCGCCGCCTCGCCCCTCGGCCGCGCCCTCCTCATCCCCTACGCCCTCGTCGGCGTCATCTCCCTCGGTCTCGTCATCGGCTCCATCCGCAGCCTCGTCCTCGAGCGCGGCCGCCGCAGGCTCGACGCCCGCATGGTCGAGAAGAAGCGCCGCCAGCTCCTCCGCGCAATGACCCGCAAGGGCAAGGATGAGATCCTGAAGCCCATCGACCCGGAGACCACCGGAAACTCCGCCCCTGCCTCTTCCCCTTTACCCGTAACGGAGCTCGAGCGCCGCGAAGAGGAGTTCAAGCTGATGCGCAAGATCCAGCACCAGGCCTCCACCCGCCGCCGCTGGATGGCCATGTCCATCTCCTTCTCCACCTGGCTCGTTCTCTGGCTCGTCGGCGCAAAAATCTTCCAGGAGTGCGAGCGGCCCTACCAGAACTGGTCTTACTTTGAAGGCTTCTACTTTGCCTTCGTCACCCTCACGACCATCGGCTACGGCGATCGTACCCCCGTCTCCAACTCGGGCAAGGCCTTCTTCGTCTTCTGGTCCCTCCTCGCCTTGCCCACCATGACGGTGATGATCTCCAACGCGGGAGACACCGTCGTCAAGGCCATCCGCGACGCCACGCTCGAGCTCGGCAACATCACCATCCTCCCCGGCGAGCGCGGCTTCCGCAAGGACCTCAAGTCCGTCCTCCACCGCCTCACCTGCGGCTTCCTCTTCCACCCCACCGATGAGGAGTCCGATGAGGAGTCCAACGAAGCGTCCAATGAGGACGAGGACGATGAAGACGACGACGAAGACAACGCCCTCCCGCCGGGCTTCCTATCAAACGCCCACCGCAGACCCCAAAACGAAGACGACGACGACGACATCAACGAGGAAGAAAGCGACGAAATGGAAGCCTACTCCTCCGTCCCGGACCGCGACCACGCCCGCGCTCCTCCAGCATTCTCCCCAGAACCCAAAGACTCTCAGGCCCGTCCATCAAATCCCGACCGCCAAATCACTACCAAAAACAACAACATCAACGACACCACTCGCCGCCGCCGCCCCTTCTCCCGCATCCGCGACCCTACCTCGGCTCTACCAGCCTCCCGCGCAGACTACCACTTCCTCCTCATCTCCGAAATCGCCGCCGTCCGGCAACACGCCAAAGAAAAGCCCGCCCGCCGCTACTCCTTTGCCGAGTGGGCGTGGTACCTAAAGCTCATTGGCGAAGACGAGTCCAGCTCCGCCACCCACCGCAAGGCGCGCCCGCACATTCATTCCAAGAAGAAGAAGAAGAAGAAGCCGACGACGGCCATGTCCAGGAAAAGGCGCAACGGCGGGACGGTCGACGAGGAGAATGAGGAGCAGACAGAGGAGCCGGACTGCGCGGACGAAGACAAGTGGTCCTGGGTCGGGTCGCAGTCGCCGCTAATGGGCAGCCAGGAGGAGTGCGAGTGGATCCTGGAGAAGCTCACTGAGAAGCTGCGGGACGAGCTCGACGTCGTCCGAGGCGAGGAGCTCGAGAGGAAGAGCATGGCAGATAGGGAACAGGATCTTGCTGATGAGAGCAAGGGGAGGAGGGAGGTTGACGAGTTGTTTCGCGAGTGATACCCTGGTACGATGCATTTGACTCCTTTTTTTTTTTCTTTCCCTTTTGCATTTTTCAGCATGTTTGTTTGAATACACAGCACATTTGACATCTCACATACATCTCCATCATGTGTGCGCCACGTACAGACAAGGCAACAAAAGAATTCAGCACCATCCACATCAAGGCATGTGAATAAAGAGCCTTTGGTCACGAACGAGGGGTCATACTAGGAGCGCTTTGAGATCTCGTGTTCGCAAAAGGGGTATCAGTATCATTAAACTTTATCCATCCCCCGGGAGCAAACAGCACCCAACCGTGGGGATGTACCCAGTAGTCCCAGGACATTCCTCAAGAATACAAATATACATACACTACCGCTACACGTATCCAACATGCAGCAAACAAACATGCTTGTATCAAAGCTCAAAGCGCTGGGAAACGGCCTCTGTCATCCCCCCTACGCTCCGTCGCATTAACGATAATCTTCCTTTTTGTCGGTAAAGAAAGATTCACCAGCTCATTCCACTAACGCCAGAGAGTAGGTCGACCACTGTCCCAACCACGCCGACCCCCAGCACCAGGGTCTGCACAGCCACGGCCACAACAACTCTTTCCACAAGGTCCAGAAAACTCACGGCTAGTCATCTGCTGCCGAGGAGAAGTCTCCGGTTACGCTTGATAGCCTGGTTCAGACCCTTCTCAAGCTTCTCTGTCTCCCTCCGTGCCAGACCCAGCGCCGTCTCGGCGTCCTCAACGCTCATGAGCGACATGGCGTTGAGTGGCGTACCAGGCAACTTGGGGTGCGCACCACTGCTCTGCTGGGCGTGAACCTGTGCGGCGGCGGCGGCCATAGTAGAGGGAGAGGCGTCGCTAACAATGTCGTCGCTACCCTGCTGATGCTGTGGCGAATCCAAGCCTCCAAACGGTGTCTCATCCTCAGGAATGTCCTTGCCTGAGCCCCCACTCTCGGCAGAGTAGATCCCCGCACCAGCAGCTGCGTCATGGCCATAGATGTACGGAGCGAGAGAGTTTAGGCTGGCGGCGGCTGTCTCTCGAGCAGAAAGGGCGTCCTTAGCACCAGGTGCAGATTTCCAGCTACCCGGGAACAAGTTCGTGTTGCCCAAGTTAAGGCGCGGGAGAACGAACTGGTTGATGTAGCTGATGGCCTCCTCGCGCTGGATCTTATTGACTGGGTCATCTGAAAACATCTTTTGTGCATTAGGGGACGGTGGGAAGTAGGATGGAGGCCCGTTGGGCACCGCTCTGCCCTTAATCAGAGAGAAGCCACCTGGACGGGCCTGATGGCGGGGCGCAACGAAACTGTCGGGCTGGTCGCTGCCAACTGCCACAGACTTTTGGAGCACCAGATATCTCCCTTCCTCCACTTCATTGAGGTTTCTCAGACAATCCCCGTTAGGCGTGATGAGTACACGCTGACCTTCCATTACCTTGTGCACCGGCTGACCAGTAAGCAGGACAGCATGGTCCGCCTCAGACACCATATTCTTAGTTGTTGCCGAAGGAGGCGGATTATTGCCCAGGGTTGCAGCAGAAGGCCTATCAAAGCGAGAGTGAGAGTCAAGGAAAGGCTTGAGCATGGCGAGTTCTTCCGCGGTTGGAACCTCGCCTGCATCGAATAGGTGCTGGAAGACGACTTCAGGACTGGTGTTTGGGTTGTCTGCAATATCTTGAGGCTCCTCGGACACAGCAACGGCTGTGGGCGCAGGAGGCGTGGGCGTGGGCGTGGGTGTTGTCGGTGTCCCCTCTTTACTCTTGCCCTTCTCCTCCGCTGCCTTTGCGAGCTTGGCGGCGTTCTTGGCAGCCTTGCCCTTGGGAGGGGGCAGATCCACTACGGTTCTCTCGACAATGGGCTTGGGAGGCGGGGTGGGCTCCTTTGGCGGAGGGGGCGGGGTTGCGACACGCTCGACGGCCTTCTTGACTGGTGATGGGGCCGCGGTGATCGGTTTCTCCTTCTTCTGCTTCTTCTTGCGCCCAAGGATGGGAGCCTGCTCTTCAGTCTCCACCACTTTGGGCGCAACAGTAATGGAAGCCGACTGCTCCTTGTGCGCCTCTTTCCGCTGTTTGCGCTGCTGACTCTTTGTAGTGTTGCGGACGGGTGCAGTTCCGACTCTGGTAGGAGGTGGCGAGCTGGTTCGAGAAGCAGACACGGATGCGGAGACAATAGAGGCGCTGTCACTGATAATTTCGCTAGCCGGCGTCCCAGGACGTCCAGAGGCGGAAGACACAGCTCTAGCGGCCGCAGAAAACGCGGCGCTTGAAGGCAAAGCTGGCGGCACTTCGGCTTTGGGCGTCGGTACAACTCGTAAAGTCTTGGGTGCTGCTCTCGCAATAGGCGATGCTATACTGGCAGTTGTAGGCGTTGGCAAGGCTGGGAAGGCCGAGACGTCTGATTGTTCCGTAGTAGTCGTCTCTGGTTGTTTCAGCTGAGCTGTGTTGATAGCGGCGGCAATGTTCAAGATACCCGGCACAGGCTTCTTCTCGGTGGCCTTGGTAGCTTTGGGCGCTTCAACAGCCATCACGGGAGAAGGGCCTGAAGCCGGCGTCGCAGCCTCCGGTTGGGGCTTCTTGATGCTCGCCGGCGCGATCTTTGGAGTCGCAGCCGCAGACTTTGCTGGGCTCGCAGGCCGCTGGACATTTCCCAATGCTGGGAAATCCTCGTCCTGCAACACCGACTTTCCCTTGGATGGAGATGCTTGGGAGGCAATGTCCTTCGATAGCCCACTCTCAACAGCCAAGGCTTTTATGTTCTTCTTGGCTTCTGTCCCGCCCGCTTTCTTACGAGAGGTCTCGTCCGGTGTGGATGTCCGCACAATATTGGCCATGGTAGCAACTGCAGGTTTGGGAGCCGAAGGTGTAAGTGGCGTGACCGGTACCACGGGGATTGGCGCTTGTCGCGGAGCAGGCGATGCGATTCTCTGCGGAGGGCCGAGACCAGGCGGTGGGGTTGGAGCTGCTGGTCGTGATAGTCCGCCGATTGTACCAATAAAGCTCGGTAGAGGGTCATCAGCGACCAGTTCGTCCACAGATTTGGTGGCCTCGGCGGAGAAGAGCTCGTCATCTAGGGAACCAGTTAGCCAAGAGGTTCCCTAGTAGTTTTTCTTCGAAGACAATTAAGAAAAAACAGAGACAATAAAGCATGGTAGCACGAGAGACAACGTTTTATATACATGGACCAAAGTTTGCAGGAACAAGTCACGGCTGCCATCATCGTCTTCCATGATGATATGCGGGGATAAACGAGCGGTAAGTTTGAGCAAGATGCTATATTGGTCCTTATGCCACCCCCATCCTCAAACCGGAGGACTGTCTGCGAGTTAACGTACATTGAGGCGATTGGAAGACGATGATGGCTTGCCTGACTGACGTGACCCCATAAACCATGACGACGTGCGAGTCCAAATGAAAAGAGGTATAATGCCGAGACGAGTGTAGGTGTCGGCCCTTGCTTGCCCAGAAGAAACGTGAAGCGACGCCAAATGCAATCCTTGCCACTCTCCCCTGAGCAGCCCTGATGTTTTCCGCAATGCTCGCTGAATCAATGCGTGTGTAATGTGCGGTGCGCTCTCGGTCTCTTCGAAGGACGGTCATCCGCCTTTGATATGCCGCGACGCCCTCCCCCTCATGATACATGAAGTGTAAAATCAAATCCGTAAACGACCAACACCGACACCTCATCTATCGCGTTGTCTCTCGAGGCTACCAGCCTGCGCCTGGGAAACGCGTATTGTACATCATGTTCTGATTGTACCCACCTTGGCTCTGTCCACCGAACAGTCCCTGTCCGACTCCGGCGTTGCTCTGCGACTGGTGTTGCATTCTCGCTTGCAGGATACTCGGGTCCGCAAGATCAACTAGGCCACCTCCCCCAGAGGAGGAAGTGTTAGCATGTCTGTGCTTCTTCCCCTTCTTCTTCTGCTTGGGACCGAAGTCTTGGAATGCTCCAGGCTGGTTACCGTAGAGCGACGCCAGGAGGCCCGAAGCAGGAGCTGGGGTGGAGGAGGTAGAGGATGGGTACTGATTAGAGAAAGAAGATAACATGTACTCACGCTTACCAGCATCATGACCCTGTCCATTAGTTCCCCGACCCCGAATCAACGTCTGAAGAAGCTCGGCGGAATCCTTGGAAGTCGCACCAAACGCGCCACCAAACGAGTGACCCTGTCCAAACATGTTTGGTGGCGTCCCTGTCGACTTGAGGCCTGGAGGAGGTCCGGGCATGGAGGATGCATAATACTGGCTGCCGGGCTGCGAGTGGAAAGCGGAAGGCATCATGGCCGTCTGTTGTGCCATGATTCTAGGGTTGGCGGCAACCTTGACTGAAGCTGAAGTGCCGGCGGTGTCATTAGCAAAGCTGAACCTTGATCCTTGTCTATTGTGGCCGCCACCTTGTTGCTGAATCGCAGAAGGCTGCGCAGTTGGTATGCCTGGGGGCAAGTGATCGCCAAAGCCGCTCTGAGATCGAACGAAGAGCTGTTGTTGAGGTGTCATCGACCGGCTGCCGCCGACAGAGCTAGCAGATACGGAAGCTTGGCCGAAACCAGACCCTAGAGCAGGGCCAAAGAGACCGTCGCCGTTGTTGCGCTGGATCGGAGGCTGGGTACCGGGTCGACGCTGCTCAAAGACAGCATCGCGAGCAACGTCTCGGTCTTCAGGCTCGCCACCTAGCGCCAGACTACCTCCAGTTTCTGGCTCGCCTTCCGAGGCCTCTTGGGGTTCGCTTTGTTGCTCCTGGTCCACGCCAAGGCGCGATTCCTCCTCCTCACGCATGGCTCTCCTCTTCTCGCCTCCCCGGGTGTCGAACATGGGAGGGTGAATCGTCTCGATCTGGTTCGTGTCGGGTGAAACGTAGCTGAAAGGGCAACCCTGCATAGCTTTGAGTAATCCTCTGAGCAGGCTCTCCGGAAGACTATTAGACTTCCTGCTGTCAGCTGTAGAGGTTGCTTTCGAGGCCTTACTCTCAGTCGGGGGTGCGGGGGTTTCCTTTCTCGAGGGGGTCTCATCGATGGCCTCGGGAACTGCCTCGGCGGTGACAGGGAGGGCTGTCGAAATCGCAGGGCTTGAAGCGGCGCCGCTAGTGGCGTGGCTTCCCCTGCGGCTACGCTGAGGATTTCTCGCCCAGTTAGCTGAGGCAGGCAGAGCTGGTCCGTCGCCTCCATTCTCGGAACCGTCCTTGCTTGAGGATCGCGCCATGGGTTGAGAGGCGAGGGGTGCAGTTGGTGTGGCATTCTGTTGTCGAGAAGCTGTGCGTGACGGTCCGCCGCCATTGCCGCCACCGCTGCTGGAAGAGCCGCCTCCTGGGAGGGGCCTTTGTGAGCTGATGCTGTTCATCGAGGATAAATCCTGTCTAGTGTAGCTGTCTTCCTCGTCACCAAGCTCATGCAAGAACATGCACTGCCTGTTGGTGCACTGTTCGTGCCGTAGCCAGGCCGAACAGTACTTTGTCGTACCGAGCTGGGCTCTGAGAACACGATCGCCATTCTGCGAGCCGTTGACGGCCTGGATGCAACGTTGGGCGTCTTCCTTCTTCTCGAAAGTCACGTAGATTCCGAGCGACTGGTGTTGACCGTCCTGACTCTTACGACTGCTAATCGAGATTTTCAGGATGTTGCCGTATTGACCGAAAAACTCTGGTTTCCGAAGCGTTTTCAGTAATTCGTCCTCTCGCACTGTGGGTGTCAGACCGGTCACATAAACCAGATTCTTCTGAACGACCCGGACGCCGATGAGGTTCTTGCGGTTTTCTTTCTCAACCTCGCGCTTTTGGACCTCCTTCTGTTTTTGTTCAACGGCTCGTTTCTTTTGGTTCTTCTGGATGTTTGCTCGAAACTCGGCAACCCTAGCGTTTGTCAGTGTGGCGTTGACCCAGCTAGAAGGTTGGTACGCACTCTTCCGTAGTGACGACCTTCCACTGTATCGTCTTTTCGTCGTAGGGCCTTCGACATGCAGGACACAGGCCGTTCATATTGTTCTTGATATTGTTGAAGCAGAACTGGCACACCTATGAAACGGTCAGAAGTCGAGGTTCTTAGCCGAGGGCAGAAAGCATGGAATATTAGTGTCGCCATACCTGGTAGCCGCAGGGGCATGGCCGGAAATTCCGATCTGAGAGGTCGAACTCTTCGATACATAACGGGCTGTGGAAGAGACAATTAGTTCACGGTGCCCAACAGTTTGGGGGCTCATGCAGGTCCAAGATGCGCGCGAGGTCAGAGGTCAGGTCACACACCATGTATCATCCTCCTCGTCGATAAATGTGTCTTGGGGTGCCATGGCGACAAACTGTGGCGGTAGCAATATTTCGTGGGAGGTGGGAGGCTGGGTGTGTATCTCTGAGTGGAGGTGGTAAGGAGAAGGAAGTTGTTCAATACCAGAATTGAAGCCAAAGCCTTTCTCGGATGGGTCGCCTACTGCACTAGGACGGGAAGAACGTGGTGCCTTAGGTAAGATGACCCCACAAGTTATCGTCACGTGCAGATGACCTTCCGACAAACCAATCAAGGGGCCGAGAATATGGCAAGTCAGCAAAATCTAGGAACACCCCTCCTAATCTTTCTTGAAGTTGAAAAGGAAAGCACGCTTCGAGGGACGGCAACTTCGGTTGGTCTAATATTTGAAAGGAAACCTCATATTTCAGAAAGGTCCTCAATATAAACAATTGAATTTCCACCAAAAACTTTGAACTTGAGATTTTCCTGCAAGGTTTTGAATTGTCGAGACACAGGGGTTTGTAACCGGGACGCCCAGCCAGTTTGCCGGTAAGCATCGCGGCGCAAGTACCACCCTGGGGGTGGACCTAAGCTTGTTAGCTTCTTCCAATCCCCGAGCATCGCGAGTGCACAGCATCATCAATCAACTTCCCCAGAGGCAACAAGCCCCCCAGCACTGCAACAACCGCAACTATGGCGACCAAGCTCTATCGTAGTAGAGCTCTGGCGGGCTTGCGCAACTGCCGCCCCAGCGAGATCCGATGCTTCTCGACCTCCATCCCTCAATTGGCCGGCTTCCCGACCGGCTTTCCCAAGGATGCCGAAAACCTGAGGAAGTCTCCTCGCGAGCACATTGGCACCATCAAGGCCCCCCTCATCAACCCGGCTGACAAGTACGGCTCCAAGGCCGACAACCTGCACAAATACGGCTCCTGGATTATGGGCTGCTTGCCCAAGTACGTCCAGCAGATCTCCGTCTGGAAGGACGAGCTCACTATCTACGTATCTCCCTCGGGAATCATTCCCGTCTTCTCCTTCCTCAAGTGTAGGTGTCAATTGATCTTCCACGCAGTCTCTTTCTCCCCTAACAATCCGTAGACAATACTTCGGCCGAGTACACTCAGATTAGTGACATCACTGCGGTCGACTACCCGACCAGAGACCAGCGATTCGAGGTCATCTACAACCTTCTCAGTGTCCGCCACAACTCGCGCATCAGAGTCAAGACCTACGCCGATGAGGCATCCCCCGTACCCAGTGTCACTTCCCTCTTCGATGGAGCCAACTGGTACGAGCGTGAGGTCTACGATCTTTTCGGCGTCTTCTTCGCCGACCACCCCGATTTGCGCAGAATCATGACCGACTACGGTTTTGAGGGCCACCCTCTGCGAAAGGACTTCCCCCTCACTGGTTACACCGAGGTCAGATATGACGAGGAGAAGAAGCGCATCGTCACCGAGCCTCTTGAGCTTACCCAGGCTTTCCGCAACTTTGAGGGTGGCTCAAGTGCGTGGGAGGGAGTTGGACCTGGCACGGATAGACGCCCCGACACCTTCAAGCTGCCTACGCCGAAGCCAGAGGAGAAGAAGGAGGAGCCGAAGAAATAGATCAGAAGATTCTGACGTGTATATAACTGACTCTAGAATCTTCTTTGTTGTACAACCATTCTGCGTTCCACTGTCTACTTGAACACAATGTGGCAGCACTGAAAAGCCACTGGCTCTGCACCAGTAAGTAGAACGCCTCCTGAAATCGTGAGGGTCACAACTATGTCCCATGGTTCCGGAGATGCATCGCCAGGCGCCAGACCAAGTAGCCTCAGCCCAACCCCCAAGGTCATCGCAAAGGTGGATTTGTTACTGATTGTAACTCCTATTCTACTGCGTAAATTGAGGACGCTGGTTTTTTTTCAAAATTCTCTCTGGTTTCTGGAGTATCTACTCTCATCATTCATCTCAGGCTCAACAGCTCTTCTACTTGCTTCCTACTCGATTGCATTGAGGACATTACGCTCTTAAAATCAACTACTCTACTCCTATTCCATTTTACATTGCAATCGAAATGTCTAAATTCACCATTTCTACTTCCCAGCTTTTGTCTGCGGACAAGCTGAAGCTGAAGGAGCTAAGATACGAAGCCAAGACCCAATTCTACCAGTCTCACGTTCTTGACTTTGTATCCTGCGATGTTGCTCTCGAAGACTTTATCGATGACTACATTCAGGGATACTGCAAGCTCCAGAACTGCGTCACTCCATCATCTTCGGTCTCCTTCGCCTCAGACGACGCTTCAACGAGGCCCAGGTCTAGACTGAGACGCCTTCTTCAATGCATCACCAGAAAGAAGCTCTAGATTTCCTTCCTATTCTCTCAACGATCATATCAAGTACGTGACTACGGTCTGCTTCTTACACAATCATTGGCCGTCATGATATTTGCGCTCCGTCAAAGACGACTTAGATGAATACTCATTAATGGATGACAACTGAGGAACTGGTAAAGGGCCAATGTCATGACCACGGGACCGTGAACTTGACAACATGACATTGGCCCTATGGAAGCCTCGGCCTTGGAGATCACCTTTGGTGCCGATTTTGAAGTGAAGAACGTCGCCATCCCCTTTAGCAATCCCGCTGAGAACTAACCTGGGGGGTTGAAGTGATGGAAATCACCAGGCCCTCAAGAATTTCTCACGAGAATCGCCCTTAGAACTTCAAGAAATACCGGCAATTATCCGTCACATATGCCAACGTTGCCCACCGTCCCTGGTGCGACCCGACAAATGTTGCAGTCTCGCTACAGGAGAAACCCGCTAGACGACATGGGACCAGCCTGCTTGAAGGATGCTGCAAACATGTTTCAATGCTGTCTACCACAGGCTCAGGGGAAAAAAGGCCACAAAAAGGGACAGTGAAGAGACCGGACGCGTGTTGCTCCACGAGCGTTACTTTGAGGAGCTCAAATTGGTCGTATCCTCGGACTTCTAGGGCTCGAGTCCATCAAGAACGCCTCCAAAGAAACAATCACAAGCTAGAGCACTTGGAGCACTTATAGTGTTGCGACGAGGATCTCGGGGCACGGGACTACCTGGCGGGTATCAAAAGGACTAGAACCGGGCTCTTGAGGAATAGAAGATGAGATAGTAAGCGTGTAATGTAGGAGGGTTAGGAGGGATCTTCACCGCATACAGCAAAGTTATCGGTAGTATGATAATTCATTTTTCAAGGAATGAAATACATCCTTGGAAATAAACCATACAGAGCTCAAACATCGTTCCATGTCTATGTCTACCTTCTGTCTTGCAGGCATTCGAGTGTATCCTTAAGTGGAAGGCCAATAGGAAAGAATACTCGAAACAATTCACGTAAAGGGGAGTAGGTACCCTCGTCCAGTACATTTCTCCGCTGCCCCACTTAATGCATGTGATGTCACTAGGTCCGACACGCCACTCCACGCGTAAATCAATCCCACGCCTAATTACGCGACGCGCCCTTTGGGACTGAACAAGGCCATCCTTAAGTCTCCGAGCTGTTTCGCTGCCACTTCTACTTTGCGTCGAGCCAACGTCTCACACAATTGACAATTGCTCATGTCAACAATTTGCGCGCTCTGGAAGCGATCAAGTTCACGTCTTGCGGTGACGGTCTGCACCATTATTCAAAATGCCACCACAAACCCGCTCCGGCGGCCGGGCTCCCGCTGACCCATCTCCCGATCGAGTTTACAAGTCTAGCAAGCCGGCAAAGCAGGCAAAGTTTCCACACCGACGAACCGAGGTTCGAACATACAGTAGCCGTAAACCAACTGCCCGTGTTGCCAACCATCAGCAAAAGACCTTAACCCAGATGTTCGAGACCACGCGCTCGTCGCCGGTGCGCCTCGACCTATCCGACGACGACGAAGAGACCATGCCAAGGAAGAGGAGGAGAAAGACAACGGGAGACGAACCGACGCCCAGCTCATCCTTTCACACCCAAACATTGACGCAGATGTCGCGAAGATCTTCTGAGAAGTCAGCAGGGGAGGAGGAGGACGACTTATGGCAATTCCAGCCCTCGGATGATGAAGCGGAAAAGATCCCGCCGATGCTACGTTCCGCCAGCGACAAGGAGAATCAAGCGCCTGGCAAGAAGCAGTTGAGCAACCCGCCAAGCAGGACACCGTCCGTCGTTCCGCAGACACCAACAAATAAACGGGCTATTAGTGAGATTCCATCATCCATAGGTAGTCCGCTCACCCCGATGCTGGCTAGATATAGCCCAGCGCCCAAGAGGTCTCCCTTGAAAGACAAGTCTACAAATACAATGTCCCCGATCCCGAAGCTCACTGCATCGGTCAAACGCCCACGAACACTCACAGTCCAGGATTCTTATGCCACGACCGGGAGCCAGGGCTCAAGCCAATTTATATCTCCATCCAAAATGCCACTACAGCCCACCAAAAATGTTCGCTTTATCACGCCTCATCCTACGGCCAGTCTAGCTCCCATGGAAGAGGAAGAAGACGACGAGGGAGAACGTGAGATTAGCCCATCCCCTCACAGGCCCCAAAGATCGCCCTTGTGCGAAATTGCAGATTCTGAGGATGAACTGGACGATCTTGAAATCCTGGATGAGGAGGACGAGGAGTACGACGCCGTCGGCGAAGATGTTCAGTTTCAGATGGACCAGATTCCAGCCTCTTCAGAGGAGAAAGCGGCTTCCAAAGAAGCGTCCCCTGTTGAGGAAGGCGACTCCGATAAGGAAAACGTTGCCCCTAGTGCCAGAGAGAGTGAGGAAGAAGAGGCAGAGGATGCTACAGTGGTTTTGTCGAAACCTTTCGTCTTTGCCAAGCTGGGACGCCAGGATTCGGATCGTAGAGAGACTGTTGAGGTCATCACGTCTTCCCCGGAGCCTACGCACAACAGTGGCTCTAGCGTTCTTCAAATAGCAAACAGGGAAACCAACGACGAGTCTGTGTCACAGACAACACCAACACAGAGCCCGAAAACACCCAAGGCGAAAGGGAAGGCGGCAGTCGAAACACCAAAGACTCCCCACACCCAAGGGCTGGAGAGCCAGCGGTTGCCCTTCGATGTCATTCGCGGCATGGGCCGTCAGGGCGATCGGACCGACATCTTCATTTCCATACATCCCGAGCACATGGAGGCTATCGTGGCCGGTGATAAAAACCATGAGTTTCGCAACTACAAAATCCCCCATACTGTCACCCGCATGTGGCTTTACATCACGAAGCCTGTTGCGGAGGTGCGATACATGGCATGCTTCAGCGAGGCTAGATCTCCTGGCGAGATTGATGAGGATGGGGTCGGCAACGCGGAGTTCAACCAAAACCAGACCTCCAAATTTGCCTATCATTTACGCAAGGTCTACCAACTGAATGATCCGATGCCTCTACAGGAAATGATTGAGCTGGATTGGCTTCATGGGCCACCGCAGAAGTACAACTACGTGCCTCCCGCAGTTGTCGGACAATTGATGGCCAACCTGCGCTGCTGCATCGTCGGCAACGACAAAGAAGAGGATGACGATGCCGTACCGGACCCCGAGATGGGCAGGAAGGAGTCTTCGCCGGTAACCATAGAGCCATCAGAGGAGCGGACGGTATCTCAGGAGCTTGCCGAACAACTCAGAAGCGATATTGAGCACTCCACTCAGCACCACTCGTCCGACGCCGACCTGCTAGTACCGTCAAGCCAGACGCCTACCAAGAATCGCGGTCGAAAGTTTGGCACGGAGCTCCCTCACTTCACCAAGCCTGCTCCACCCCCGACGCCCTTCAACCGTCCGCCCAATCCGACGCCGCGGCGCGCGGTGCGGCCCTCGCAAGCGACGACGGTCAGCCAGACGTCGAGCCCCTCCCAATCGCCCGTCAAGTCCGCGCCGCGGCGGCCGACGCATGCGAACAACTCGAGCCTGCCCATCTTTGTGGATGACGAGGACGAGGACGATAGCCCCGTTCGCCTGTCGGTTGGGACGTTCCAGATGGATTCTTCGCAATTGCTATCCAAGAGCCAGATGCTGCCCGAGAGTCTGCTACGGGATGACGACGACGATGATATTATTGTGTTTGATTCGGATCAGGATGATGAACTGTAGCTGGCTCAGTTTTGCACCTATACTTGATTGTAATCGGATGTGGCGGGAGTAGGGGGCGTATTTGCACTTCAAGCGATGGAGTTTGGAATAGCGTCGGTTGGCTTACGAGGTTTGGGACACGGGCGATAAGAATGGACAGAATGGCTGGGTTGGTAAACAAGGGTTGTATTTGGGAGCATGGTCATGGCACCACTACTATGATGAGTAAATTGACGCTACTTGGATACTTTTCTCCCGATATTCCCTGTGAATAACTCCTTCATAAGCCCTCCAGCATTGTAGCTTTGCTGTCCGCGGGAATTGATACAAAGAAGGCTTACATCTCCAGCGTTTAAGGTGGCCTGGCGAAGGGCGGTGAAACGGTGTGTGGAGGAAGCGGTCATGAACAGAAAGGAAGAGGATGTCCAGCTTGGACCCAGCCTTCCGTAAATGATTTGTTGATAGGCTCACTTTGGCTTTAGCCGAGTCCGTACATCGAATCGAGCCCTCTAGAAACCTCGACCCCTTGGGCAAAGTGTCTAATTCTTATTTACAGTCACTTCCAGTGGTTCACGTTATTTCCCATAATCTGACAGGAATACAACACCCTTCAATATACCGGGGATTAGTTTCACTGACATTGCCGCACAACGAGATGCCATTCCGGGTCCCTCCCCCCTTAACCCAACCTCACCTGTCGCCACATCCTCAAACACTCCTGCAAATCCATACTCATCGACCCCTCCGCCGCACCGCCGACGTCCCGAATAACAGCAACTAAAAGGCTCGCCAGCGCAAAAGTCTCCAGAGCCCGCGGCCCCTCCCGCAGCGTCTCGAGGTCCGACTTGCGCATCCCGCCGTTATCGGCCCACGCCTTCCACTTGTCGAGTACGGCGCAGAGCTCCTCGGCAAACGCACCGTCGAGGAGCATGCGGTGGAGCAGGCCCGCCGCGACGGAGCGGAGCGTGACACCCGCCGGTAGGTGGCTGTGCTGCTGGAGCCAGGGGAGGGTGTGAGAGGCGACGAGGGCGGCGTCCCATTTGGGGGACTGGATCGCTTCGTGGGCGCGGGTTTCTCGACGGCGGGCGTCGAGGCGCATTCTGTCTCGGACTACACAGGGTTGGGTAGTTTCAGTCATACATTCAAGAAAAAAAAAACAGAAAGAAAGAAAACGAGACGGGCGGGAAAGCCTTACCGTCGTCCATGTGCTGATCAGACTCCTTGCGCATTCGCTGCCGAACGGCCTGCTCCCTCCTCACCGGATCCATCTGCGCCTCGGCCGAGATGGCATTCATCTGATCCCGCATCCTCCTGTGGATGATGTCGAGGTTATCCCGCATGTCGTTGTGCGAGGTTGCCCACTCGGGTGTCTGCGAGTCGTCGACGATGCCCAGGACCTCGAGGACACCACAGGGCACGGAGGAGCCCCGCGCAAAGGCTAGGACGTCGTCCGGGATGCGGTAGTTCCACAGGATGGTTGCGCTTGACGTCCCGTAGGCCGTGGCGGCGCTGGCGAACCATATCCCCGCGGTGTGACCCGGGCGGATGCGGAGGTGTTCGATGTAGAGGCTCGTGGGGGAATGGTCTGCATCTTCCGGGATTGCGCTTATGAGGCCGTGGGAGGAGATTTTGCAGGCTATTGGGTTTTGGGTGTTGTTTTTGGCGGCGCGGGCTATGCTCGCGACGGAAGATGTTGGGGATGCCGTCTTCTTGCTACTCCCGCCACTCGTGTCCGGCTCCGCGCTGACGATGTCGCCCTTTTCGTCATCCTGCTCAATGGTCGTAGCCACCGGGCTGGGAACTGGTAGAAGCCGGACCCAGTAAGGGGGCAGAGACTCATGGCTCCTCGTAGTCCAGTGCGAGGACCAGTTCACAGACAGCGACAGATGGCCGTCCGAATCGTTCAGGGGTGCGATGGTGAGTGCTTCGTGTTGCCCGTCGGGACTCTGCATCAGGGTGCAGCCGACGGGAGTCCACAGCCCGGTGCTTCTGAGCAGCCTCCATCCGTGAGCATCAGGAACGGCGCCGAGATCCAGGAGATAGCTAATCAACTCGTCGAAAGTGACATCCACCTGCGGCTGCCGCAGTTGGTCTGCGTACTCGACCCTCTGCGTCTTGAGGCCGATGGTATTAGTCCGCCAGTTGAAGGTCGTCCAAGTGCCGCCAGGGATAGAGGAAGGGTGGCGGGCGAGAGACCAGTACTCGTCGCGGTGATCGAAGCGGTCCCAGGGCGTGACGGCGTAGCGCGGGAGGTCGACCTCGATGACACGGTTCACAACGTCTGAGCGGGTGAGGGCTGTCAGGCGGGCATGACGGAGCATGCGCCTGATGCGGGATCGAGCGGCGAGTGTTGCAATGGTGTTGTAGAGGATCGGGAGGACGCCAAGCACGGCCAGAGGGACGCCGATGTAGGTGATAATGTCCGTGGGTGTCGTGCCGGAGTCGGAGCCGGACATTGCGCCGAGTAGGGATGCGCTGTCTGGAGCTTTTATACTATTAAGGAAAAAGGACTCATATGTGGAAGCAACCAAGGACTGCCTTGTTGAGACACCACATATGTAAATATCTTATTGCGAGAGAAAGAGAAATGGAATTGGTCTGCCTCTGTGACTACACAGTAAAGTCATGGGAGCTACCCCTGACCGATTGCCTTCAGCCGCATAGTTTTGGGAAGGCTTTGGCGATGGCCGATGATCAACCTTACCCGTTTGGTCCTAAGTCGCTTCGTGTGCCTGTTCATCGCCGCTCCTGTCTACAAGTGCCGGAGACCTGGTGATCGCGATGCATTCTTGAAGACAAACCTCACAGGTACTGTAGCTCACAGAACAAGAGGTGAGCCTGATGGGGTTTCCTCACATATGGGGGATTGTAATAAAGGCAGAAGCTGAGTGGCGATGTTGGAACATTGTAAAAGAGATTCTTGGGCGAGGTGCGCGAACTTGACTTTAATTCGTCGAAGCTATCAGTAGGTGGTTCTCTCAAGGCATACTGGATTGAGTGCAGTCTAGCGAAATGCCGTGGTGCCTTGCTTGCATGAGCTCATGCGGATTGCTGACTTCGAGGCGCAGTATCGAGGCATAGTAATTGGTAGTCCGGAGCTTTCTCGGTGGGAAGAAGGTCTAGAGATCATGTGTCGACCAATTCCCATCGGATTAAACCAGCGCGTCGTTGGCTGAGTTCGTCCTTTCTGCATTCATTGGATCGTCCGACTGTCAGCTCCTCGATGAAATGGGACGAAGAAGCCAACAGCAAGACGTGAACCGCTGCGGGCAAACCGGCTTTACGAGAAAACGTCAGAGCTGCAGTTAGTTGTTTGTGATGTCGGGCTGACTCAGGAGGGTGAGAAGGACCTTCGTCTCAGCACCAGTGACCTAAGCAGAAGCTGAGGTGGACGTCTTCCTGTCAGCCCCAGATCCCGACCGCTGGGCGATCCCGTCAGCAAAACTCCCCGCGGGCCGCGTGTTCCAGGTTCCCTGCTGACTGCCGACTGCCGACTGCGGTGCTAGGAGCTGGAGCACCAGGGCGGCAGGGCCTGGACGCCCTGCTCGTGTGGCCTTGATACCACCTCATGGAATCCGGTAACCCACGGGCAGGTGCTCAGGGCCCCGTAAGGCCCTGTGCCATAAGGCCCTGTGGACGCCCGTTGACACTAAATAATGGCGCTAAATGCAGGGGCACGTCTGCCAAGCCGCTATCCGACGGGGGGACTGGGGACCTTCAAAACCTCGACATTCCTCCCCCATCTCCATTGGGCTCGCGCATTTCACTTCCGCATACCACACTCGTTCGTGCTGCGTCACTCTCGCCGTTTCATCCAACTCGACACAAACATTGGCGCCTGCGCATCGTTTCTGCTCACGACGAGTGCAAAGAGAAGAGATCGCCGTGAGCGAGAGTATGCGCCGAGGACACGATGCGGGACATCTCACCATGCGCCTCTTCCACTCCGTCCTCGCCGTCGCCGGCCTGCTCTCCGCCTTCGTCGATGCTCAGTTCCCGTCCAACTCGGTGAACCTCACCACAATCACCTCGCCCGTAGACGGCAATGTCACCATCCGCTACAAGACCCCTCAGGGCGTCTGCAAGACCGCCTACGATTCTCAGCAGCAGTATACAGGATGGATCAACGTACCCGGGCCCTACCCAGCAAACATGTTCTTCTGGTTCATTGGCGCCCGCGAACCCACAGAGGCCATGACCATCTGGCTCAACGGCGGCCCGGGTGTCAGCTCGCTCTTTGGCTTGTTCACCGAAGTCGGCCCTTGCGAGGTCATTGAAAAGGGCCTGGATCAGTATGACACCGTTGCCCGGGAATGGGGATGGGACCGCGCCTCCAACATGCTGTTCATCGACCAGGTACACTTCTGCTGCCCCCCCCAAGCACCTGATGCCAAAATGCTAACACTACGCAGCCGAACCAAGTTGGCTTCTCGTACGATATCGCTACCAATGGCTCCATGGATCTGTTCAAAGCGAATCAGTCGAGTCCGCCTGAGGCAGTGCCCGATGGCCAGTCGCCCGCAATGTTTCTCAACGGCACCTTCAGTTCGCTGAACTCCAACAACACAGCAAACACCACCGAGACGGCTGCGTTCGCGGTATGGCACATGCTCCAGGGCTTCTTGGGCGCGTTCCCGCAGTATAATCCTCCAAACAACAGCTCTCTAGGCATCAACCTTTTCGCCGAGAGTTATGGCGGAAAGTACGGGCCTGTCTTCTCTGATGTGTGGGAGCAGCAAAACGAGAGACGGCAGAACGGGACCTTGTCTGCCAACAACACGCTCGAAATCCACCTCACTTCCCTAGGCATTGTCAACGGCTGCATCGACGATCAGGTCCAGGCGGAATTCTACCCGGCCATGGCCACCAACAACACATACGGGTTCAAGGCGATGAATGATGTCCGCGCCAGCCTGGCGAACGGCAGCTTGTACACCCCAGGCGGCTGCCTAGACTTAATTCGACAATGTCGCACAGCCGAGCACGTATACGATGCCAATAATATCGGTAGAGTGGACACGGTGAACACTCTGTGTTCCAGCGCATATCAGACCTGCAACGAGAATGTGGTTACTCCGTACTCCGAGTCTGGCCGTAGCTATTACGACATTGCGCGCAAGAACCCGGACTCATTTCCGCCCAGCACGTATCTCGAGTATGTCAACACTGCAGGCTTCCAACAGTCCATCGGCTCCGTCGTCAACTTCACCATGACGAGCCAGGCAGTACTGTCTGCCTTCTCGGGCACGGGTGACTACATGCGAGGACCCCTGATTCCGAAATTGGCTGGTCTTTTGCAGCGCGGCATTCGCGTTGCTCTGATCTACGGTGATCGTGATTACATTTGCAACTGGCTGGGCGGGGAGGCTGCATCGACGACCCTCGCTTGGCAAGCTGGCGCCGTATACGGCCGCAACTTCAGCGCCGCCGGCTACGCGCCTATCATCGTTAATGACTCGTACATTGGCGGTGCCGTGAGGCAGTTTGGGAACCTATCCTTCAGTCGCATCTACCAGGCCGGCCACTCGGTTCCCGCCTATCAGCCAGAAACGGCATTCCAGGTCTTTGCGCGCGTCATCATGGGCACGTCCATCTCGACGGGCGATAAGGTGAACCTGGCGAGCTACAACACCTCTGGCGATGCTCACGCGACGCACACGGACAAGTTGCCAGACTCGCCTGCGCCGACATGCTGGCTGCGCTACATGCAAGCGTCATGCAGCGACGAGCAGATCAGCATGCTTCAGCGCGGCGAGGGGACCGTCATCAACGGAGTACTGTACAGCGCCTCGAGCGACTGGCCACTGGCCACTGAGCCCCCGACTTCTACCCACCCGGCCGCCTCCACTTCCTCGGCCGTACTGACGGGGTTGTTCACGGCGACGTCGACGCCAACGAACGGCGGTGTGGCGGCACACGCTCCGAGGACGCGTCTTGTAGCCTTGGTAACACTCATGATCGCGCATTCTTGCTTGGCGTAAAATGAAATGGTTGAGAAAAGTCATCATAGAGCTTTGGAGCATCGTGTACATGGAAAAAGCATCATCAGTACATCCGTGATTGGGCATTGAGGAGCATGTGACGGCCTCGAGAATCATATGCATTGGCGTTTCTAGACTTTTGGATGTGAAGGCCACAGAGAATATGAAAGAAGAAAAAAAGGGCAGAGGCACTGCAGAAATGTGCTGGATGTGTTTTGTTTCTTTTTTTTGGTTTGAAAACTTAATGATACCCCCCCTTAATGATAGCTGTAATACAGAGAGCAGCGTACGTGTTGACTTGACATGAGTGATGAGTGAGCATGGTATTTGAAGTGGTTTTAACAATTGTCGATTATAGGGACCTGACGGTATCGTGGACTCTTCGTGCTTTGACGCGCGGCACACGGAAGAGACCGGATTGGGTAGCTGGGCACATTGGCTCAGACAGGTCGAGTGTCATCATCTGTTGTCTGTGGCAACAGCTGCCGCGATCTTTTTCTGGATTTGACCCACCTCTGACAGCACCTCCGGTGGGATGGACGGCCCATCAGGGTCCCATGTGAGGTCGAGAGAAGAAAATAACGAAAGTCGCATGCTCAGGCGGGGGGAGACAGTGGACCATGGGAGAAGCCACATCTCGTCCCGCCGGATAGAGTGCGTACGGGGAATGTGTCATCTTACGGTTTGCGCAGCAGCAGAACAAATGCTTCACCACAAAGAGGCACGGAGAATAGTGGCACTGAACATTCATGTATATCTTGTATTAAAGTATTCTAAAGACATGCATAGCGTGTACTTACCTTTACTTGCGTCACTGAAATACTACGAATTCATGGAAAATCTGACTTCAGTTAGCCACTGTCTGCAATAAACACAACTCAAAACAAAACAGTGTGTGAAGCGTCAAAAATCAGTAAGGGGCCTTGTCAAAGGCAGTGTCATCAAAGCATATGGCTCAGGAGACCGTCGTGAAAATTTTATGATCATCACGTAGACGCGGGGGAAGGATGGAAATGCTAGATGGAAATAGTAGCTTACCATTTTGACGCAGGGTCGTTGATGAGGCAAATGAGGGGAGTATATAACCCATATGGATCTAGAGGGTGAATATTAGCCATCCGTACGTCCACAAAGTGTTTCCATTGAAGAATACAAATGTGAAGTGTTCGATCAGAATGACTGGTAGTCAACGTGTCTCAGCTTCGCCGTTAGGCTCTGACATATGCTTGTCTTTGGTTTATCGTTCATCAGAAGAACGGAGCCGTGGGTGGCTGGAAAGGTAGGTGAAAGTAAAGGGAGAAGCTTACCACTTGAGCCATGGGGATACTGCTTCCTGGTCATTCGGTCAAGTCATGACAAAGTGTAACTGTGATCTTAGAGACGGTCAGCGATGTTCATGCTCATCAGTCAAAATAAACAATGTGGTATTGCCAATTCAGTCGTTGCATGAATGGTATAAAAAGTTTGTATCCGCATTGGAAAATCCAAATCAGACTCGTCATCTAAGTTGCTCATCAGGTAGGCGTTGGGGTAGCAAAAAAATGAGACCTACCATGACTAGACCGGAAGAAGCAGGGGCCTCCGAACTGCACTGGCAGAAGAGGAGGCTAGATTGTATAGCAAGATGGGATCCATCACGACACTATTATAGACGGGTCAGCCACCTGAAGAACAAGGTGTCCCGATAAGATGAGTGCTCGGATCGAAATCAGTGGGCGAGGTTTTCTAGGCCTGCCGCAAAGTGGCTTGTCTGCTCATGGCTGAGTCCCTTATGGGTACTCTCGGAGCCCAGTGCCGCTTCATCATGTAATGATGGGAGGGCAGGAGAGGGAGGGTCGGTATGTACCTTGTCGATTAGATCTGAGATGGCTTGTGTCCATGTTAGCTATGAGGGTCCGATGAGAACGAAAGCATCAATGGAAAGAGTGGTAGTGAGATCAATCAGAAACAGCCAGTTTTTTTCAACAGTGAGTTTCAGCCGGTAATTCCAACCGTACTAAGTACGAAAAAAATGATCATCAGGATCTCGGGTGGGAAAGGGGAGAAAGCGACGAGGAAAAGGTGTACCGTACCTATTGTCAAGCCATCTCGAGGCGGCCACGTAGCCAATGACGCCAGCGTCAGATAAATTCTGCAGAAGCCTTTTTGTTTGGTTAGCCATTTGCCCAAGTGAAGCGCAAAAATCCCGAAACAAATTGCGAGGTTGTCGTGTCCTATCAGACTGACGTGTAAAACAGAGGTTTCATTCCATTTAGGTCAAAGACTCTAGTTTGCGGTGTTTATGTGTCATCACCAAGGATGGGTGTCGGAGAGCAAAAAGCCGAGGAAGAGAAAAAAGATGCGAGCGCGGACTTACCAGGTCATGCGAGGCTACGCAGCCATGTGCTGCGTGTTGCAGTGTGGAAAGAAAGATCGTGAATCCGAGTGGCCTGCGAGAAAAGAGTTTTAAAGGTGCTGGAAATTTTGAGCCTCGAGTGGGGTGGGAAGCTGGAAGAATCGGCGCGCGGTCGGCCACGACCCACTCATGGTGTAGTTCCCAGGCCAAGCACGTGTGTAATCACGTGCTGTCGCGACAGTCGGCGCGGATGGCTGGGCCTTGTAAGAAGGGAGCTTGACGCGTCTGCGTCATGGATTCGCACGTACAAGCTGTCGCAAATCTCAGGAGACAAAGGACGTTCCACGGCGCCTTTTTCGTTTTGTGCTATTGAGATCGGAAAAAAGTATTGAAATGCCTGAAATTGCCGAAGGTAAGGTCGAGATACCACATAATTGGCACCCGTAACGAGGCTCATGTTCTTCTAGTCGCGCGGTGCGTGCACTTCTTGCGCCTTCATCTCGTAGGCAAGAAGATCGCCAAGGTCTCAGCCCCCGATGATGCCAACGTGTTTGGTAAAGTCGGCACCAGTGGCCCGGCATTTGAGAAAGCTGTAAAGGGAAGAACGGTTGTCTCTGTTGGAAGCCAAGGAAAGTATTTCTGGTACGTCTGCGACAGCTGCCAATCAGGAATTTGACAGCGACTGATTCCTGTCAGGATCACCTTTGACAAGCCGCCTCATGCGGTGATGCACCTGGGCATGACAGGTAATGAAATTCTACAATGTCGAGTATCTTGGATGGAGACTGATACCATGTAGGATGGATTCACATCAAGGGGGACAAGACGGCTTACACCAACTACTACAAAAAGATGAAGGACGGCGAGGCAGATGTCTGGCCGCCAAAGTACTGGAAATTCCACATCGAGACCGAAGGCACCCCCAAAGTCTCGGCTGCCTTCACAGACCCCCGCCGCTTCGGTCGCATCCGCCTCGTCGACTGCCCCGGCCAAGACATTAGAAACCATTCGCCCCTAAAGGAGAACGGACCCGACCCGGTTGTCGACGTCGACATCTTCACAGAAGACTACCTGACGCAAAAAATGCAGTCGCGCCACGTCCCCGTCAAGGCGCTCCTGCTGGATCAGAGCCATATCAGCGGCATCGGGAACTGGGTTGCCGACGAGGTGCTGTACCAGTCCCGGCTGCACCCGGAGCAATACTGCGACACCTTTGACGAGGGTGAGATGAAGAGACTGTACGAGGCCGTGCGGTACGTCTGTCAGACGGCCGTCGACAAGCTCGGCGACTCGGACGAGTTCCCGGACGACTGGCTGTTCAACTACCGCTGGGGCAAGGGGAGTAAAGGCGCCGCGTCGGAGCTGCCCAACGGGGAGAAGCTCGCCTTCATCACCGTCGGCGGCCGGACGAGCTGCTACGCTCCTGCGCGACAGAAGAAGACGGGGCAGGTTGTGCCATCGGCAAAGGAGGAGCCTATGGCAGACGGCGGCGGCGGCGGCGGCAGCGGCAAGAAGTCCAAGGCCGCAGCATCCACGACCAAGAACAAGAGGCAGGCTAAAGCGAACGAGAGCGACGAGGACAAACCCAACAAGAAAGCGCGGGGCGCCAAGGGCCCTGCAAAAGCAAAGGTGAAGAAGGAGGAGACTCCTGAGCCGCCCGCCGCCGCCGAAGCGCCAGCGCCAAGCAAGAAGCAGCGGGGCTCTAGACAGATTGCCGAGAGACCCAAAGCCCCGTCCTCCAGGGCCAAGAAAATTGCCGTGAAAGAAGATGAAGGGGCGGTGGTAGAGACAACATCAGAGGACACGAGTAGGCGGCGATCCCTTCGACTCAAGAGGTGAACGTTTTGATATCTTGATCAAGGTTACATGTCATACGGGTCCCAAGGTTCATGGACACCGCCACCCTCTCAAGAAAAGAGTTCCCACGTTCCAAAATGCTTCACGGCTCCGACTCCACGTCCGGTGGGAACGTCCCAAACAGCGCCATGAGATGCTGTGTCTCGTCCTTGGTCAACTTCTTGCCCTCAGTGCCTCCCTTGGCCATCATACGGAAGTCTGCCGTCAACAAGTCAGCTTCCACACACTGCACCTCCTCCCCACTAGAGGGCACAGCGGCCCCGCGATTTCCGGCTGTTTGAAAACTTACAATCAATGTAATATCCTGATTTGTTCATATTAGCCACCTGCCACATCCCGACATCACCACGGCGGGAACGAGAAGTGCATACCTGGAGTAGACGTCATGAAGAACTCTGCAGGAACCGTATCCGACGGGTTAGAAAACGTGTGGATCGCCCTCGGCGGCACAACCATCAACTGGCCCTCTTCGGCATCGACGTCCCCCTCGGGCGTCGAGAACCGGATCGTCCCTACATCCCCACCCCAAGGCGGGCCAAACGTCAACAAAGACAAGAACAATCTCCATTGTGTCCGGACATGAGTATGTTTCGCTGCGTCAAAAGGGGAATCACCAGCGGCAATGATTTTCGGGAGAGTTTAGGGTAAGTAAAAGGTCGAAAAAAAAAAAGGGAAAAAAAACTCACCCTTGGTCACAAAGAAGCACTCGTCGTGGAACCGGTGCCAGTGCATCGGCGGCCCGGACGCCGCCGGAGGTAGCGCCAGCGTCATGCACCCGACGCGGTTGTCCGTGTTGCTCCCATCCTCAAAAATGTAAATGGTCATGGGTCCCAGCTTGAGGACCTCGCTGCTCTCCTTTTTGTAGAGCTTCACCGGCACGGGCCCGCGCAGAGGCATCTTGAGGGGGGGCGGCGACTCCTTTATTCTGGCTTTTGCCCTAGTAGTGTCGGACGTTTTTTTTTTGTGGGGGCCGGATGTTTTCTTTTCCTTTGAATCCTGTCAAGATATGCTTTGCAAGATGAGTAGGAATTTACGAGGGCCGGACTTGGTTGCTAGGATAGTATAATTTGACCTTACTGAACTTTTAAGTAAAGTATCTAATCTGTGACTAGGTATTACTTCCCCATGGGCATCGAAGAGGGGAAGGTTAGCAGTACGTACGCTTAGGTAAGACTGCCTCCCGGATCTACCGGCCCTCTCTCTGTGTGTATATCAAATCCGGACTAGACCTATCAAGGGCCTGTTCATTGTGCATTAGTCTCAAAGGCGGCCCGGAATAAGCAACGAGGAAGAACCACGAGTTTGCAGTAGCTAATAGGCACATCAAGCGCGGATGGCAACAAAGTATTCCACAACCAGGCGCGTTGCGATTTTCCTGCCACGGGCTGTCCCCTTTCTCTAGCTTTAGGTGTAGCGACATATGCAGTGTCTCACCGGTCCTAGGTAGCGCCTACCGTTGACGATAACGAGGGGGCCCGTAGTTAATTTTAGCCTTAATTTCTTTCGATTCGACTGCTTTTCTTTCGAGACTTTTGCCTGGCCATAAAAGTGACTTTATCCGTGAACGTACTGCTAAAGTTTAGAAACAGCAGTTTGTCACAATGGATCAGTGCGCAATATAGTTTCCCCAAATGTGACGCCGGTAACTCAATTCGCCGAGGGCCTTGGGCCGACTCGTATGCTATTAACATTTCGTCATGATCAAGATATCATGTTGCGGACATGACAAGAAAACTCCAAGAAAGCTCCCCCATAGTCAAGGCCAGTGCCGACTGATAATATACGCCGTCCCAAAAATGCTTTGAAGCTTTTACATTCGCTTTCCTCCCTGCCATCCTTCGACTCCAGTGAGGCGGATGATAAATACTGGTCTTGATGCACCTAGAAGTGACTCCTGTTATCCCATGTAAGAATTCGCTCCCTTCTTCGACTTCGCTTCCTAAAGGACAACGCCGCGGAAACACGCCCAGGAATTGAACCAAAAAGAAAAGAAAAGGAAAAAAAAAAGGAATAAAAATCGTCTCGTTTCCGAGATGCGTGAGCTCTAGCTCGCATGCGTATAATGTGGGTATCGTAAATGCCTGATAGCAGATGCCTCGCTCGTAATCAAATCGTGACGTTGTTGTTGCCTCGTAGAGAAAAAAGTTTCGTTTGTTGCCTTCGCGGCCATAAAGTTACGAGTGCCGCTGACGAAAAATGAAGTAATGACCCGTTTCGCGATTTACAGTTCAGTCCTCTAGGGCGACTTGGAAGCCGACAGAGTATCGAAAGTGTTGAGAATCCCATCGGACAGGGATCATGGTGAGCAGGTTGACGAAGGAAGTGCCGTCTTTCCTGAAGTTGAGCACGTCGACCTGGAACTCGTCGTTCGCCTCGACAGCCTTGCGCATGCTCTTGACGGTTTCCTTTGGGACGTGCTTCCGAGCGGACTTTTGGCTGACCTTTCCGCCAGGCGCTTGGAGGAAGCGGCAGTTTTTGCCAATAATTTCGCTATTCCTGTAACCGGTGAGGATGCTGAAATGTTCGGAGGCGTAGACGATCGGGCAGTCGGGTTGTTCGAGATCACAGAGGAGAAGGGCGACAGAGCAGTCGATTGCACCGAGTTCCACCTTGGGGTTTGGTCTTCCGGCAACGCGAAGCTGACGTTGGTTAGTTGTGACGGGACCATCACGAGAGCGTGAACAACGTACGAGGATGCTCATCATGTCGAATCCACTGGGACAGTAAAGCCCAGGGTACATGACAGGATCGGCGGCGGCTTGCGGTTGTCGCCAAGCACCAGGCTTTCCATGGGCAGCTTGCTCAGTCTCCTCGGAGAATTGATACTGAAGAGGGAATGTCAGTACAAAAATCCAGCAACGGTGGGGGTTGAGCGTCCGCAACGTACCTGCAACGCGCATGATTCCCACGGGTTCATAGTTGGCGACATTTGATTTTGTGACCGAAATGAAAGGATGCGCTCCGACTTTTGCGGTTGTAGGTAGGAGGCCGGGTATTGGTACTCTTGTGTCGACATTGTGTAGGTTGGTAGAGTCCAACACTGATTATAAAGCGACGATGTGACGGGTAAGTGACAGGGAGCGGGATGTGTGACCGGGGGAGTTGGCCAAGTCGAGCGGCAATAACAGGGTGGGTGGTCGGTACTATGGTACAGAGTGAGGTGATTAGGCACTTAGCACACTGCGTCTGCACGAGCGTGCTGGCAAGAAGTCGATCTCGAACTATTTGTATGAGGGTTGGTGTTTGATGGATGCAAAGCAGGTTGTAAATCGGCGGGCAAGGATAACGAGTCAATGTAAATGGGAAGTATGGTCATCAAGTCAAGATATCGTAAAACGGCACGTTGCTTGCTGAAAGGCACGAGCGGTGGTGCAACAGACGTTATTAGGCAAACGTACAGAGTACACTTGGGGTAATTCTGGTGGCAGAACGGTAGTGGCGGATTGGAGATACCGTTGCCCACCGGCAAGCGGAGCGATCGTTGATATTGCTGCACTGATCGTGAGTCGATGCGTGGAACACGGTGATCGGGAGCAGTAGTGTGGGGAGGGTGTGAGCATAGACCTGGAACGCCGTCCCGCAAAGTTAAGGGTCTGGTCTCTCTCTGCGGCTGCTTGCTCAGGTGAGGTAAGCTCGATAAGGACTCTTGAGCCTCGAGAGAGCAGAGTAAACAGTCTTAGCTCCGAGTTGTTCTCAATAGAGCGAGCGTTGCCATCCAATCCTGGGTAGCATTCCGGCTGTCAGATGGGCCATTACATCAACGAAGGATGGCTGAAGGCTCCCACTCTGACGCTTGCCAGGGGGTGTTCACTTGACCAGGTGCCAGATAGAGAGTATCCGCACATACAGTATTGTGTGAGGTGCGCTAGAGGAAGGACGGAATGATGGCGATGAGCGTCACCTCGTCAAGTTTGGACCGCTGGGGTGGTGCGGCGGGGTTCGTACCAGGAGCCTAACAGTCGGCAATGAGCAATGACACGGGCGGCGGTGCCACTTACCATACATTTGGGACGCCGAAAGAGTCCCCAATGTTAAGTCGCAGTCAGCGCAAGCCCTCGGACAGGTCTGCGTCGCTATCTTTGAGCAATGGCGCCGCTGCTTTCGGCCAAGTGCCGCTCAGGGTGGGCAATCGGTGACGAACTGCAGGCTGCATAGGTGCCCAGGGCGATGACCGATGGGCGTGTGCCAGACAGTTACGGATAAGGTAGCGCTAGGTAGAGTGATGAGTCGGAGCGGAATCCGATGCTCAGATTTGCGTTTGGCCCTGCGATCACAGCGATCGCCGCAACGGGTTTCCAACAATCTCGATTTCGCTGGCATGGATCCCTGTACCCATTTCGATCCGCCCGAATGCGCTTTTTGCTCCCTTGTGGCATGTTTTGCCCATGGTCGCGGCTCGCCATGGTGGTGCGGCAGTCCGGCCACCAGCATCGGAATCGGGCTTTTATTTTGCTGGAGAAACGTCGTTCAGAATCCCCCTGGTCGCCATCGAATTTTGACATGGGCTTTGGGGTGACAGGCCTCGACATTGGCATCGAGATGTATCCGTTAGTTGTGGTTCCATTTCATCGTCATGCGCCTAGGAACAGCAGAGTTCAACAAGCCGGGTACTGCTACGCCCAGCGCCCAGCGCCGAGTGCCCTGCGTCTCAGGGACTGTGGATGACACCAAAGGGTGACGGCGTGCTCGGCTGGCTGGTGCGATCGAGGTGGACTGAATTTGGCCTTTTGCATCCATGTCTGTCGCTGCCCTGAAAGAATTGAATGCAGGTCGACAAGGGCGCCGTCCATGTCTGTGCTCGGCCAAGCAGCACCATCGAGATCTCTCACCTTTTTCTGTCGAATTTACCCCAGCACTCCGAGAACCGGCCGCGAGCAGGTGGCTGGCCATTGACAGCAATTCGTCTCGCTTCGCAGAACAAGTCCAGACCAGGTCTTTGAATTCCCCTTGATCGAACCAACAGAAATAATCGGCCGAGAGACAGGGGGGCGCCGACGGAAACGATGGTGAGAGCGAAAGGTGATTCCGGCTGTTCCACGAGGACACGGGTACAACGAATCCGGCTTCTGACGGAGTGTTTGCTACGCGAGAGTCGGGTGTCATCTGGCATCTTCCACGCATTCCGGGTTTGCGGGTTTCGGTCAAGCCGACGATGGCCTCAGTTCCAACACGGGATCGAGATGCCCAAGTGTGACATGGAGGGTGGCAGCCACGTCTTCGATCCGCGTTGGCGTACCCCCTCATGACCTCCCCACTGCCGAGCTGAGCATTAACCAAGCGGCATGGCCAGTCCACCGGCGAGAGCCTGAGGGCGGGGCAGCATGTGCACCTAGCATGGATGTTTGCTGGGCCTCCGTTGATCGATTGAATGGGTCGTCTCACTCCTGGCGCTGAATCTCGTAGGAAATCTCCCGACTCTGAGGCTCAAACGTGACAATCCGCTGGATGTGACCAACCCAAGCTCGAGCCCTCGTCTCGAAAACAATCCTCAGTGACAGCTACTATTCGACGGGGTCTCTGTCGCGGGTGTTGTTTAATTGCAGATGCCCCGTCCGCGATAATCTCAACGTGAACCGAGGTTTGACGGCAATCGGGAAATCGTGTGGCATCGTTGGCTTATGGTCGCGGATCGAGGTGAGGGAGGCACCGGGCTTGCCAGCTGCAGCCAGATGCAAATGCACCAGCCTGGCGATTTGTAGTTCTGCAGGTGCGGGCACGTGGCGGGTTCTCGCTTATTGCGTACACGTCCTGGGCTCCTTGAGTCCTCTCTAAACTCTATCTTTTCGGCAAATATTCGACTTGGCCTTACCTTCATGCCTTCCAAGTTCCAGGTTCTTTCTTCGATCTCACCTACTCAGCCCCCGCAACTGGTGATTGGGTCATCACGTCTCTGCTAGGTCAAACCAGCGAGAGGTCCACCCAGATGCAACGTCTCAACTAGACCTCTTGCTGCCGGTACTTGTCTGGACTCCACTCTTCCAGACAGTTTCTATCAATAGACGTGAGTTCCTGTGTTATTATCATAAGTGGATGGATAGATAGAGTCATTTCATCTGGTTTTTTCACTGAGTTATATCAAACCCTCTGCATGAGCAAGAGGGTTTCAATTTTTGTTGTTTCGGTTTCTAATTGTGTGCCGTGAATCTCTTCTAACAATCCTGTCCTGTTGTTTCCCACTTGCCTCTTACATGAGGTCGAAATCCGCCAAGTTCACCACTGTACCTAGTTGCCGTTTCGGGATGCAAGCAAAGGCTCGCACCAACCTAGTTGATTTGACCAATGAGAAGGAAAATCTCAATTACACATCTAGATGATGTGTATTCCAATCTATCATTCCCCCTTCAGCTCTTTAGAAAGCAAAGTCCTCAGACGCCACGTCCTGGCCATCTAACCAACCGTTCAAGACCTTGAGCATCTCCGGCCCCGTACATAGAAAGTACCGCCTCTTGATCGTACCATCCTTTACATCATTTGACCCTATCCTCCTCCTCTCCACGGCGGCTCCAAAGCCCTCGACCTCCCCAATCATCACCTCCTCCGCCTCCCCAACCTTGCCCGTCACAAAAACCCTCAAAACATCAGCCAACCCAGGAATCCTCTCGACAACATCCCTCACCAGCTTCACGTCCTCTCCTCTGACGGTCCACAACACCTTGATCCTCCCCCCGGCCCCCAAAACACCCTCGGCCTGTGCAACTAAAGGCGTGATCCCGACCCCAGCAGCAATAAAGACCTCTTCAATACCATCATCATTGCCACCCTTCTCTCTCCCCATCCTAAACGCCTCCTCGCCACCGAAACCAAGCACGGGAACCTCCAACGGGACCCTCAGATTCCACCTCCACAACAAGTTCGTGACGGGACCCTTTTTCCTCGCCGTGATCTCAACCACCCTCCCATCGCGGCTAGGAGGACTCGAAACGGTAAACGTCCTCACGTAGTCATCGTTCAGGCTCTGCGGCTCCTCGTCCCGCATGTGACTCCACCCGACGTCCAGCTCCTCTGCAAAATCGAGCGTGACATACTGGCCCGCCTCCCACTGCGCCGCCGGTTCAAGGCTGAAGACGAAGCGTGCAATGGTCGGCGTGAGAATCTCGCGGCGCAGGAGGGTGGCCGTCCTAGCAGCCTCTTCTTCCCCTGCCAAAGTCAGAGGAGCATGCTGCTGCTGCTCGGTGAAGAGCGGTCTGACGGGCGGGTTGTACGGCGACGGTTCCAGCGGGACGCCGGAGAAGGGTAATCCGGACTGCACAAAGACCGCGGACGTCACCGTGATTTTGACGGCGAGTTTCGTGCGCGGGAGGTATGCTGCCGCGTCTTGACCGACGAGTATAGATGCCGATCCCGTGAGCTTCGCAACTTACACCGTTAGCCCCCTAGTTTCCATGGGTGTTGAGAGTTGGGCACTGCCTCACGTAAAGGACGTCTGACGTCTCAAAATTCGGTATCGCGATCCCGACCAATGGGTTCAGTTTAAGGTTACCCAGCGTCTGATATAAGCGATTGCCGGAAACTGTAAAAGCAGCCGCCCCCCCAAAAGAGGCCGGGTGATTAGCACTCAACCCCTCGATCCGGATGACCCAACTGACTCAAAGTAGGCATGGAACTCACATTCGGGATAGACAATCTCCACGCCCCCCTCATCGTTCCTCGCAACCCTCACAAACCCCCTCGACCCTCCCCGGTGATTCGTATCCATGCTGCCGCTGCTGCTCCCCTCCTCCTCCTCCTCCTCCTCCTCGTGTCCGCTCGTGAGGAAAAGCATATCCGCCCCCCGCACGACCGCGACCGCGTCATCGGACAGCGGCAACTCCCGCTCCACTCTCCCCTTGTCGATCGAGTCCCGCGGGATGACGTCCTTTTTGTTGAGATACTTGGGACAGTTTCCCAAACTCTCCTCGACGTTCACCGCGATCTGCACTTCGGAGGAAGAGCTCCGGTGGTCACCGGCAGCACCCTCCGTGACCGCCCCGGCCACCATCCTCCCGCCAAACTTTACGCGATCGCGCGTCCTCAGGTCGATGGACAGCCCCGACACGAGTTTCCCCCCTTCCGGACCCCCACCAGGCTGGACGACCGGTTGCCCTTCCTGGTCTCCCCAAAGAGCACGGAAGACCGGATCATCGACAAGGTCCACCTGACTCCTGATGCCAAGCACATCCTCGGCAATCGGCCGCGCCATGGCGCCGGCCTCCCCGCCCCAGAGCGTAGTCCAGGGTCTACGATCGTTGTCGAGGGTGCCGAGGGCCAGGAGCGGGGCGACGGCGATGCGGTGGCCGTAGGAAGGGGGTAGGCCCGCGGACGTGGGGTTCGCTCTGCGGGGGATCTTGAGGAGGTCGTGGAGGGCGAGCTCGCCTGGGTGGAAGTCTATTGTTCTGCCCGGCATGCTGCTACGTTGTGAGAGGAAGAAGTTGTCTGGTGCTAGGATGTGTGATGAGAAAAGGGTTGTGAGGAGGAGAGTGTAGTTCATTTGTGAGGCGGGCGGTATGGTGGTTGTTATCAATTGAGCTAAGACGTACTCACTCCCTCCTCATTGAACCAAGAAAGTTGGAGTAATACCCTCATCGTTAGGAATCATCGCGGCACCGTGAAAACAATTTGCAGCGTGTATGTGTAAGCCCTGGATGATGAAATTGACACCTCTGGGTGACAAATCAAAGCACCGAAGGGCGCATGTCAAGATCAGCGACAGGAGTCCAATGCTGACAATGGCGGCTGGCACTTGGCACTGTCAGACTGGCCAGGGCGATCACATCGGGGAAGCGGGTCCAAACTCTAATTCCCTGCATTGGCGCGGCGATCTTGCCGGGGGCCCTGGCGCCCGGGGACGTTAGTTACAGACTCGCAGTGTAAATAACATCGAGACACAAACGACGACAGGTGAACTTCGGATTGTCGTTCATAGACCTTGTATTTTCAGCTCTAAAAGTACAATGGTTTTAGGTCTTCCTCTCTAGCGGCTCTTGGAGCAGTTCTGTAGCCAGTAGACCCTATTTTCCTAATGGTACATGGGGAACAAGAAAGAAGCAAAAAATTCGGGGGGGTATCGAAAGGATGGTCATAAAAGGACGGGAGCAACCTAGTCACAGCCTGGACATTTTGGATCCGGAAAGCAAAGTGTAAGGCTCAGACGCCGGTGAAGAAATGATAAAAGCCTTTCGTGAAAAGATACGCTTGTTTCTAGCGCAAAGAAGACACCCCCTTTTGAATCATAAAGACATTATGAAAATTGAAATTGCGGTTTTCGCCGCAACACTGTAACCGTGTTTATGTGCCCCAGAAAGCAGACCGATACTCCTAGTACCGCTGGTCCCTCTGGGATCCCATATCGTCGTAGTAGCCGTATCCTGGGCCGCGGGGGTTAGGTCTCTGGCTCTGTGACGTGCCGGGACGGTTGAAGTAGTCTTCTTGCGGCCGGGGAGGCACGGGTGCCGTCATGTTCCGCGTGGGAGCATTCGGCGGGCCTCGGGGAGGAACCGGGCCAGTGACGCTTCGTTGCGGGTTGAATGGCTGGTACGCCTGGTAAGGAGTATTGTGGAGCGGGCCGGGGCCACGGGGCATGGGCGCAGCAGAGCGGCTCGAGTACGACGAGGGCGCCGGACTGGCCCGTCCATTGGACCGACTCGAATAGTCATCATAGGTGCCTCTGGTTGCCGGTGTGGGCCGGTCACTCAGATAGGTGTTTTGTCTCTGCGACCTGAAGCTTTCCACCGATCGGCCAGTATTGGACCTCACAGGCGGAGGGAAGGGTGGCATTGGGTCCGGAGAGTACGTGGACGGGCTTTCCGAGAAACCGCCACGAAGAGAACCTTGTGAGTTGGTTTGCAACTGAGAAATTTGCGGGCGGAAGTTCCTCTGGGAGTTGGAGGTGCCAGGTCGCTGAGGCGGGTAGTTGTTCAAATCCATGGGTGGAAGAGTAGGAGCCGGTGAAGCTGAGCGCTGGTACCCTAAATCGGCAGCACCGCCGATAAGGGGCGCACGCGACGAGTAGCTAGCAGTGGAAGTGGAGGTACCCATTCGTGCGGGAAGGGGTCGTTTCTGGTCCATGGAGTTGAGCTCGATGCTACCAGGGGTTCCGGGTCGAGACTCGTAGGCGGGAAGTGTCGCAAAGGTGTCGTTGCGTCCAAACATGGGCATGTCGGACAATTTGTCTGGGTCTCCAACATTGGGTAGAGTCGGCAAAGTTGCTTGTCGCTCCAGAGGCATCTTTTCGCCATTCTTCTTCGCCGCCTTCATTTCTGCCTTTCTCTTGGCTTCCTCCTGTCTCGCCAACGCCTTGTTGACCTTGACAGTCACAATCTTCATGAGGGCCTTGGTGACCTTGCGCTCACAATAGCCTGAGAGGCCTCCGTCGGCCTTGGGGATCCAGTGGAACAGAAAGAAGACGTAGAAGAGGACGGCCATGATGAGGTACAGAGCGGAGAAGACCCAAATGACGAGGGTGAAGAGCATACCCGATAGAATGAGGGCCTGCTGGTAGTCCTCCGTGGCAAGCGTCTTAATCTTGTCAAAGAAGCCTAGCAGGGAGCCCCCGACCGAGACTTCGTGAACTGCAAGCTTGGCATCGTACACAGACTTGAGAGTCAACGCGTTGACGACCTGACGAGGGCCGGAACAGACCAATACTCGAATCCAAGCTACACGGGGTTAGTATACGTGCAAATGGGACTTCCCGGATCAGCTTACATTGAAAGCTAAAGTAGGTGAACAGAGCAATGTACTCGGCTCCCTTCTTGCTCTTGGTGAGTTCGGCAAAGACCAAGAAACGCTTCCAGCCCTGGCCCTTTCCAAATCGAATACTCTCGAGGCGAACAGCAATGGTGTCGAGGTAGCATTCAGCTACGTTGCCTCGCCTCATGACGCGGTGGGCCCTGAATTGCTCAAAGGCGAGATTGACAAAGGAGGCGATGATGGAAATGGAGAAGATCCATTTCGATATTTTGAAGTCGATAGCAGGTTTAATTTCGGATGACCAGCGGTCAAATGCCAACAGGTTGACGGCAGTGAACATATCGACGCCGTAGACAGCGAGGGAAATGATCAACATGAGCCAGAGGTAAAAGTACGCGAACGGTGTAAGGCATCCTCGAGACTTGAAGTCATTGAGGTTCTAGGAGTATTAGCACCAAAGGAATCTTGCGTCTACAGGGTCTACCTACGATGTAGTCCCATTTCTGCTCGGCACGTTGGTTGATGTTCTTTTTGCGGTTAGTGAGGCAGCCCATCTTGAACAGTGGGCGAATTGGTGATGGCGATTGTCAAGGTTATGTCGATGAATCCCGACACAGTCGAGTCGAGAAGAAGGAGAAGGGTGATGTAGTGGTCGCCGCGGGACCAATGTCGTGAGAGTGAGTGTGATAGCGCAACCCGGACCTGCCGTCAACACAAGTCGTTACTCGCCCGCGAAGTAATCGACAATGTTTCTCCTGGTGATGACCAGGAAAGCAGAGTCGATGTGCGGGAGACGGAAAAGGGCCGAGGAGTAAAGGAAGAAGACTGTTGGAGAGGGAGAAGGGAATGTGGGTCCAGGGTTGAAAGGGCTGAAAGTGCGACGCAAGAGTTCGGACCGGTGATTGTCAAGATGGCATGGTCGAGCGACCGGGCGTTTGAGGGTGGATCAAGGCTGGTCAAGATGCGTGGCGACGTGACGACAGCGAGCAAAGCCAATTTGGCTGGACGACCATGCAATATTGACAGGGCCGGTAAAGAGGGAAGGTAAGCACTTGAGGCCAGGCGGCGACGGTTTTCTGGTTGGGTGAATATCCGCGTTTGATCGGCCACCGTGGGTTGCAAGGCCGAGTCTCAGAATGTCGAAAAGGGCCAAGAGAGTTACAGTGCGTGAGACGTGGAAGGGCGAGTAAGCGAGCGAGCGAATGAGTCTCGGGTGTAATCGACGGTCGAATCTAGAACGAATGGATGACGTGTATTTCTCGCACGATCGGAGTGTGTCTGTCCAAAATGTCGAGTCTTACTCTTGAGGCCATGGACTGCTTCGCGAAGCTCGACGAGGAATGTTGGAGACGTTGGTGGTGTGGTTGTGTAAGAGCACAAGACGCAAAGGTGAGCGTGGGCGTGAGGGCGTGCGTGTGAGCATCTGACCATTGAGCGAGGGAGAGAGGGGAGTGGAGGCCTTCAAGAGTGATCTGCGAGAGGGGGGGGTCCTGATGGGTAGCAAGGGACTGCAGGGTCAAGACACGACGAGCCAAAGCCAAAACGGAAGGAAAGGGGGGCCATTTGCGCGAGATGGTACCAAAATTGATTGCCGCTGGTGGTCGCAGACTCGCAGACTCGCAGACACGGGGTGTCAACGGCGTGGGCAGTTTGGCGGTTTCGAGCGTCCGAGGAGAGGCTTGTGGAGCAATAGCGACGGAAGCGCGGCCTTTGACGCAGGTACCATGTCACATTGTCGCCAAATCCGGATTAGCGCACCAACAGAACGTTTGAGGTCCAATTTCCCGAGACAATCTGGGGGGTTGATTGGTTCACTGTCCAACTCAATTATAGCCCTTGATAAGGCCCCCACTGTCTTCCAGAGTCCCTCACAGTGTATTTACAAGGCACAAAGGCACTTCTTACAGGCATTCTCCCTCCCCTTCCGTCCCTCCTTAGCCTCTCATGTTGTACTCCTCCTCCTGTGTCCAAGACCCAAGACCGTCCCGCACCAGGCCTGCCATTCGCTCTGTTCGATACAGGCAGTGGTTCGAGGTTGACCATAGCCAGAGGGTTCGCGGCCTCATCTTTACAGCCGCGGCTCGGACGCGCCCGCTTCACCTATCCAACCATCGACCCAAGTCCTGCGCCTCTCGAAGCGGCGGGAAGCCTGCGGGAACCTATTTGGTAACTTGGTCGCGTTGTTTCGACCGTCCTGAAGTATCTTCTACTTATCGCCAACCACTCCCACAGAGTGCAACGTCAGCTTCTCAAGGCTAGAGCCGCGCCCGCGGTGGAGAAAAGGCCGACCATGAGGCCTCTCGGTCCTAAGCCCACGCGTCTTACAACTGACTCTGTTAGACCCCCCAATTTGGGTAGGCAAACTATGACTCCAGAACCAAAACTCTACTCACATTCACAACGACGTGGCTGTCCACGGTCGTCGCAGCCAGAATGGGTCAGAGGTCAGAATGGGTACTCAACCTTCAACACGGACATCCCGTCTCAACTCTGCTCAACTTTACCCGGAGCCGTCTCCCTGAAACGCGCTGCCCTGGCCCACACCACGGCATGTATGATGGCGAGCACGCGGGGGTACCAAGAGGGCTTCATCAGTGACCACTGCTTCTTCTACCTCCCACATGGCCAGTGCACCCTCTTTCGCATTGATTGTCTCTCCATTCATCTCATTCGAAGGTTCGGCCGAACGCAGGGTGGCAGACAGTGTGTATCGAAACGAAGAGTGACGCCGGGTCTACAATGCCTCCTTACAGCTCCCTCCCAAGCATAGCCCGAACATTGCAAAGGACCAAGGAACCTTCCAGCCTCCGGAAACAACTCCAAGGGTTGCGTCGACAAACGCTCCGGATCAGACGGCAGGCCTTGGTCAACACTACCCCGAAAAGACCAAAAAAGACCAAAAAGAGGTTACTGAAATTCGGTCGCCTCCCGTATCTGGAACTTGGAAGACGCAATATTTCGCTTCTCCACGACCAATTTGCTCGGCGGGGGTGGTGCGAGGTGCACGTGGATTACCCCGGCCATTCGGCTATCTTTATCGCCATCCTAATTTGAATGCGACAGGCCGACAAAGAAATGACGGTGGATTCTGAAGTCGTGCTACCGGGAATTCCATGGCTGTACGGATAAACGCCCTGTGTTGCCAGAGGATGCGGCTTCAGCGCGAACGACTCAAAATGTTTACTCGCATGTGTTCCCCCCCGTTTGGCCAAGCCTGCTTCTTGGTTTGGCCTTGACAAACGATTGTACAGTCGTTGCTGCCGGCAGGTTGGTTCCATTTTTAAGTACTCCCTGATGTTAGTCTTGATCATCACCCATCTCCCAGACGACGACATGTCTCTGAACCTGGTGTAGATTTCAAAACTTGCAACAATTTTACAATCATAAAGTTGACTCTGAAATGTGTTAAACAATGACGCTCGTCAAAATTGTCAGCCAAGTGGCGTAACCCAGTCCCTTTCCAGCATGCCAAGACGGCAACCGTTGAATCAAAGAATACAATGGCCATAGGGCTGTTCTTTGTTGTGACTGTGAAGGGGGTGCCTTCCAGATGATGCGACTTGATTGTTAGCAAACGGAAAAGCTGTACCAGGGCGATCTACAAAGATGACAGCGATACCTTTTTTCAGTTGCGCCATGATCTTGACATCTCCATACCCATCAAATGACATCTCAGTTGAGTTTGATATCAACAGGCCAATATGTCAACATCAACAGCCGAGAAGACGGACCCGGATCACCCGCAGCCGCCGTTCCAACTCGTCAAGAGAGTCCAGGACAACATTTGGATTACACGGCGGAATGCCCAGCATTCGGGATACGCCGACGGCGAGGAGTTCATCGCGCGCAAGGTGGACGACTTTGACGAGTACTACGAAGCCGGCAAGTACTCTATGAACTTCACCACCAAGAAGCAGCGCCAGATCAAGGGCCTGATGGACCTCCTCTACGAGCACAATATGGGCCGCAACATCTCTCACATCCTCAACCACGAGAACATCATCTCCCTCGCCGGCTACCTCCGCCAGCAACCGGTGCACCCGCGCGTGCAGGCCACCGAGGACTACCTCGTCTGGGACATTTGCGACGCCGGCACGCTCGAAATCCTCTTTGCGGACCGCCACTCGGAGCGCGAGCCGGGCTGTTACCTGCCCGAGTCGCTCTGCTGGCACGTCCTCACGTCCGTCATGCGCACGCTCGTCTGGCTGCACGACGGGTATCGTCAGGAGGTGAACTGGGCCACCGGGGAGCGGGCGTGGGCCCAGACGGACACCGAGTGGATGCCCATCCTGCACCGCAATATCGACGCGCAGTCCATCTTTTTCCAGCACTCGCGGGGCAAAGAGACGTACGGCGTGTGTAAGCTGGGCAAGTTTGGCAAAGCCTTTCTGTCCGGCGTTCCGGCGCGGCGAGACGGTGCGCCCAAAGGAGAGACGCCCCTCCCGCACAGCATCGGGTTCCCGATCGCGCCGAAGACGGGCCACATGCGCCTGACGGAGATGATGGGGCAGTGGAAAGAGTATTTGGACACGGAGAGGAAGGTGAGTAATCCGGAACACACACACACAAACACACAAACATATACAGCGCAGCTCTAATAATGGGATGTCACAGAGCAAACGCCTCTACACGCTCAGCGACGAACACTGGGCCCTCGGCGCCGTCCTCTTCCGCATGATGACCGGTCGTCGCCTCCCCAGCCTCGACGGCTGCGAGATGTGCCACTGCATCCACATCCGGCGGTGCGCAAAGATGGGCTGCGTCGAGAACGAGCCGAGCCAGGGCCAGACGCACAAAGGTAGTCGCGGGTGCGAGCACGAGAGGTTCCGGGGGTGCCAGTGCGTCGTGCCCTCGGCCCCGGCCCCGGGGTCCTGCGGCGGGGCCGAGGCGGATGTGCATGTTGACGAGGTGCTGTACCGGCTCGGGTACTCGCGGTACCTCAAGGTCGCGGTGCGGATGCTGCTCGACTACGACCTCGAGGCGCCGGCGGTGGAGACGAGAGGGTTGGCGGACAGGGTCGAGCGGCTGTATGTGGAGTGGAGGTGCAAGACGGAGGAGGGGCGGGAGTACGTCGACGTCATGGACGATCTCGGGTACCGATTCTTGGTGCTGAACAAGGCCGCTCATGAACTTGCAGAATAGTGCGTTTGTTTACTGGACTGGTGTTTTGGCTTCATGTAAACCAGGTTTGGGAATCGAATGTTGGGTTTCGGCCTTGACAGTGTGCTTCTTCAACAGATGAAGGAATCGAGAATCCTCAATCTGATTGGGTAGTTCGCGCTTGCCCATCAAATTTCATCCAAACCATTCATGGATCCCACGGCAGAAGCACGTTGAAGTGTCCTTGTCTATGTTAGCTGCAGTAGATGCCGAGCGCTCTACAGCTACGTGACATGCCTCAAGACAGGACCGGTTGGTACGTACCTGTACAAGAACCCTTCAGAACGTTGACAGCCCCACCCGTCGCCCCGATTTTAGTTGGCGCGGTCCTCGAGCACAAGCCCAAAGACAGCTCCGAGAGCCAGGTTGTCCACCAGTCGCGTGGATCACACTTCTCTCTATTGCTTTGTCTGAACATCAACCGCCACCGTCTGCAATCTCGCACCTTTTGCCCGCCACACTCCTTGAACAGGTTTGAAGCTTCGACATCGTTCGCGTACAACAGTCGTGACCGCCGCAAGATACTGCCACAGAGTCCAAACCATATCAAAAGCGAGCAAGCAAGCAACCTCCGAATTCCAAACAAACGCATCGCATCGGACCACAGCTCCTCTCCTCCAAACCTCGCCGAACCCGGACCACGATTTCTACACCTCGCCTAAACCACCTCATCACGACCCCTCGACCTCGACCTCGACTTTGACCCAAACGTCACGCATCACTCACCACAACCATGTCCCTCTCCCAACCAACGCCCCTCCTCCTAACAAAACGCCTAACCTCCTTCCTCGCCTCCAACCTAAACGCAAACCTCCACACAGCCCTCCTAGCAACCCCTTCAGGCCGCCTCCTCGCCCACGCCTCCCCGCAGCCCGTCTCCCTCCTCCGCACCCAATCGACCGTCGCGTCCTCCCTCTTCGCCCTCCATGCCTCCGCGACCCCCGACATCGCCGACGCCCTCCCCTCCTCGTCCTCCTCGCCGCCCTCCTTCTCAGGTGCAGCCACGACGGCGAACGCCAACGCCAACGCCGCAGAGGATGGATACCCCGGAGGAGAAGGAGCGGGGGGGAAACCCCTCACAATAACCGTCCAACTCGCCGCCGGCGTCGTCGTTATACGGAGACTGAAATGTGGTCTGCTCTTTGTCTGCATAGGACCCCTCGCCGAGACAATCGACTCCCAACAGCACCAGCACCCTTCCTCCGAACAATACCACCACCACCACCACCATCATTCCAACGCCAACGGCGGCGCGGGTACGGGAACCCCCTCCCAGTTGCCCGCGTCCCCCTCCGAGGCGGACAGCATCCTCAGCGTAGGCGCCCAGACCACGACGAGCTTCGCCAGCGTCGGAAGCGTCAACACGGCCGGCGTCGTGGTCCTCAGGCGGCACGCCGAGGAGCTGGCGCGGTGGCTGGATGATAAGCTCGGTAGCTTGCGAGTTCCCGAGGAGGGTGTTGGCGTGGAATAGAGCTAGCTGCTGGCCCTGGAACAGGATGTCTCATCTAGAGGAAGCATGCATGACAGAGGAGGAGGAATTGTACGAGTAGAGGATTGAATTTTCATGCGTGAAAAGGGGCTGATTAGGAAGGAGGGGGGGGGGGGGGGGGGGGGGGAGGGGGGGGGGGGGGGGCAGGAGAGCGGGATGGTGAGAGAAGAGGAGCGAGTCGTGCGAGAGGAGGGAGGATTATACGACGAGGGTATGATCTGGCAAAGCAGAAAGAAGGGTGGAAGAGAAGGGGGGGGGGGGGGGGGGATTGCATGAAATTTTCGCATCAAATTATCGGCAGGAGACGAAAGGGTTCGGAAAGCATTACAGGCGTACACGGGGCGTTTGGGGAAGATACCACGGCCAAGAATTACCATCATCTTCGTAATCACTCTGCATGTACAAATATCTTGCTCATTATGGGTCTCTATTTCATTCGCAGTAAGTAGCATGTATGCTTGTGGATGTGTGGATGTGTGTGCGCGTGGTGCCGAGCTCGGCCTCTATGGATATACTGATTTGCCCCTTGAACCCCTTTTCATAAACTCCCAAACTTCATTCGCCTTGCTCCCGTCTCGCCGGTAGTTTTTCACACACACTCACAAAAAGGACCTATTCCCAACGCCCAAAACGCAGACTGCGCCAATGTCACAAGAAACAAGAACCAAATCACTCGATGCTCATACGCATCAGACCATCGTTGGTGTCAACCATACCCTGAAACCCAACACGTCCTTTGTTCCCGTTGACCACCCGGCCGTTGGCGTTGGCATTGGCGTTGGCGCCGCTGCCGGGCGTGCCACCACCAAGACTACCCGATTCGCTCGGTGCGCCACTGCCGCCCTTGTCGCCGCTGTTGCTGCCGGGCCGTGACCCCCACGGCGCCACGTCGCGTTGCATCGGGCTCTGCGTGATGGGCGAGTTGTGCACGCTCATGCCAGGGCTCACGGCCCGGCGCTTGAGACTGACGGGGTCGTAGTCGTCCTCCCGCCGGCGCTTGCTGTTGATTCGCCGTGTGATTTCCGCGGCGCTGGGTGCCGGTTGCGGGCCCTGCGCGAGGAGAGGGGTGTCGCCCTTTTGGGACTCGCCGCTGCTTGCGGCCATGGCGAAGCCTGCCGTTGGCCCCAGCGAAGGGGAGTCCATGCAAATGTCTTCGCTCATTCCTGAAGAGGAGCCGCGAGGGAGTCCGCCGTTGGGTGGAGGCGGGGTCGTGCGGGCGCCGCCGATACTGCTGGACTCGGAAAAGGTGTCCCAAAACTTGGTGCCCTTTGAATTCTTCAAGGCTTGTTGCTTAAAACTGCCAGAGAGATTGAGGGCAGAGTCAGTGATCATGCTTTCCGGTATGTCATCCAAGGATTGATCTTGGTTCCCTAGGTTCGGCGACGAGTGCGTGGTAGCAGGAGGCGCAGTCTGTTGACGAGGGGCTCCGAGATCGACGTCGCTCTCTCGCACTTGACGGACGACTTCGGCCTCTCTTTGGGTCTCTGTCTCCACGGGCGCACCTTCCTCGAACAGCGCTGCTCTGATACGAGCAAAGTTCTTCGTCTTGGGCAGCAGGTTCCTACGCTGCGTGACTACCCGTCGCATGACGGTGGGGCGCTGCCCGTCACGGCTGGGAGTCGAGAGTAAGCCGTCAATGTTATCGCCTCGCTCTTCCTCGCTCCCAGAAATATGCAACTGATTGGCCTGCCAACTGATGCTTTCTCGGCGTGAATGCGCCGACATGTCCTTGGGCACGTTGTTTGGTGGTGACTTTGAGACACCAGCGTTTGTGCCGGGACTGAATCCCAGACCCAGCGGCAGTTTGTGTTTCTTTTTCGGCAGTTTCCTCTGGCGTTGCCTATGCTGGAAGCTCATGAGACTGTTCATCGCCGGAGAGCCTCCCCAGGGCGCCATCATGGGTTGCGTGCCCAAGGGCGCGGCGGATTTGTTGGCTTGCGGTGTGCCGATGTACGGCTCGTCCATATCCTCATCCATAAGGTCATCGTCGTCGGAGTCGGTAGAAGAATCTGACCCCAGCTGATTTGCACTGCCCAGCGAGCTGGAGACCGTCATGCGCTCGTGATTACCCATCATGGACCACAATGAGTTGGTGGTCTGCTCGGCCTGTCCGTAGTCGTTACTTCTGCGTCCCGGGATGTTCATGCCTCTCCCTCCGATCGTAGGCGACGAGTCGGGTGACGACTCGGCGAGGGTTGAGTGGTGCAGACTGGTGGCAGCGCGTGAGAAGTCGAGGCCGCGAGAGCGACGCGGTAGGATGTTGGTCGGGCTGGCATAAATTTGCGAGTGGTCGAGCTTCGGTGACAGCGGCGCGGGTTTCGTAAAAGCGGCGGACGAGCTGGATGCAGGGGAGGCTGGGTCGCGGTTCGTGGGCATCTGCAGCGAGAGGCCTCGTAGGGGGAATTCGGATCGGTGAGGGGTTACGGGCGTGGTGGCCGTCTCTCGGATGTGGTTATCGTCTTTGGATGCCTGGCGACCGTCGGCGATGTGCGGCGAAGGAGTGAGCTTGGAAGGGGTTCCTCCTCCGTCCGACATGGAGCGCGTCTTGGACAAGGGCGAGCGGCCCAGGCGTTGTGGAGTATTGGCCGCGTTTACGGGGACATCGGCGTCCTTGTCGTCGTCCATGATGGCGGACTCAAAGTCCATGTCCCTCAGATCCATCGTTCGGTCCATGGCGGCGGCAGCGAAGTTGAAAATGCCAATGTAGTCGCGAGAGCCTGATTCACGGACCGATGTGGGAATGACACTGAATGTCCGGGAAATAGTGGGTAGTGGATCAGGTCGTTGGTGTCGTTGTTGGCGGCTCGTTTTGGGGGGGGTTTCGCGATTAAGGCTTTCGCGATGTCATTGAGATATTGGCTGTAACATGCGGGGTTGCAAATGGCATTGTTGGATATTGCAAGACCATTTGAAGTCTTCGTTGTACCTGTGATGCCGACGTAACGGAGACGGCTGCAGTAGTGATACGTCAAGCAGCCAGCTCCCAAGGTTGTTGTAGATAGGCGGAGGTTGAGTTTGGTTGACGAAGCGGGCAGACGTTGGAAGGTTTCCTTCAGGCTTCCCGGTTGGATGCGGCCAGGGTTGGATAGGCGCCTGCAGCCATTCACAGCCAAGTTGAGCGAACCGTGTTTGGGTGTCACTGAGCCTCTTTTGCAGGCTTTCCCTTGCGGGGGAATCAGAGGTATCATCGCACCCAACTTTGCTACTGGTGGTACCTTGCGCTAGGTTTACCTCATCACTGCTGCGCCCTCCCGTCGTCTGCCCATTTGTTTCGTCGATCCACAACGGCATTTCCATTAGGTTCACAGTGACACTCAAGCAGGTGCTCGCTGGCTCCCGAGTCCCGCATGCACTTCCCCACACCGGGCCCGAAACGGCAGAGGGGACGAAAGCCTGGAAATGATTAGCAAAAACCCTGGCCTTTGCCACCGTCGTCTTTTAGGTCATGTTTGATGGAAGACGAGCCGGCTGTGGGTGTCTTGTCAGGCTCCATGGCGGCATAGCCCCGTCACGTTCCGGCTCGTGATTAGGGCCATGTTTCAAGCAAACCGAACGGCAACCTTGTTCTGACTTCTTGCTCGGGCGTGGGAGGACATGGTGCAAACCATTCATTGCGCAACTTACCAGAGATGGTGTTGTAGTGAAGCTGGTTTAGCAGCTGTTTTGCCGTCGACTTGTCAGCTTATAGCAACATCAATCATGGTTGTCATTTATCCTGCTTATTCGTGCAAGTGCAATGAACCCAAAGGTGGCATGGCGCTTGGAGGGACGTTCTCTATTAAGCATATTTCGTCGAAAGTGCCCGCTGGTTTGCCACCTCACGTGCGAATACCGGGGCTTGCTACGACGGTCAGCCCAATGGAGGTAGTTCTGGCTTTTGAACTACTGTCAAGAAGCGGCGCTCTCAGGGCAGCAAAGATATCCGACTGTGCGGTAAGACGTGGGCAGTGCAGTCTTCACCTGAAAACGCTGGATGCCAGACTTTCTCTACGTCTTCCTTTTTTCTTTTCTTTTGGTTTAATCCCATTCTCTTTCTCCCTGACACTTTTACGCAAAGAAGCTGGAAAGAAATCGTTCCGGTTGCCGATATTTTGTTGCACCGTTCGGGATCTCCGAATACCCCCTCATGTCTTACCCGCCGACATATGGGAGGAGACGGGGCCGTCCGTCTGAACGGCCCCTCCCATCGCCGTGTCCCGTAAACTTGTCTCTGCCTACAACGGCGTTACACGTCAGGGGGAACCAGAGTCACGGCTCAATCTGTTGCCCTGGTCGAGTCTGGTGCCACGATGCAATGAAATGAGAAACTCACATTGTCCGTCTCACGGAGGACGAAAGTGCCATTTGTGACTCATCAAAGACGCGGTAGTCGGGCAGATGATAAGCCGCAAACAATCATCGCCCGAATCACAACAAGAATCAATCCTAGAGCACCTGCAAGCGCAAAGGTCGTCGTGACTCTTCCATCTATCTGTGCCCGAATGTGATCAGCCTCTGCGAGGGCGTTTGCGGTTGATGTCGGCGCCCGCTAGGCCCCGAGCTGACATATTTGGAGCCCTGGACGGGGAGATGAGCAAGCCAGCTAGCGATCTAGATTCGCTTCAGCCTCTGAGTCTTGACGTCGTAAATCCAAAAGAGGCTTGACTGCATGGGTAATCCAAGTGCGAAGGCCGAGGGCGTAAGTATACCAACCACCCAATCATCGGCGCCGGTGGGTGATCCACCCCGAGTGACTCGGACAGCTTTTTGTGCCGAGCTCCGGGTTGGGCCGACCGATGGCCTCGAATTCCTCTGCATCTTCCGGACTTTAGGCTTTTAAGCTCCTGCCTCACACAACTGCCACCCTGACCCCACTGCCACATGGAGTTTGCAACTCTTCTATGGTATGCCGGGCTGCAGCCTTCGTAAATCTTAGGTACACTAAATAAACCTTGGTACCGATACGGATAGTCTCAGAGGACATCTTAGAGGACACCTTGGAGGCCCTGCGCTCGGAGCGACCACTACCCCTGGGCCCATATCCCTCCGGCACACACTGGAACTGAAGCTCGCGTAACTGTGGTGACGAGGACGTTCCTCCTGAGTCTTCCTCCGTACTCTTCGGACATTTTTTCTTTTCCAATTTGATGACCAAAGCATGTCTAGACCGGCTCGTTCCCCCAATTCCCCCATCCTACCCACTCAAAACGCTGACAAGCTCACGCTAAGAAGTATTACCTACCCAAACAAAGAAAGGAACCTTGTCTTGCCAGAAGAGCTCGGGCTTTGGCTGGGCCATCCCTGTGGCTTTGGTACGAGTGTTCAAATCGGGGATGGGGCCCTTGTTCCTCGTCTGGTGTCGTCTGCGATGGTGCAGTGTTACCCGATGGGATGCTGCAGCTGGGAAATTTCACGATCTCAGATGTCACTTAGGAGGAGCGCGAGCGCGAACGCCTCAACGAATACAAAACCTGCCCTGTCTGCCGCACATTTTTCTGTCACATGAAACTCTGGCTTCTTTCTGTACCATCCAGGGTCTCTCCTTCCTTCTCTTTCCCACCCCCTTCCAAAGGAAATTTTGACGTTTTCCTGTCATCTTTACTTGCCAGCTACAGGCAGGTGTATAAGCGAAGTCTCCCTTGAAGCAAAAGGGCTAGCAGAGATTACTATATAACAGCTCTCCCCATCCGTCTTACCCTTTGGTATTCTTCAACACGCACCATCACCATGGGCTCCAAACACCCCGATGAGAAGCTCGGCGGCGACACCACATCAGCCGATCCCTCGATTTCTACCGAGAAACATCACGCCCACGATGACACAAAGATGGCTGAGACCTACGACAAGCAGGCGCCGTCGCACACATCCGGGGACGACGAGGTTATCTACCCATCCGGCCTGAAAGTTGTCCTCATTCTCATCTCCCTCTGCCTCGCCGTCTTCCTCGTCGCTCTCGATCAGACCATCATTGCCCCGGCCCTAGGCACAATCACGGCAGAGTTTGGCAGCGTCAAGGACATTGGCTGGTATGGCGCCTCCTACCTTTTGACGACGACGGCCCTGCAACCAATGTACGGCACCATCTACAAGCTCTTCAGCATCAAGTACGCCTACCTCACCGCGATCGCCATCTTTGAGATTGGTTCCCTCGTGTGCGCTCTCGCGCCAAACTCCACCGCCTTCATCGTCGGCCGCGCCATCGCTGGTATCGGTACCGCGGGTCTGTTCTCGGGCTCCATCGTCATCCTCAGCTACACGATGCCTCTCGAGAAGCGACCTCTGGCATTCGGTCTTATTGGGGGAATGTGGGGTGTTGCGTCGGTTGCTGGGCCTCTGTTGGGAGGTGTATTCACGGAGAAGGCTACCTGGCGGTGGTGCTTCTACATCAACCTTCCCATCGGCGGCATCGCCATGGCTTTCATCTTTTTCCTCCTCACAATCAGCAGAAAGAACAACCCGACCGGAGAGTCCCTCGTGCAGCGCATTCTGCAACTTGATCTCATCGGGACCGCCGTCTTCCTTCCCGCCATTGTGTGCCTCATTCTCGCTCTCCAGTGGGGTGGTGCCGAGTATCCCTGGAACAGCTCCAAGATCATTGGGCTGTTTGTCGGGTTCGCGCTCATGATTATCCTCTTCATCGGCATCCAGCTGTGGCAAGGCGACAAGGGAACGCTGCCTCCCAAACTGTTCAAGAATCGCAATGTCGTTTGCGCTATGCTGTTTGCCTGCTTTTTTGGCGCCGCCTTCTTCCCGCTCCTCTACTACCTTTGTAAGTACTCTCTCAACTACTATCATCTTTGGTGGCCAGCATGCTAACAGAAATATAGCCCTCTACTTCCAAGCAATCCAGGGGGTCAGTGCCGTCCAGGCTGGCATCAAAATTCTGCCCCTCCTCCTGGCAACCGTTGTCGCGTCCATCGTCACCGGCGCCCTGATCTCCGTCGTCGGCTATTACAGCGCCATCATCCTGCCATCCCTGATCCTGTTCTCTGTCGGCTCCGGCATGATTACGACCTTTGCCGTGGACACGCCCATGCGCGAGTGGTTCGGCTACCAGGTCCTCGCAGGACTCGGCATCGGCGCGGGTTTCCAGATTGGCGTGCTCGTCGTCCAGACGGTCTTGCCCCAGGAAGAAGTCCCCGTTGCGACGGCCTGCGTGCAGTTCTTCCAGTCCTTTGGCGGTGCCATCATGATTGCCGTTGCCCAGACCTTGTTCCAGGCGGGCCTCATTGACGGAGTCAACAAGAATGCCCCGGAGATCAACCCGCAGATCTTCATTAATGCCGGCGCTGACCAGGTCCGCTCCATCTTGACGCAGATGGGACGTGCCGACCTCATCCCCGTTGTGCTTGAGTCCTACATGGTTGGACTCAGACACACCTTTTATGTCACAGTCGCCTGCGCGTGCGCTGCTTTTGTCGCATGCCTGGGCCTGCAATGGAAGAGCGTCAAGAAGGAGGGCAAGGGTGGTGCTGCGGCTGTTGCTGTGTAGTTTTTAGAATGCTGGCGAAATTTGAAGTAAACGGTGGCATGATAAAGAGGATACCCGGTGTAAATCCCTACCTACTCTACTTAGACTATAAATTGTAATGTCGCAATACCAACATATGTATCAAACGTCAACGCCCGAATGCAACTAACATGTCCCATAAATACACTTGTACTTGCAGTCTCCATTTTGTCAACTTTGAGCTGGATACTGATACCCTCCCCACTCGGCACCGGCATATACCGGTAGCCATGCCGTTTAAATACCTTGTTCAATCTCTCTCTCTCTCTCTCTTCCTCCTGTCTAAATAAGTGATTCTCACTGGGTATCATCAGGTAGCGCATCCCACCCCCTCCTCACCTTGCCCCTCGCCGTCGTCCTCTCCTCGCCGCCGACAAACCTCAGCACCCACTCCCACACCCTCCTCGTCTTTACAAGTTGCGGATGCACCGCCATCGGCTCTCCGTCCCCTCCCCCTTCTCCTCCTCCTCCATCACCACCTCCTACCCCGTCACGCGCACCGACGGTAGACCTCTCAAGGTCCCTCGGACGATAGTACCCGCCCTCGTCGCCCTCCCCCAGCCTCCGCCTGTACAGCACCGTCGTCCTCGTCAGCCCCTTGCGCAGGCTCTGCCCGTACACTTTACCCCTGAAGACGTGCAGCGCGACATTCTGCAAGAGGACGACATCCTGTCTCCGAAGATGCGACGGCTGTGTCGGGGCTCCTGCTGCTGCTGCTACTCCTCCCGTCTGGTCAGTGCTCTTTGCGGGGTGGTCAGGGTTCGCGGGTAACCAAAACGTGACGCCGAAGCCGGCGCGCGTCTCGTCGCCAATGAGAACCTCGACGAGGGCGAGGTCGTTGCCCCAGCGGGTGGTCACGCTGCGCGGCGCCGAGACGGAGATGACGCCGGCGATGAGGTTTACCGTCACCGTCTGCGGTGCGAGGCGGAGGAGGTCCGGGGCCGGGGGGATGTCTTCTAGGTCGCTTAGGTGGTGGGATGTTGGTAGGGGCGGACGCGGGGCGCTGTAGGTGATGAATGTGGATATCTCTGCCGTGGTGTCTTGAAAGGAATCCGTGGTTTCAGTGAGGAAGGAATCTATCCCTGTTGTCGTGTTGAAGGAGGTCTTTGTCTGCTGTCTCGTCGGGTTTGGCTGGGATGCGGAGGGGGCAGGAGTGGGGAGCTGGGAGGAGGCGAGGTCGTGGTGGAGGGCTAGGGAGTAGTCGTAGAACTGTTGCGAGAGGAGGTCTTGGGACCCGGTGGTGTCGTTGTTTGGTTCTTGGGTATGCGCGTCCAGGGCGAGGGAGAAGAAGTGTGCTGGGGGGAGGAAGTCTGAGGGGAGGCCGTGGGGTTGGGAGTAGCCCGTGGTTAGAGGCTGGCGGTGTAAGGGGAGGGATCGCCAGGATGGGACGGCGGCGGGTTGGGCTGCCGGTGCTGACGTTGACGAGGAGGCTGATGCCGATGTGGGGGCAGCCGGGGCAGCCGGGGCGGGTTGAGCGGGTGGGGTGGAGGGGGGGAGTAGGAGGAGGGAATCCGGGGATGACCAGTCAGCCTCGGGGGCGCCGGCGAAGATGAGGACTTTGGGCATGCAGGGGTGTTTTTGGACCTGCTTCGGTCCGGGGATGTGTCGGGAACGGGGTGTTAGTCGGGCGAGGGGTGAGAGTGGACGGGCAGCTGGTGCAGATAAAGTGTTGCGGGGACGGGAAAGTTGTCGGTGTCTGGAAGATTATGAGATTGGATATTGCGGGGTAGAATTGGGTCCTTTGTACGAACAGAGTACCTACCTACCTTATTCAGTGCGGTACAGAAGTCACGGTGCTGGTACTCCCTCACAGACACCTTCCCAATATAGCGGGATACCGGAACGAATGGGATGACAGTCGGGTCACACGGCCTCGGCGAGAGATCACAGACACAAACAGAGACACAAACACCAGGAGGAATACTCGCACACAATGCAGAAGAACTCGATTCATCTCAATATAGGGCCTGCAGAATCTCAAACGGTGGCTGACAGCGCCTTCGTCAAACTTGTGTCCCCCGAGCCGGCTGCCTCATACTGTACCTATTCTGTACTTTGTTTGCTTTTTCTTTCCTTTGGCGGCTTGCCAGACATTCCCGAATACGATTGCCGCCAAAGATGCCTCGTGACCTCGTCTGTTGTAAGCCGACTTTGGGCGACTAATCCCATATACCCCTTATCCTTGTGCGAATCTATGCATCTCCGTATAAGCAGTTTTTTTGGAGTTGCCTCTACCTAGGAGAGACCATGAATGAGTGAATGGGTGAATGGGTAGCAGGAACAGGGGTTCTTGGGAGTAATCCCGTCGTCAAGTGCCTGTACACGGTACCTGTACCGGTTCAGGTTCCGGTAACCGCTGGTACCTCGGCATCTCCAGCTCCACAAAACCCCCCTAGGGACCCCAGACTTTCGTCGCAAGTCTAATGCCGCCTTCTTACCTCGTCAACTTGAAAGCCGACGGGATGAAGCTGTGAGACGGCATTTTGAGACGGCATTTTGCGACCTAGCCTCACTACTTTTTTCGTTTCTCACATATATTTTATCCCTCACTCAACAAAACACACAAAAACTGACTGCCATCTGCACCCGCATGTACTGGCCATCATAGCCGCCGTCTTTCCTTTTAGTGAAACTCAATTGACGCAGTAGAGCATCACCACTGTTGAATCCGCCTCATCCACAATGTCATCCGTCTTCCACATCAAGGAGCACGTCCTCAACGCCGCACACGTTCGCGAGACTCCCCGCTCCCTCTCCCGCTCCCAAGACGACGTCCTCAAGCTGGCCGTCAAGGAGTACATCCCAAAGGACAACCCGAACCCCCAGCCCGGCGACGTCACAATCATCGGCGCCCACGCCAACGGCTTCCCCAAGGTTAGTCTAGAGACCACAACACCTCCCACCATGCACTCAACTCACTTCATCTCACATCTCTCATAACCATTTTCCCCACCGGAAAACCTTTGATATCTCACAAACACTCTACTTTGACGTCTCGCTCACTACTAACTGAAAACTCAGGAACTCTACGAAGCCCTATGGGAAGACCTCCACGCCGAGTCCCTCAAACCAACCTCGACATTCCGCATCCGCTCCGTCATCATCGCAGACGCAGCCTGGCAGGGCGCCTCCTCGACCCTGAATGAGCCCCTCCTCGGTAACGACCCGGGCTGGTTCGACCACCCGCGCGACCTCCTCTACGCCATAAACACCCTCCGCCCGCCCCGGCCCCTCATCGGCGTCGGCCACTCCTTTGGCGGCAACTCCATCGTCAACGTCGCCCTCGCCCACCCGCGCCTCTTCTCCGGCATCGTCCTCCTCGACCCCGTCATCTCAAAGTGGTCCTCCAACGCAAAGGGCTCCATCGCCGATTCCCCCGCCGCCGCCAGCGCCCGCCGCAGGGACCTCTGGCCCTCCCGCGAAGAGGCCCGGAAATCCTTTCTCAAGAGCCCGTTTTACCGCGCCTGGGATAAGCGCGTATTCGACGCCTGGGTCGAGCACGGCCTCCGCAATCTGCCCACGCAGCTCTACCCCTCCACCTCCTCCACTGACAGCAGCGGGACGCCCATCACAAAGGACAGCGTAACCCTGACAACCTCCAAGCACCAGGAAGTCTTCACCTACTTCCGCCCAAGCTGGCACGCCTACGACGCAAGGGGCCAATACCTCGTCCGCCCAGACCTCGTCCCGGACCTCGACCCGGCTCTCAACGAAATCTACTACACCTACCCCGTCTACCGCTCCGAGGGCGCGAGCACCTTGGTGCGCCTGCCGCACCTCCGCCCAGGTTGTCTCTACGTGTTTGGCGGCGACAGCGACCTGACCACCCCGGAGCTCATTGAAGAAAAGCTGCGGTTGACCGGCACCGGCGTCGGCGGCAGCGGCGGCGCGCCAAAGGGAAAAGTCAAACAGATTACGCTCGAGGGGGGCGGGCACTTGTTCCCCATGGAGGTGCCCGGTAAGAGCGCAAAGTTGACGGCCGAGTGGATCGAAAAGTCGCTGGGCGAGTGGCGGGCGGCGCAGGACGAGTATGAAAGGTGGACGAGGTTGAGCGTCGAGGAGAAGACGACGCTGACGGACGAGTGGCTTAAGAGGATTGGGGCGTTGGCGCGGCCGCCCAAGGCCAAGATGTAGATTGGCTGTGTGTGTGTGTGTGTGTGTGTGTTCCTTTTTGTTCTTCACGAGCGACAAGTCTTTAGACAAGCAAGAGGAGCATAGCAAGCATGGCAGTTTCTGGCATCCCTTTTTCTCTCGGGGGGGAAGGGGGTTGGGATGGTGGACGCTGGTTATTACAGAGACCTTAGATGTTGAGTTTACGTACGCAAGAAAGCCAGCATTTTGATCCAGCCCCATCCCTACTCATCATCCTCGCCTTCCTCTGGCGGTATCCAAACCAGCAAGCCGTCCTTATCGATCTTCATGCCCTCTGTCGGTATGATCCTCAGCACTTTTTGGAAATACTTATCCCTGACCACTAGGGTCGGCCGGATGTAATCGCCCCTTATCAGAGGTAGCAGCCGGTACGTAATGGAACGCCTCGAGACCGGCAAAACATGCGCAGTGGTCTGCTTGGAGCCGGAAAAGGCAAACTCGTCACTGGGCTCCATGTTCAAGCCAAACGTCAGGAAATGACTCGAGGGGTTCTCAATGGTGATGTCCAGGTTGATCAGACCCGTTACAGGATTGGCGAGAGAGTACGAAGCTAGGACACGGGGCTCGGTGCCCAGGACAATGTATCTCGGGACAAGCATCCTGGTCGTATTGACCGCCGCTGGTGATGATGATAATGTTGTTGTTATTGATGTCCGGCGCCACTTGAGAACAAAGGCCACGTCGAGTGATGCAGGCCCCCGATCGTCGAGGCTGAACTTTTGAGCAACCAGGTCGAACTTGGCCTCCTGCATCTGCTTCGGCGGGATTCGGAGCCCGCTTTCTGGTATCTCTGGGCGGGTCGCCGTAGTGCATCGTGCATGGTTCTGGCACGCAATGACCTCGGCGTCCATGCTGACAATCTCCAGGTCTTCCGTGGCGAATGATGCAAAATGGCACACGAGACACCACTTTTGTGCCAGCCCGCGGGGTTGAACAGCGGCTTCGTCTGCGGCGGGATCCTGCACGCCCTCGTAGTCAAATAAGCTCGGCCAGGGGTCGGAATGAAGACGTGGAATGAGGTCGTAGTTTGCTTCAAAGGGGTTGACGACATTGAGCTGAACGGGTAGAATCTGCATGATCAAGGTCGCCGGGTCTGTGGCGAGATGATAGAATACCCTCAGTGTGACATCGTACGATGTGGTCAACTGTACGGGATCTAGTTTGACCTTGACACGCGTCGACTGCGACGTTGCTAGTGTCCCGAGTGTTAGACCCGTTAGTTTGGCTTCCTCCTGGCCAGATTCCGCGATATGTTCTCCTTCATTCTCAATCTCAACTCGGAAGCACGGGATCTGTTCGCCAAAGACGTGGACTTCCAGCTTGGCGACAGCCTCAGTCTCCTCGGCGTTCACGACATCGACAACCAGATCCATTGCCTCGTTTGCGTAGAATTGATCCAGGGGTTGCGCCAGCTTAATCTCCAGCTTTGGTGGTCTGGCCTGTACTTGGATAACGTGGGCGCTCTGCCGCACGATTCGTCTCCTCGAAAGGGATGGCCCAAACCAAAAGTCCGTCGCTCCCAGATCTCGGAAGGCGACGGTATAATTCAGCAGAAAAGTGTCTGTCTCCAGGATTAAGGTCGCCGAGGATGCATGCGCCTCGCCGGGTTCCCGCAAAGGTATCGCCATTTCGTAAACGTTCGTGTGGCCAGGCTTCAACGTCAGGTTTGCCGATCCGCTCAGCCCTGATGAGCCCTCTTCTCCCTCTTCGTCGGCTCGGGCCGCCTCGGTCAGAGGTACACCCGCGAGCATGACATCTCCCTTCCCCTTTCCACCACTAAACTCTGGGTCATGCTCTATTGTAATCGTCTTCAGGCTGCCTTCGAAATCGATTTTCAGGCCCTTGAGAGTCACCGTCGATGCATCCGCAAAGGCATCGGATCTGATGGCAACTTGCGCCTGACAGGTCTCACCAGCTTTTCCGTCCTCTCTTTTGAAAATGAAGGATGCGGCGATGAACGAAGAAACTACATCGTCGTTGATGGTCACAGTGGGTTTGGGCTCAATGTTGAGTCCCTCGAGTGACCTAGCAACATCGTAGTGCCACTTGGGCCGCCGCGTGAACTCTGTGTTCCAAGTCAGTGTCCGTTAAGGTGAATGAGAGAAGTAGGGAGCCTACTTCTATTCATAAGCTCCCAATCGATGGCGACTACAAGCTCCCCGTGACCCGCATGAGCGGCTGCAGCACGCAAGACCCAGCTCAGATCCTCCGTGATGTTGAGCCAACCCTCTGACCTGAACGACATGTCTTCCCAGAGAGGCCGCAGCAAAGCAACAATGTCGTCCCAGGCCTTGAGGTTCACCATTTCTTTCGCGCATTCCAAAGATATTTCGGCCGATAATCGTAGTTGACGCCGTGCCTGGAACTGGGACCTAGCTGCCATCAGAATGTCTACAATGAGCTGAGAATGGTTTACGCCCTTCCCCTGCAAGGGGAACTCCTCGTGAGGATCTGGACACATGTAAGTATCATATTGGAAGGCCTTGCTGGCGACCGCGGATGCCGGAGTGGTATCCGGTGAACGTCGGTCTTCTTCCGGAATTGACCGGGCGAGTGCTCGCCGGGTCATCAGATGCTCAGCAGCAATACGATACCAATATCCTGTGTGATGAAGCAGTTCCCACGGTTGTAAGCGGTCACTCGCAGCGGCCTTTTCGGGCTGGAGAAATAACGTTCGCGTTGCTGGCGCCAAGCTGCGAATGTCCACCCTCTCGATCAAGTTCGCCATTACTAATGCCCATCTCGATTCCCATGCAGCCCAGCCGTAATTATTCGTTCCCCGGCCACGTCGATCGACAAAGTCGGCTATCCTGTCCCGGTGCGTGTACCATTTACGCACTGCAACAGTGTTCTGCGAGCTCCAAAGCAGGCATCGGATGCTGCGTATCGCCAATATATCGGCAAGCATGCGCGCCTCGTTCCATCTCGGGCTCCAGCTGGGAATGATGTCCATGACATCTTGACTGAGAAGCCCCTCATAAGCTTGCTCATACGAGCGCAGCGCCGCATCCATCTCCTGTCGGAACTCGGCAAAAACTCCCGTCTTGTAGTCGTATCGTACATTCCAGTCTTGCACTGAGGTCGTTTGCGACGTACTTGTGGGCGGCACTGTGGGCTGCGGAGCGATTCCTCGACTGCGCTTCTTCCGAGCATGACGGCCAAGATCGCGATAGTACTCTATAGCTTGCAAGAAGACGGCCGCAAGCATGGAGTCTGCAGTATGCTCCAGATCTGTAGACAGATCGTGGAGTGACAAGTAGAAGAAGGATTTGGTGTCCAAAGCAACGCCTCGCCTGATGTTTTCAAGCCTCTCCTGCATGAAATCTTGCATGGAAGCTGAGGCAACGCCATCGCTCAGGAGAACAACAGCAAAGCGTGTCCTGTAGCCCGACCTACTGATCGCGGTCTTGGTGTTGTTGATATCGGTTTTCAGTTGGTTGTCGTGGAGGGTAGCAAGTGTTGGATCAGCCGTCAAGGTGTAGAATGATACATAGACACTGGGAACCATATCCTCATGCTTTTGGAGCCAGTCTGTGTTCATCAGGCCGTCGGGATACAACGGAGATACTGGACTGAGGGGTGAAAAGGGTGAATGCAGCACGGCGGGCGTTTCGGGAGCTTCCATGCCGTCCGGAAGTCTAGCACGGCGGGGAGGTAGAACAAGAGACTATCCAGATGTTAGCCTTGACTGGACACAAGCAGGTGGTCTGCGCCGTACTCGACCAGCAACGGCGACCCGCAGCCTGTACGGCTTCCCGCTGTCCTTGCCGTTCCATGGGTGGTTCCTCCCATCCTGGCGAACGATGTAGTCCCTCAAGGCCTCGGCATATGGGCTTTCTATGCTTGGAATCTCGGATCGGATCAAAAGCGCCTGGTCTCGAAGCTCTGCGTTCAAAGGCAGGGCTTTAGCGGGGTTCGAAGTCAGACCGGCAATGACGATATGCGGGATGTTATGACCCAGGCTTCCAACCGGGTATCCGTCCATTGTTGTCAAGCTCGGGCATGCAGCGCAAGACGATCATGAAGATATCGATTCGGTTGGCAGAGATCGACCGGATCGCAAAGCTGCTTTAGACTGCGAGTCAGAAACGTGTGTACTCGTGGTGGGTTGGCGAGCACTCACGGACGCAATACTCAAGGGAGCATGACCGCCCGAACTATGGGATCAGGCTTTGGCAGTAGGCAAATGCGCAGCGATGAAGACTTGCGAGTTGTCGCGAAGGGGAAGCTTCATACAAGTTCAAAGGCGCGCAAGCATGGGTGTCCTGCGTCCTCCGTGGGAAGCAAGCAAAGAAAGGTACATGTCGAAAGTATCACAACCCAACCTACCCAGGTAGGTACCTTGGCTCTTGTCCCGCATCCCAGCCCACTAATACCATCCCGCTGCAGTGACCACAAAGCAGGTGGGTGCACCCTGGAGTCCTGAACAGCGCTGGAGAGACGGAGAGACCTGGGCACCGAAAGAACATCTCGGCTTCGGGTAAAGTGGACGCCGGTGTCGTGGATCATGATTGGCTGGACGCCCAAATGCGGTCATGATCGACCCACTCTCAAAGAGCGGAACCTGGAAGGAAGCGCATTCGCTCCAGGTCGCTCATCTGTGAGCGCAGTCGGGTGCCCTCCACTGAACCGGAGGAACGCACCTAGGGCCAGGAAATCCAGCCTCGCCCGCCCGCGTGGTTCTCCTCCCGCCTCGTCACAGAGGCTGCGCGCAGAAATTGAGGGCTACCCTTCCTACCTTCACCTCTCCCACACCACACCTTTCTTCAGACCGAACTCGTAAATGACTCCTTGTCACCACCGTCCCAACACAAATCGAACCTCAATCCCAGTCATTTGAGACTGTTCGTCTCTTTACTCGAAAAAGCTCCAACCGACCTCCCCTAGTCCTCCTTCTCTCTGTCGAACCCACCTCCGTGATCGCTTGGGCAAGTCGCCAGGGGGCAAGAGTCAGAACGGCGCAATGGCAACACAGCAGATCCTTTTCGCCGAGACGGTGGCCGCTATGAAGAAGGCACTCAAGCGAAAAGCATACGGTACGCGCACGAATCTCCTTCCGTCTTGAGCCTCGTCGTCGTTGCGTTCTAACAAGCACCTGGCAGAATCCGACTCGGACGACGAGATTGACTACTACGGCAATCGTGGCCACAAGCTTCAGAAGCGCGCTCTCTTTTCCCACAAAGGTCAACTCGCACCACCTTCCGGTCCCGAGGTCTACAATGAAGTACGTCGCGCGTCCCTCCCGCATGTCGGCCCACGACGTCTGACCGACACTGACGATTGCAGGTAATCGACTACGCCGGCCAGCAGCGCACAATAATAAGCCGCAATCCTCCTATCGTAGACGAGGAAGGCTACGAAATTGACAGCGACGATGACGAAGAGCGCATTCAGGAGGCTGTCTCCTCGGCCACAGAGCTCGACCCTTACGCCAATGTTCGAATAGAACGTCAGTTCTCTCCAATCGCCGCCGCAGGGCTATGGCTGACCCCCTTCCAGAGATCCTAGCTCCCCTAACTGCCTCAACCGATTTACCAACACACCCGACTCTATCTAAACCATTTACGGCCAAGACCCTAGACGAGATCGCCGAGCAGAGCTGCGATGTCAGACGCAAAGAAAATGCATCACTATGGAGGGTCAGACATCTCTTCACAAAGACTTGCGGCGACTACACATGGGTGCCCTGTGGCACCATGGTTGGTCCCGACGACGCCGACTTGTACTCGACAGACTACGTCGAACGCGGCTACCTACACAACACGAAAGCCACTACTGCCGGATCAATCGAGGACGCCTCCTCAGGCACATTGAGTGGCGATACGAGACCAGAACACGCGCCGAACGGCACGAATGGCGAGGCGTCTGGAGATAAGGAGAACGGAGATGGGGACATAACCATGAATGACGCCGGCTCAGACAAGGGGGAGGCTGCGAAATCAGCGCCTGAAAAGTCGGACAAGGAGCCCTCACAGCTTGGATTAGAGGCATCCCAGGCGACGAATGGCGAAAGCTCGAAGCCCAACGCACTCGTGTTGGCGACACACGGCGAAAGCAAGGTCGATAAGAAGCAAAAACAAAAGGCAGTCGATGTCGACAGGCACGATGGCAGCGCAATACCTCCCTCGCAGCCTGGTACCGACCTTGCTGGTCGTAACGGCACGCATGCGCCGTCAATGACGTCGGAAACGGCGGACGAAACCTTTGTCCACCCATTCTTCCGGCCGCCAGCCAACGCTCGTCCAGACCGAGATGTGGGTCTTCCGGAGGCAGAGGCCGAGGATATCCGGCGCCTTCTGGCTCTGTACGTGCAGAAGCAAGAGGAGGTCTGTCGTGGCGCTATGAAGCTCCACGAAGGACTCCTCAAGGCCAATCGGCTACGCAACACGGTTCTCGAATGGTCCAAGTCGGAAGCGCACAGCGGCACCAACCGGGATATGTCTGACGGCGAGGACTGGTACGACAAGGAGAAATGGGGCCTCTCGGACGATCTTAAGAAGGGCCAGGACGACGAGGAAGAAGACACGAGTACCGTAGCCAAGAAGACTAGGAATCGCAGGTGATGGGGTGCCCGGGCGTTGTTGGCTTACTTTGAGGGAATATCTCCGGGTCATGGTGTTTTGAGGTTGACGTTGCAATTGATACCCCCCACAATGCGATTTGGTCCAGGCGGCGCGCGCTGCTTTCTAGTTAATTATAACAGCCGGATTTCCTCGATGGCTCAAGACAAGTTGCCATCTTGTATCTCAGTTAATAGCCTTTCCTTGCTTTGCATCGTCTCTGAAGGACCGAGTTGAGCTGGGTGATCGGCTAGCGGCGGAGATGGAGGGTTGCTTTACCCCAGCCCCGAGGGCCGCCGAATTTCGAAATCCCGTGAAGAAATGAGACCTAAGGCAAGGACTAAGAGTAGGTAAGGTAAGAGCAAACAGCGAAAAGCCCCAAATCCAGGCAGACACGCAGGTAAGGTAGGTTCTTAGCTTACCTACCTTAGGTAAGGTAAGTACGTTAACCACACCCATGGTCCCCAAGCGGTGCGTTACAGCGTTATGACGAGACGCTATGGCCAGGTGTCCCCGCTAACATAAATACCTGGCGGAGTAAGCTTCTGTCACAAGCCTGGGAGACTTCCCAACCCATCCTTCTTCCTAAGCTACCTCTGTCCTCAACGTTTTCTTCCATTCGAGAGAGGCAAAAACTCTCCATTGCATTGCCTCGAAAATTTGCCGAAATTTGCACCAGCATTCCTCCTCGTTGGCATCGCAATTGGCCATGGCTCCCGTCCAAATTGACAACACGACCCTGGTCGACTTCAACCAGAAGAGCTTACTCAGTACGCCATGTCGTCCTCGTGGAGCTTGGACCCTTCCTTGAGCTTCACATCTCGTCACGACGCCCCTCGCTGACCCAGCTTGTTGCAAACAGTCTCTGCCGCCGCAATTGCCTTCAACCCGTTGTTCTGGAAGTAAGCCACTCTTTGAAAAACGTGTCCCTGGTCAAGTGGTGTGCTAACATCTGCGTAGCATCATCGCGAGACAAGGTTCGTGAGGCCGCCGTGGTGGTGCCCAAGTAGATACTGTCTAACCTGGTTTCCAGAGTACAAGAACAAGGTCCTCACCAAGCTCTTTGGCGGACGCTCGCAAGCTGCATGCTACGGCCTGGCGGCTACCATCTTTTCTCTCGGCATTTTCCGTGATCTCCTCTACGAACGGGCCCTGCGCTTCCAGCCTGCCCACCCACTTCTCGCGTCCGATGCGGTGACCTATGTCGGATACGCCCTCGTGGCCTGTGGCAACGTTCTCGTCCTCTCTTCGACATGGCAGCTGGGTATTACCGGCACATTCCTCGGTGACTATTTCGGCATCTTGATGGACAGCATCGTGACTGGCTTCCCCTTCAGCATTACCGACGCCCCGATGTACAATGGCTCCACAATGAGCTTCCTCGGTGCCGCCCTCATCTACGGCAAGCCCGCCGGCATTCTGCTGACTATCTGGGTCTTCATCGTCTACCAAATTGCCCTGAGCTATGAGAATCCCTTTACTGCCGGCATCTATGCCAAGAGAGACCGCGAACGTGCCGCCGGCAAGGACACCAAGAAGATCAGGTGAATGTGAAAAGAGGCCCAGCTTCAACAGCACAAACCCATCTCCACATCCCGTTCCGGATCAGGGCCGAGCGCAAGACCGGGCGACAGGGGGTGTACGGAGCCACGCAGGTCCTGCCGGGGTAATGCGTCGAAATGGGTCCCGGTGAGCCCGGTCAGTCCGGTGAGCTGGCCGTCCCACAACTTCCTGAAGGCGGCTGGCCGAGTCAAGCCCCAAACGGCCCGCCAAGGAAGATGAAGAAAAAAATGATATCAGCCTTCAACAGAGTTCGGCTGCCGAATACCTAGCTACTCTAGTGATTCAGACCAAAGAAACTTCGCTTCTAGTCAGGCCAACCAGCAGATGCAATTTACATGACATGGTTGGGCGCCTCCGTTACGCCACAGCTTTAACCTACGCTTTTATCTGCTCCCACATACATGAAATGGCAAGCCATACCGTAATCGTTGATTTTGCCATGCTGATTAACATTAGTATGTGCGCTTTCCAGCGGCTATGCCAAAGGCGGACGGCAGGTCTCAGGAAATCTGGTCCAGAAGCATTTTTCCAAGACTCGACCAACTGCTAGTGGCGGGCGATTCATAGACCGTCTTTCTTTGCCGTCCCGCCCCGTCCACACTAACCAAGAAGACCCTCGCCCATCTGGCTTGTTTCGAGGGACCACTGTTGATTCCATTCCGTCTTTCAAGGCGTCCCAATGGCTCGGTCGGATGGTTCCACGGCTTGCTCATGACGATTTGGTGTCTCATACGGAGGCGCCGTATGCCTCGCAGAGACTGCATTCGGAATTTTCTACCGTTGAGTGGGATATGGTGTTGCTTCCGGCTCTGCTTTCAGCATTTGATAGTTGAGGTGACAAAACCATGGTGTTTCCCGTTTTCTCTTCAAACCGAGAGTGGCTTTTGTCCCATTTTCTCTCTTTGACACTCTTTCGCAAAGGGTTCAACGCTGTCGCTCATAAGCGCCCCCATGGTAAGTTTGGTGCAGATATATGTTGTGCTTATCGATTCTAATTGTCCTGTGGAATGTAGCCTCGAGGACCTGAGCGAAATCTGTCGTTGCTACCTGGGATACCATGAAGCCTACATGGCTCGATGAGCCTGTTGCTCAGCAAGGGGGCAGTTCCCGCAGATCCAGCGCCAGTCCTTTCACCGCCGACTACACGATCAGCCAGACCCTGCACGGCCAGTCACATTCGGAGTCTGGCCGCCTGAGCGTAGATGTGCCGCCGGATTTCATCAATCTCAATGCTATCGTGTCCTCGCAGGGCACATCGGCCAGCACGGAAGACTTTGCTCCGACACCCAAGAAGCAGATGCGTATAGATAATGAGGGGCCTTTTTCGCTCTTGTCGGGTCCGACACTTCCCTTGCCGAATCAGACTGTGCACAAGAGAGAAACAAGATGGATCAGCCGGCGATGGAGCGACATTATCACGTTTGGCAAGTTCGTAGGACCGGGATTCATGATTGCCGTTGCGTACAGTAGGTTTTTGAAAGAACCAAGTGTCGAGAGTGTATGCGAGACTGACGATTTCACGCAGTTGATCCCGGGAACTACGCCACTGATATCGCCGCCGGCGCTTCCTATCACTTTGACCTGCTATTCATCGTTCTATTGAGCAACATTGTTGCGATATTTCTTCAGGGTCTGGCGATCAAACTTGGGACAATTACAGGCCTTGACTTGGCGACCGCCTGCCGCGTCTTCCTCCCGAAATGGATGAATATCATCGCCTACGCACTCGCCGAGATCGCCATCATCGCGACTGATATGGCCGTGGTCATCGGCACCGCCATAGCTCTGCACCTCCTGATACCAAAGTTGCCTTTGATCGCTTGCGTCATCCTTACCATTGTGGATGTCGTCTTCATTGTCGTCTTTTACCGCCCCGACGGCTCTATGCGCGGTCTGCGATTGTTCGAAATTGGCGTCTGTTTCCTTGTCCTGGGAGTCGTTGTCTGCTTCTGCATCCAACTTTCGTTGATTGAGAACACGACTGTCGGTCAAGTATTCCGCGGATACCTTCCATCCAACTCCATCATCCAGACTCAGGGGTATGTGGAGAAGCCTCCTATGGTTCAATGACGTTGCTAACAAAGATGACAACAGACTGTACCAATCTTGTGGTATCCTAGGCGCAACAGTCATGCCTCACAGCCTCCACCTCGGCTCAGGCGTCGTTCAGTCCAGGCTCAAAGACTTTGACATGAAGGAGGGCAACCTCCAGGATCTGCCCCGTTTCGACACCATGACTACCGTCGACAGCGACCCCAAGGTATTCTATTTCCCCTCCATGGCCGCCATCAAGCACTGTATGAAGTTTTCCATCGCCGAGATCGTCATCACCCTCTTCGTCTTCGCCCTCTTTGTAAACTCGGCTATCCTCATCGTGGCAGGCTCCGCGCTCTACCAGGGCCAGACCTCTCTCGCCTCCGACATCTTTGGCATGCACGACCTGCTCGCCAACAGCATATCCTCCGCCGCAGGCATCATCTTCGCCTTTGCTCTGCTCCTCTCGGGCGTCTCCGCGGGCTTGGTATGCACTATCGCGGGCCAGCTCGCCAGCGAGGGTGCGCTTAACTGGCGTATGCGTCCGTGGCACCGGCGTCTCGCGACGCGGCTCATCAGCGTCATTCCGACCGTTGTCGTTGTTGCGGTCGCGGGGCAGTCCGGGCTCAGCAACGCGCTGACGGGTACGCAGGTGGTGCTGAGCACGGTGTTGCCCGTCATCACGGCGCCGCTCATTTACTTTACGTCGCTGAACAAGTACATGACTGTCGTACCGGGAGCGGCGAGCTACGGGTCTGACACGGGGGTCGTGCCCGCGCGCCGATTTAGTGCCGTGGGCGTCAAGATGGCGAATTCGTGGTGGATTACGGTGATTGCTGTGCTGCTTTGGTTGATGATTACGGTCATGAATGTGGCAAATTTGGTTTTGTTGGTGTTGAACGCCATCAATTGAGATTTCTGACGTTGAAGAAGGGTGGTGATGGGAGGGTACAACCACGTTTCAAACGTTTATGATTGACGACTTGATGAATTATTTGCTCATACATTCAGTAACATGATGTATGCATTGTACGAGATTGTTGAAGTGGTGATAGATTTAAATAGGGGCTATGTATGTAAGGCTGGCTGGTGTCTGGGATTATGAAGCTGCTTCAAGTCCCCTTTTCTTCGATTATGTTTCATTCAAAGCTTCAATGTGATACAATAATCCTCTTCATGGCTTGTTGCCTTAAACAAAGAGTTATCGCCAATTCGGCTATATTTTGAGTTACTGCGCCGCTGTAAGAACACCCAGCACGCGCAATACTTAATGAACGCTGGCGAGGAATAGAAAAGAAGAAATGAACGATTCGTAATCGACAAGCTCTTTAGGATAAAACGAGCTTCGATCCGTTTATAGTCTGCTTCTGTTGAACTCGAACGCGTCGAGAAAACATGAAAAGGATATTTGACACACCATACCGGCAGGCGGGTGTGTCAAAAATGATTTTGTCGCTGCCCCTTCGAGGATGGCATCAATGTCAAATCACCTCGTTCACAAGATCATACTCGGCGAATTTCCCGTAAGTTTTCCTTCCAATGCCATGGAAACTTAGATAGCGGGGGCGGACTTCCTCACTTTGGAGTATCAGGTGCTTCAGCTCAAGCCTTTCGACACGAGCAAAGTTTAATTTGTGATTGACTGAGATTACCAGATGAATGCATATAGTATGGGACATTAACCTGACGGGAAAAAAGATGGCGGACAACTTGGCTTCTTTTCACGAAGACCGACCCTTGAGCTCCTATGTTCTCCTCATTCTCCTACATTCATGGTCAAGCCAGTGAGAACAGGTCACAGTGATGGAGTGGATGGTGGTGTCTTGCTTTTTGGCTTCTGAGCCAAGGTGTAGAATTAATGCAGTTTTCAAACAGCTGAATCAATGTATAAGTACATGGTACGGAGTATCGACCTGAAAACCTATTTATTGTGTGACATTCTGCCTCACCACACTGGCTGTTTGACCGGAGCTGTAGTCAGTGCCAGTAGTCCTTGGCTGGAAAGAGTGACCAAGTCGTTGGTGGGCGGAAGCGGCCCAAACATTGATTGGGCGGTGGAAAGCATCTAGCAAGGCTTGGCCTGCCACCTCTCGAATGTTTCTTATTAATCTCTTCCACCAATCCAGAATTTTCTTCCCTCTGAGATTGTCTTCTCAACATACGCTTGATCTCCCGCAATGTCGCCATCTCTATTTGTCCTTTCAAGATTTCAATGTCTTCCTCGCATTATCGCAAGCGTCTTACGAGATAGATGCGATGTTGCATGCCCATGTGGCACTTTCAAAGTACCCTCTTCTTCTTATCCTTTCTTTGGCAGACTGAGATGAGGCGCAAACGCACTGGAGAAAGGGTGGCTTAATCCACTCCCCCCCTCGAAACAAAACATAGGTGGCTATCCGAGCTTCTCCGTCATCGCATCACCTGCATTCCTAGTCGCTAAACGGCTTGGTTCGGCTCAATGGTCTAGAGGTATGATTCTCGCTTTGGGTTCTTGGTTCCCCAAGTACACTCCTGCGAGAGGCCCCGGGTTCGATCCCCGGTTGAGCCCCATTCTTTTGCTTTTTGCGACTGTGGTCCATTTATCTATTTATCTGCCTTATCTGTACGTAGTTTTTTGCATTCTGAGGTCGGTTGCGATTCTGGTTCTAGTTGAAGCTGACGTCGTGGTGCATCGCGAGTTGTGTGTGTGCACTGTATATATGTATATATACATTGTATTCTTTGGTGAACACATGGGGTAGAAGTGAGTGAGTGCGCCCACGAGGTCACACCTGAAAGATTTCTACCATGTAAACTTGCATCTCGTCTGTGGCAATATTGACCCTGCAATGTGAGGATCAACAGGCGAGTCGAGATGAGCAGCGTTGCAGCGGACGAGGGAGGGCTTAGAGGCCCCATCCGAGCCAATTTCGAGCAATCTCGAGCTTACCCACCGGGTGATTGATTGATCCAACGTATGTTCTTCGCTCTTCAGTGGCCAGTGCCCGCTGACTATCGCTATGCTTTGGGGGGAAAGCAAACCCGATACCAGACGGCAGAACGGTGATCCAGACCAGGTAGCGCCTAGCGCCCCGGGCTGCCTCGATTTGCGTTGGACCCTTGTCCTGACTGAATCCGTTGAAATGACGGCATTCCGTCAGATTCTGTTTCTCTTCAACCACACGCACGCGGGCACACTAAGGCATCTCGTACACACATCTTGGGAACCCCCAGCATGCGAATGCGCCTGGATGACACCCTCCAAGGCAATCTGCCCGATTGAACGAATGCGATGACACGATGGGACGTGAATGGCTTAGGCAGCAGATATGGCAGAAGACGAGAGAACCTTGGCTTGCAGCTGCAAGTGAGCCAGCAGCCAGCGGCCGACCAGATGTGGGAGGTAAAAGCAGGGTTTCAGCATCCCGTCGACTACCCATCCTGTTCATCAAACTTTGGGCGGAATTGATACGAACTGGCGTACGAATCTCCGATGACGGATGAACTCTGAACTTTGACATTTAGCTGTGGGGGTAGTGATATATACCTATCTTTGGACGATGGAGAAGCGGCCTCGATAGATGGACAAGCTAGACTGACTCTCTGTACTCTGGACCATGAGATGTGTCCACAGAGTCTAAGTCCTGAGACTACAGGATAGCATCCGTAGTCTCTCCCATGTGTCAAGCTCAGGTGTCGGGTGGATAAGGTGCTCTCCAGAAGGGACTGGAGGAGTTATCGTGTGCTAAGCTCAGATACGTACCGCCGCTACTGGGCCCATGCATATCTTAGTGGGAAAACGTGCAGCTGCCATCCCTGCCAGAGACACCACACCAGACTTCAGACAATCTGGAACCTTACAGACAACTCCCCTGAGCAGAGTGTCCAAAGGGACGTTTGTGGTTCTTTGTTCCTACCACTTCAACAACATGGTGAGGGACAAGGCGGACAGCACAAGCGGGAAGCGGGAACGTCAAAGACTGGCGTTTGTCGTAACAAGAAGGACATAGTAATGGCGATAAATAAAAGAGGATCATCGACTAGTAATCCATACAGATACAGGCCATGTATCTGTTCCCCTCCCACCCCATTGATTGTCACTGCCTCAAGGCCAGGGAAGTCATGCAGCCCATTGGTTCCCACCTTGACCATGTTTGCCTTTAGCTGGAAGGTCCCGGCATGGCATCCTGGGAACCCAGCAGTCCCTTCCCCTTCGTTGCCCACCTCACCGCCCGCTCCATCATGCCTCCAGCACGGGGGATTAAGGTACCTACCTACCTACTCTACTCCATACCTACCTTACTCTGTAGTCTGTACAGGGTACTAGGTACGGACAGAGCTCCTTTTGCCAAGCCCAACGCGTGACTGCCTGCCATGCTATGCTGTGCTATGCTGTGCTGAGACGAGTCGAGACCATTCAGTGAGGCCTGGGGTGGGCGTCTATTTCTATCTCGAGACCCCGGCCTTTTCCCACCTCATCGTGGATGGTCTTTTTTTGACTTTCTTGCTTCTCACATAGACTGCCCTGCTACCCCCTTCGTCCCAACTACATCTTTCCAGCATTCATCGCCGCTGACTAGCTCATCGCCGCAATCGCCTACCCTCGCATACAACGGATACGATAGCTATCAGCTCTTACACGCCCTCCTTCGAAATCAGTCATCATGCCTGGAGTTCGTGAGTCTGCCCTTGCCCTCTTCTCCAATCCTCCCTGGTATCTTCTGCGAAAGCTGCGAAGAAGCTACCAAAGATTCCTCCACACGCATCATGTTGCCCGAGGCAGCGACGCGACGAAACCAAGAGTGCCAAGAAAATCACTAACACGCCATCTTCCCAACCAGCCATCGACGCCCTGGACAACCTCAAGTCCAAGTTCAAGGCCATCTTCAAGAAGAAGGACGAGAAGAAGGCCGAGGCCAAGCCTGCTGCCACTCCCGCCGCGACAACCACCACGCCCGCGGCCACTGAACCTACCAAGACCGAAGCTGCCCCTGCTGCGGCCCCGGCGAGTACGTTTTGTCTTCTTCTTCTTTTCCTCTCAACAACCAAAACCCCTACCAGGTTCTCGCCTTGATATGCTGTTACTAACGACAAAAATAGCCGAGCCCGCTGCTCCTGCTCCCGCTCCCGCTGCTGAGCCGGCCAAGGCCCCCCAGGCCGAGGTCGAGGCCAAGAAGGACGATGCTCCTGCTACTACCGAGCCCGCCAAGGCTGCAGAGGCTGGTAGGTCCCCAGTATGGCAAAATAAAGGATGGAGGCATCAATGACTGACACGCCCTCGAACAGCTCCCGCAGCGCCCGCAACTCCTGCCGTAGCCGCCGAGGCCCCCAAAGCCCCTGAGCCCGCCACCGAGCCCGCGAAGACGGAGGAGACTCCCGCAGCTACCACCCCGGCCGCGGCCCCGGCTGCGGAGACCGCGCCCGCGCCCGCGCCCGCTCCCGCTGCCGCTGCCGCTACCCCCACCGAGGTTGCCAAGCCCGAGGAGAAGAAGGAGGAGGCCACTGCCACCGCCTAGATTGCGCCGTTGGATTTCGGCCCCGATGACTGGCTGTGGGTTCACAAGATTAACGGGCTCAAGGAAGATTGAACTTGACCATGGGCCACGAACTTGGTTGAAGGAGAGGAGAGCGATCCAAGCGATGTGACCCGTAGCGTTGCAGCAGCTCAAACCGCCGTCCACTACGACGAAACACTCAGTCACAGGAGGGGAAGAGCGGCACATGATTGGGGGTTTAGATGGTTTTCTTGCTTTAGACCATTGGTCTATTCATGTTTATTTGCTTACTTTTCGGATACCCATTACTCGAGTAGTTGAATCGAGCGTACCTTACTTATACTGATATGGTATCTTGCGTCTTTCCCTCCTCTCATCTACGGACCTTATGTATTGACGCCTCAGTTCTGCTCCTACACTGCACATAACCGTAGCAACTTCAGCGGTTTATCTAAGGGCAGGTAAAAGTAGGCGAATCCGTTGGTCTCATACAGCCACTTACCGGCTCGCTTCGTGGCCCTCGTTTCCTTTTTTCGGTTCCTTTTTTGGCTCCTCCTACACCTATGCATCTGAACAGAATTGCGGCTCAGCTTGAGCCAGAGCCAGTCAGGGGGTATCCATCTCACATCACGCATGTAATCCTCTTCGGTCTTCTCACTTCGCCCACGGCGCCTTTGTCAACGTAATTTGCGCATCAGCCGTCCCCTGCCGAGCCTGCTGCGCGCCTGGAGGCATAGGCATCATACCCGTCGGAGGCGCCCGCGCCGAAGCTGCGGATGACGGCGGCGGCGCTTGCCGCGAGTAGGGGATACCGATAGCAGCACCGGGGGGAGGCATGCGACCCGGGGCAGCAGCAGCAGCAGAAGCAGCAGCAGCAGCGCCGCCGCCGCCGCCCGCTATTGCCCACGGTGCGGCTGTGCCTGCGCCACCCTGAGGCGGGGGAGGCGCCGTCGTCGTCGCTGGGTAGTTGTACGAGGGCTGGTTCGCGGCGTGAACGGACTGGGAGACGGGTTCGGCGTTTGGGTCCTGGTCCCAAGAGAAGAGGGAGCCAAATGTAAAGTGCTGGACGACGGGGAATTTTTGGAGGACTTCTGCGTTGAACATTTTGAGCATGCCCTGGAAGACATTTGCAAAGTCAGCCGCTTCTTTCTCGCCCGCCTTATTAAACACTTGCACCTCGTACAAAAGAGATTGGCGAAACTCACCTTGTTGATTTTCCCCCAGCCGTCCTTGACGCCAGAAACGTCAAAGAGGATGGGGCTGTGCTCCCAAAAGGGGCCCTTTTTGACGTCGTTTATGAAGCCGACGGCGGAGAAGTACATGTTCTCGCCGCGCTGGTCCTCCACGACGGCGGGCTTGACAATGTCTCCCGTCTTGGGCGCGCCGCGGACGGAGCCCTCTGTCGGCATCGGGTCGGCGTCCGATGACACGGGCGCCGTGAGCTGGGCGGAGCCAAAGATGTAGGGGAGAAAGGAGTGGTCGTCGAGGCCCCATACGCCGTGGGAGCCTGCGGGCTCGAGGGTGTATGTGAGAATCAGGCGGCGGACGACGCGGAGGTAGGGTTCGATGACGCCGAGGACGATGGTGCGGTCTAGGGCGGCTGTGTCAGTCGGCGCAGCGGGTTGGCCATTTTCTGCGGTGGTGGTGGTGGTGGTGGTGTCGTCGGCGAAGTAGGAGAGTTTGTAGAGCGAGCCGAGGAAGGCGAGGAAGGAGAGCTCGTGGCCCGTTCCGTAGTCTAGGCGCTGCGAGGAGCCAAAGGAGCCGAGGAGGTAGGCTAGGAGCTCGGAGGCGGGTGGCTCGGAGGACGGGGTTGTGGGAAAGGCGAGGACGGCGTCGGGGATGTGTTTGAAGAGCAGGGCGGGGGCACGTTCGGCGAGGAGCTCGTGCCACTTGCGGAAGGAGACGTTGCCGAAGCGGCGGGGGCCCGGGTCCGGGGGCGCGAGGTCGATGAGGGCTTCTGCGGCGGCGAGGAGGTTCTGGAGGCGGGCGATGGAGGGCGGGAGGCCGCGTTCGGGGGTGGAGGGGACGGAGGAGAGGGGGAAGGTCGTGGAGGGACCGGTTGGGCGGGTGGGGTTGCGGCGCGGGCAGAGAGAGCGGTTGAGTTGGAGGAGGAAGAGGAGGATGTCGCGGTAGGCTGTGGTTGTGAGGAACGTTGCGAGGTCGGTGCCGGTGTTGATGCGCTTGGTGGGGGTTTGGAAGCTGCGCGGGGTCTTTGGGAGGGGCGCGATGGCGGGGACGGACGGTCTTTGGGGTGGTGTTGTTGACGATGGTGGTGATGGTTTTGGAGGATCCATTGCGGCTCGTATGTGTGTGTGCGTGTGTGTATACACGTGTGTTGGGACGAAAGGGCTGAGAAGGTACCTCGAGATGCTGGATTGGTTGCCGGTATGTGTGGATTTGGAGGTTTGGTAGCTGCAGGTGGCACTCATAGCTCAGATAGCTCTCAGCGTTCCTAGGTAGGTCGTGTTTGAGGATGGAGGGGCGGAGTGACGACACAGCGCCGGGCCTTAGTCAGCAGCCTCAACACAGGGGTGTTCAACGCGGGAGATGGTCCCGCTTCAAGCTTATTTCCTTCTGGTTGAACTATCCCACCTGTTACGTTCAATTGACTTTCGGCTCGAGGCAGACTTTTGAACGTGTCGAAGAAAGTCAGTCTTTCTCAATACATTTGCGAGACCAAGTCCGAGGCTGTGTATCAAATGTATTAATTACGTCTATGCCAAGTTTCTATCCAAATCTCGGTCTGTCTGAGCGCCCTCTATGGCCTCTCCGACATGGACTAATTGTATGTACCTCTGGTTGGGCTCTTTGGTACAGGGGGGAAAAGGTAAACCTTGATGACAGGAAACTCGAAAATTACAACGGCTCTCGTTTCGAGAAGCCATCTATTAGATCAGAGGCCGCGCGGTCCCGGATTTCTTCCTGCACCAAGGCTGAACGTTTGAAAGTGCGAGTTCCTTGGGTTGAGCTTGCTGGTGTGTATGGGTAGACTCTACCCTTCTTTCGTTTCCTCTATTTCAGTTTGTCACTCACAAACTGTTTAATCTGGTCGCCATAGATGCTCGGATATTGTAAATGAGCAACAGGGTCGTTACCGTTGCAGCAGAACGGATCCGCAGAATCGCAAAATGATTTAATATTGCCTCCATTGGGGCATTGAAATCCTTGGGGTCGTGGTGCAAACTGGCCAACGTTAGTAGACTACTCAGTACCAACATCGTTGTGTCAGCTTACACCTTGGGTTTTGCAAGTCCCAACCTCGTAGGGAAATCCGGCGACGTAGCGTGGGTCGCCCATGAAGATGGCTGCTTTAACTGCTCCGAGTGCCTCGTTGGAGATGAGAACGTTGACGTCCTTGACCCCTTCGTTGCTGTCTCCTCCTCCGCAGTATGCGTTGTCTATAATTTGAGCTCCCTGGTTTCCGATCAGACCTTGCGCTGCCTTTATTGTCCATTTTCACACGTACCTGAGAAAATCCCAGCATGACAATCTTCGTCTTGGGGCATTTCTTATTGAAATCATTCACGGCCGTGGCAACAGCCGCGGTCCCATTCTTCACCGAGTCCGCGTAGCTGATGCCCTGACAGTCCGACGAGCCGCCGCATGCGGGATAGTTGATGGCCTCGTTCGTAGCGCCCTGATTTGCCTTGGTGAGGTCGTCGACGATGCCGGCCGCGGAACCAAAACCCGGCGGCGCCGTTGTCTCTCGCGCCCCAAAGATGTGGATTGGCGGGCAGTCTTTGTTGTCTTGTCTTTGCTGAAGTTGCTGAAGTACATGAGGTGAGGCCAGGGCCTGGCCGAAAAGGACCGCAATTCCTATGCTGAAACGCATCTTGGGCTACGGCGCCGTTCGTCGATAGGGGGTCGTGAGGAATCGACTTGAAAGGCAATCGACATTAAGTCAGTCTCGTTATTAAGACAAAAAGCTGGCATAAGTAGCGCAGAAAGCGAAAACGAAATTAATGACAGCAAATGTAGTCTCGCCGAATACAAATTACCAGCCGCGATGGAATTTTTCTTTACACTCGAATTTCAAAAGCCTGCTTTGAATATTACTTGATCCAGTAGACCGTTGCTTCCGGCAGACGAAATTTATCTGGTCATCCACGGGCGAACCCATTGCCCGATACCTCGACACCCACACGGAAAGACGGCCTCGTCTTCCTTGCTCTTCACGTCAAAGTCTGGCCAAGGACCGAGTAGAGACGAAACGGACGCGGTCGCCACCATAGCCAAGAAGCTCCGACGCTACATGGCGGCATGAAGCTCTGGCTCCAGGAAGCTGAGGGCGGGAACGGGACGTGTCGCAGCTTTGAGACGAAGAAAAGGCTGTGCTTCCTTGCTGAGCCGCATTATGCACGATCAACGCAATTTTTTCCAAGAAGAGAAAAAAGCCACTTCCACTTCAGCTGAAAAAGACCGATGAACGAGTGAGAGGTGCAGAAAAAGATCAGCATCCGACAGGTGGGTGTGAAACGCGGTGGAGTTTAATAGTGATTGGGTCGGAACACGTCGTCATTTGACATGGACCTCCATGCTCGACGAGTCTGTGTGCTGGTTGAAGAGAGTGGTCTTCTTCGCCTGTACGCTTCGAAGTGGTGTGAGGGTAAGGGTTTGTCTTTGCCTTGATGCTGGCTGCTTTCGCCTCGTCGGGCTACCTTAAACCATCCGCGAACCTATCGCAGAAGCTAAATCTCGAGAAGCCCTTCCATGTCGGACCACTGCGTTTGAGCTAGACTCATGGCATTTTGCATTAAGTCGATTCCAAGGCAATAGACATTAGGTAGGTATTGATAAGAAAACAGCTCATAATGATAAGGGTTGAATGCACTGGCAAGCCTTGATCTCTTGGTCGTGAACCACGTCGATGACAGACAGATAGAAGAAGATCGCTAGAAACACTCATACTACGTATGCGGAACTTTGACGCCCCATCTGAGGATCGTCGAATCACGATATCCTCCTGCATTGCAAGATGGAATGAAGAAATTTCGATCAACATTGCGAGAGAGGTCTCGAAAGAGGGAGCGTTTGACCATCTAGACCCAGTGAAGTACGGGGATGGGAAAGCATGTGAACTTCGGTTGGAGGGCCCAGTCATCCAAAATAGGAGGAAAGCCTCCGAAACCGAACTCGGTTGCCATGGCCATTTGGCTGCTTCTGCATTTTGTCGCGAGCACAAAACGTCAAGATGGTGTTGAACGTGATGGGCAGTATGATCGCCTCTATCCTACATCTCGAGACCCCTTCTGCTGACTCAGCCGGAAGGAGGGGCGTTTGCCGGCCCCGCCTCCGGGCACTAGCACCGTGAACCCTGCGTTAGTGCGCGCTTTGTTCGGAAGGCATGATGAGCGCGCTCCTGTTCGCGATATTGGTAGCTGCTGCATTCACGTCATTGGACGAACGACTGGCTGTTGACAATGAGACGCCAAGATTTTTGAACCTCGATCGCGGCTACGTCGCTTTGCTCCAGAGCACGTTTTTCAATTCAACGCCTCCTAAATCATCATCGGAACTCCCGATCGAAAGACGGCGATGCCGGTAGCCACCAGACAGCGACCTGGTCGGCAGGCGAACAGTCGAGCTGCGAATGACAATGAGAAGGCTTTGCCGACCAGCAGCGATGGGTCTCCGGCGGAAACCCGGCGCAGCAAGCGTCTCGGTCACGTTGATGTGGAAGACATTAGGGATTTCGAGGCCATACGAGTGAAGAGAAGGCGAAGAAGTCGAAGGGATGTGGAGGAGGAAGAAGAAGAAGCAGAAGAAGCAGCAGCAGCAGAAGAAGAAGAAAATCAAGGCAGCGACGGAGAACACGGTCAAGGCGAGGAAGATGAAGCCACAGATGATACTGGTGAAAGCATAGCTACCCCTGTGGTACCAGATGTACCGATTGGACAACCAGTAAGCCAAGCCAGCGTCAACTCCGGTCGTCTACGAAGCTGACAATTTCCCCTGCAGACTGCTAAAAAACGAGGCCGGCCGCGAAAGACACATGGCAATCTCCGGGTAGATACATTACGTAAAGAAGCAACGAATACCCTTCGTACGAATGCTCGCCGCGGTGAAGAAGCGCAGACGACCCAAGATTCCGGTCGACCTACGACGACGAAAGCGACAAAAGCGACTAAGGGCTTAGCCGAGCCCAGCATTTCCCAATCAACAGCAAACCTGGATGACGAGGACGAACCTGCCGCCTCTGCAGAGGCCGGGGCGGACATTTATGAAGTTCCTCCAAGTCCACCTAGAGGATCTGCACGAGCAGTTGATCGTTCCGACTTGTCACAGGAAGACGTTGAAGCTTCCGATTCACGGGCTACCTCACGCACCTCTGACACCGGCGATGGACTGTTTGTTGAGCAAGAGGTTGAGAGCACAGATGAGGATGAGGATGAGGAGCAACTATACAACGATCCGACCATGGTTGAATTGCCACCTTCTGCACAAGCTGGGGAAGATGATGCCGCCAGGGGTGATACCGACTCCGAAATGGAGCCACAGTCCAGGGAGGCAACTGAGCAGATTCGTCGTTTGGTCGGTGACATGAGCCCATCAACTCCGGGCTCCTTCCCGGAGGTCGATTACGCATACCCGGACGATTATTTTATCTTCCATAAGCCCGAAGATGAAGATCGATTGACCGCGGCGCCAATCAAGTCACACTCGCTCAAGAGCATCAAAGAGCTGATGCACGGAGTTGGTTGGACGCGTTCTCGTGATGGAAGAGCAGTTGACCTTACAACTGGGCCAGCGCAAATGTCGCAGAGAATCCAGCCTCTATGGGATCACATTCAAGCACTCAACCACTTCTGGGACGGAGCACCTCGCGCGCCCCTGTTCAATCAACAAACTGACTACTTGCATTCAGAAGACGTGGTTGCGGTTGATGCCAGGCTGACTATCAAAGAAGTCGACATACTTGTACACGACACGGCCATGAAAGCGAAGAAGCCCAGCCGCGGCGAAGAATCAGACATGCCGCCCCCACGCTTCGTCAAGGAGCTGTCCGAAAAGATCATTCCTTTACTTGTAGTAACCCTTGGAAACGTATTCCGCAAGGGCACTGAGCATGATAAATCACATTATGCTGGACGATTCACGAAGCCAATGTTGCAAATGATGCACAGAGTGGTTGCTTGGATTGAGAAGTTGTACTATGGTATGCTCTCCAATCTGTCGAGGAGGAGGCAGAAGGAGCAGCTGCTATCAAAGAGGCTCAGTCGAGAGAAGCTCGGCGAGTATCTACGAGGCTTCAAGCTAGAGTTGGACGAGACCTGGGTCAAAACCAACCAGGCGATCCAGCGGCAACGATTTTACGAGGAGAGGTGGCTTGAGAGGAAGAGGAAGGAAGAGCTAGAGCGGCACGAGTACGAAGAGACAAGGCGGCGACAACGGGAGTTTTGCGACAGACGACTGGAGGAGCGGATTGCTGCCGAGAAGGCACGAAGACAGGCGAGCTCTCCACAGCAAAGCAGACATGAGAGACAGCAAGCCGTGCCAGTCAGTCGCTATTCGAGGACAAGGCGAGGACCCGCGGACGCTGAACCAAGCAGGCCGTGGCCGGAAGCAGATGCCAAGTGGCTTCTGCAGACATTGACCGCGAGGCCAAACTCAGATTCTGAAGCGCTCGCGACGATGCTTAAACGCAGCGAAGATGATGTCAGGGCCATGATCAGACTGCTTAAGGAAAGCGCCAGAACTCATGCAGCGTCGAGGGGTAAAGAGGTTCCGGCTTTTGCAGCGGTATAAGCTGGAAAATGCAGCTTGTTGGGATATGTTAGCTGCGAGTTTATTGTTTAGAGGATACCCCCGTGTTCATATCAAGCGTCTCATTATCAGTACTTCGAGCAAATGATATAGCTTCAATTTACCAAAATCCATCGTCTCTGCACGCAGGGTTTCGCCTACTATTGCATGCTTGCTCGGCGGTGATGACTCGGAATCAGCATTTCAGAGATTCCAATTATTACCAAACCGCGTCGTCTATGCGGTCGCAGCAGGCGCAGAGCATGATTTATGCCTCAATTTCCGGACACGACAGCAATAACATGATACTTAGCCACTGCTGAAGATTTGGGTCATCGAGAGACGATATCACGGTACGACGTGAAAATGACGCCGGATCGGCCCTCACAGTGAAGGGTCGTCCTCTTAGTACAGAATAAAAACTATGGCATCATCCGGAAACGGCATAGGTGAGCCGTCAAAGTGTACGGATAGTCTGTGTGTGCCGATTCTTCTTCTTCCCACGTGGCCCCTGATCGATGCCACCTGTTCGTGTCATGGACTGACGGTAAGAAATGGACCACAGGGCGGAAAACAATGACCAAGAGGAAAGGTGAGAAAAGGGGGCCCTAAGCTCTGGAACCTCTTTGGTTGCGGCGGCGGCCAGAACACGCGCAAAAACATCTGCCGAAGATTTTGGCTTTCGAGGGGGGGCTTACACGACACGTCGGCGACGACGCCGTAACCCCCGTTGGTTTAGGTGATGAGAGTTGACTGGGGTGCGCTGGCCGTGGGGCCTTCGGCAGATGGTTTTTGGGAGGAAACATTTGGAAGAGTGGGAGACGAAGGATGAGGGTTGGTCCCTGGAGGGTTTGGTGATGTCTTACGGGCGGGGGTTGGAGGGTCTGTCGACAACCCTCTCGCTCCCTCTTTCTCGTCCTCCATATAGCGAGGTAAATCATGATTGTACGGGGTCAAGCAATGGCAGATCGAGAGATTTAGTTTGTGTGATCGTGAGAGCGAGCGTCGCCTGAATTACTTGGAGCGGACTAGAGGTGCGCTTAGCTAGAGACAAGACAGGAGAGTATACATGGCCTAGCTTGCCGACCTTCCAGACGCGGGTCTGAGCGCAACACATTCTCAGAGTCAGGCTCGGTATAGCAATCTATTCTACGGATACGTATCTGTATAAACTGGCGACTTTTCACACAAAAGGTAGCTTAGGGTAGCATTTAGGGCGGGCGGCGCACAAGCGTGTGGTTCTTTTGGCCTTCGACACGTGAGATGGAAGGCTCCAGGACTACCGGTAGACGGCGGTCCCTTTGAAGTTTGGGGTCGGCCGATTGGGGCGATCAGCACCATTTGGCCAGATCACTTGCCGAAGAAACTGAATCTCGAGGCTTCTTGGTTTGACCCGGTTTGAGTCATTAGGGTAGACTACGGTCAGTTCTTGTCCAGTCTGAAATCAATTAGGTAAAGCCAGGCGGTAAAATTTCCCGATTGCGGTTTGGGTTTCCATTCCTCTCTCTTGGGTTATTCCCGGGGTGAATGGGCCTAATCGTCGCGGGCTGGACTTTCCCATTTCAGTAGGAGGCGTTAAAAACAAACGTGGGCGACACGAAGAGAAGAAGCAACATAACATCAAGCTCATGTGCTGTAACATAACCGCGTCTCCTGTGTTCGTACCCTCCCTCGGCTAACCTGCCCTGACCGCGGTTGAGTGATGCAGGTGCGGGGAACCCTTGAGTTGTCAGTGAGGCAGATGTCCGGGGCGGGAGCGGCTATGCGGCGCACGGGGGAGCAGGTTCCCAAGAGTGAGAGAGATCAGGCAGGAGAGAACAGAGGAGAGGGAAGGAACACTTCGGAGGCGGAGCATGAATGGCCGCCGAGGCCGAAGCTGCGGTTTAGTCATTCGAATCGGTACTTACCATGGCATGGCAAAACGTAAGGACCCGGCGCCTGTTTTCTCTTCGGGGCCGAAACCATTTGAGCCTCGTCCCCGGTACCAATCACGCCTCGTCCCAAGCGACGCTGCGTCAGGGCCGGGGCTCCGGAAGGGTGACCAACTTTGGGGGCTGATCCATGGAGCCCGTGGAGCCAGAGTTGTCTTGGAATCCTCTGTACGGGACTTGGGATGGACGTCGGGCTAGAGAGTCGGCAGATCAAAGTCGAATCGAAGCCGAACTTGGCTGTTTCTGAGTCTCTGACTGCTATGACGAGTAATTACCTGATGAAGCAGCATTTTCCCCTCTTCGCCTTCTTCGGCGAAGTCGGCGAGCCAAAAGGGTGAGACACGTTGACAAAGGGAACTACTATGTTTATGAATGGTCGGTGTCATCTCTGGCAGACCGAGGGTTAGTGAACAAAGGAGTGTCGACATGAGGAATCGACCCGTCAAGACTCAGGGAGGACCTAGGTGTGAGACTCTGGGTACTTGAAACAGCAGCCAAGAGTGAGAGTGAGAATGAGACGGATAGTGAGACAGATGGAGAGTGAGTGTGAGCGTGAGATTGGGACTGGAGTGAGTGAGCGACTGAGCGTGAGAGCAAAAGTGAGCGCATTTACAACTGCCGTGCCCCCCACCAGATGCCATGGCCATGCCATGCCTGTTTCCAGCGTCCCACGGGGCCCCTCCCCCGCAGATAAGGTACCCCAACGGTGGGTCGGCGCGCCGCCCGGTGTCCTCCGCAGCTTACCGCCGTTACGATGCTGTAGCCGACGAGATGCCATGAGGAGGGCAGAGGGCGTCGAGAACATGGAGCCTGGAGAACAAGCGGCTCCATCTTCCCGTTTCTGCATGGCTCCTTTGCTTTCTCTTCCGCCTTCGATTTGTCTGCCTCTCTCGAGTCTCGCGGGGTAGCTTCCCATGCAGCAGCAGCAACCACATACCCACATCATGCGACTATAGCCAAGCTTCGGATATCCCGAGTTGCCACGGTCTGTCTCGATCAAGCTCGTATTCTCGCGTTCAGCACCGAGCAGAAGGCGAGTGCCCGCTGTGGGGACGACGCCTTTTGACGCAGAAGGTCTGAAAATGCATCTGCCGAAGATTCCATCAGTCATATCAACCTCCAACATCCCGACCAAGGTGTCCACCACCCCTCCATCACCCCCATCCGGGATGGGGACTGGCTTTGTTTTGGCTGCAGTCGTCCTGGCGCAGACTTTACGTTTGGTGTCCGTGTCCTGCCAACACGAGCGTTGACGTTGACGCGCTTCGAAAGGCAGGATGGCACTTCAGTCGATCTGTCTCGCTGCGACCCCGATGGACGAGGACATGATGGCACAAGCTGCCGTCACTCGCAGGCTACCGCATCCCCACCCGGCTCGGTCCCTTCGGCAGCGGTCAGCGCCCCTCAATCTCATGGACGACGGGACAGAGGCTGGGAGCCTTGGAATCAGGTCCCCCCCATCTTCTACAGGCTATCCGTGCTACCCCAGTATCTCTCATGGCCCTTGGCTGGAGTCCTTCGCGCGCAATGGAAGCTGAACATGCTGTGCCACGCACACCAGAACGCCCTGCCGGTGTCATTCTGCGAGCCTCTAAGTGGCCACCGCAATCTGCGGTACCTGATACCCGAACTAGCGTCAACGAGCTGCTGCGTAAGGTGTGGCATTCCATTCGCTCTCATATTCTCTCGTTCATGACGTAAACATTGGGCCTTCGACCTGTAAGAAGTACCTCTTGAATCTTGACTCCTCGGGTCGGCTGGAGGCGATTTGATGGCTGCTTGTTCCCACGCTACGCCACGGCCTACGGTCAAGGCCACGGCTACGGCTTTGGGAACAGACGCCGGCTCTTTGGGTTGTCTCTGCTGATGTTTGGCTTCTCTTTGCCTTGTCTTGGACGCTTGGACTCCTGGTCTCTTGTTGGACCGGACGACTCGCTCCATCTTCAAACGGCCAGACGGCCAGCCGACCAGCCGACGACCCGTCCACCAACTACTGTTTTAGCACACAATTCCACTCCACTACATTCGGTCATCAGTGTACGGATGATGGTCAACATGAAGCTTCGTCTTCTGAACTCGCGTCGCTCCGGGACGCCGACCGGTTGGTGAAGTCTTAGTCAAGGTCACCCCGAACCGCACCTCGTCGGCTCTCGCCTCGACCATCATTCCGTGTGCTCGTGTTCTTCCAGCCTCTTCCGTGCGGGTTTATCTCGCACCTGTGACACCTTACTCAGGCTCGTCGCCAATTTTCCACATTGTCCACTTCGGATCCGCCAGTCCCCCAACCCATATCCCAGAAGCGCAACACCCTTGCGAATTCTAACTTTATTCTGTTCCCGCCCTCTTGTCTCATCTCGCACAAGACTCAGCGTCGAATTCCAACGCTCACCCCTGGGCCATGGAGACTATTCGTATACTAGACAGAGGACCTCGTCAAGGGTTGGAAACTTTCCTAGTCATCCTCTGAATCCTCTTCCCCCCCCTCCGTCTACTCTCCGAGCTTCGTCCTACCTTGCAGCCCGCGGTGCCGTCTCGTCTTGGCTACATGGCTGCGGTGCCCATAGATCGCCGAGAAGTACACCAATACTTGCCGGCCTGCCGTTCCAAAAAGGACACGCGAAAAGCTAAGCGCATCTGCCATCTCGAGGTGACGCCTGTCCTGCTCCACCCCACCGAGGCACAGTCGTAGCTGCACGTCGACCACACGCCATGCCGCCTCGCATACCTCTTCCTGTATGACCCATAGGATCCTGTCGATACATCCCAACATAGAAACCTGGTAAATTGCACTTCGGTTCCTGACCCGGGAATTCCATCTGACGCCCGGCTACATTTACCTGGATCCACCCGCGTGGTGTTTTGTTTCTTAATCTTCTTCTACCAAGGACACGACCGTCACCACCATCTCTCTTCCCCATTTCTATATTCGACGGCCAAGATACGCCTCGTGACAACACAACCTCCGTCAAGATGCACGGCATTACAGAAACGATACTAGAAACATTTGCACAGCACTGGCTCTCAATAGGCCTGTCACTTATTGTGGCCTGGCTGGTGAAGAACCGCTACAACAATGGCCTCAATAAGTACCCAGGACCGTTCCTAGCCTCATTAACAGACTGGTGGCGCTTCTTCGATGTGAAGGGTTACCGTCCAGAGGTTACACATCAAAAGTTGCACGCAAAATATGGCGACGTTGTCCGACTCGGCCCCAACACTCTCTCTTTTGCCGACCCTGCTGCTCTCAAGAGCATCTACGGCCTGAACAAGGGCTTTGTAAAGGTAGATTTCGTATATTGTTTACTCGATACCCTACGGTAGCTGACAGTCTCAGTCCGACTTTTATATTGTTCAACAGTCTATTGCAAATGGCTTCAGGCTCCAGTCCCTTTTCAGCTCGACAGACAATGACTTCCACTCTCAGTTCCGCCGCTGCGTCAACTCGGCCTTCTCCATGTCGGCCTTGGTGCAGTACGAACCCTTTGTCGACAACACCACGAAGCTTTTCCTTTCCCAGACGGAGAAGCTGTTTGCCGGAAACCCTGAAGGATGTGATTTCACCACGTGGTTGCAGTTTTACGCATTCGACGTCATTGGAGAAATCACATATAGCAAACGTCACGGGTTCATTGAGAAGAACGAGGACATTGATGGTATTGTGGCCTACTTGAGCAAGCTATTCCTCTACGTCGCACCGGTAAGTAGTTACCTCGCTGTGAACTGGCTCGAGGCACCCGTCTAACACGTCCACCAGGTTGGCCAAATCCCCTTCCTCGACCTCCTGCTCCTCAAGAACCCAATCTACCTGAAGCTTTCCCAGTGGGGTTTCGTCGACTCCACCTTCCCCGTCGCCCGCTTCGCCCGCGACCGCATGGCCGAGCGTCTCCCCGAGCTCGACGGCAAGGAACCCCTCCTCCCCGTCACCTCGGGCAAGAAGCTCGCCGAGCAACCCGACCTGCTCTCCAAGTTCCTGGCCGCGCGCGAGGCCCGCCCCGACTTCATGTCGGACGTCCTCGTGCAGACCATGGCCGTCAGCATGGCCTTTGCCGGCTCCGAGACGACCGCCATCAGTCTGGCTGCCGTATTCTACTACCTTCTCCGGACCCCGACGGCGCTGGCGCGTTTACGTGAGGAGCTCGATACCTTTGCGCGGGAGGGCGGCTTCAGCGATAGCGAGACGGGGCTGGTGACGTGGGCCGAGAGCCAGAAGCTCGTGTACCTCGACGCCTGCATCAAGGAGGCCTTCCGCATGCACCCGGCCGCCGGTCTGCCCCTGGAGCGCATCGTTCCGGATCAGGGCGCCGAGATTGCGGGCCACTTTGTCAAGGGCGGCACGATTGTGGGATGCAGCGCGTGGATCATCCACCGACGACCGGAGATTTGGGGCGACGACGTGGACACGTTCCGCCCCGAGCGCTGGCTGCCGGAGGAGGGCAAGGACGCCGAGGCCGAGGAGAAGAGGATCAAGGAGATGAATGGTCACATGTTCCAGTTTGGCATGGGCAGCCGGACGTGTATCGGGAAGAACATTAGCCTGTTGGAGATTTACAAGGTGATACCGAGTCTGCTGAGGAGGTTTGACGTAAGTTTTCTTTTTCACTACGTTGATGTAACGAGTACATCCATGCTAACAAGAAGCAGATTTCCTTCAAGGACCCGAGCCAAGAGTGGCAGCTTGTGAACGCGTGGTTCGTCAAGCAGAACAACTTCCAGGCCAAGTTTTATAGGAGGGATATCGTTACTAGGGAGGGGGTTAATGAAAAGGTTGAGTCATAGCGAGACTCCAAGGGGTTGCTGAATACGGGCCGTGTTACGAGATTGACGACATGGATGAATACTATATAAGCAAATGAATCAAAGATTGTGTCTATGCATTGTATTTCTGACGGGTATCTTGGTCTGCGTCATCTCGTGATGAGATCTACAGGAGACAGACCTCGGCAGCAGGTCTTGCTCTTTTATGAGGACAAGTTAGTGAACCTCAACTTCCCGCCAAGTACAACTCTCTATATCATTTTGTATCTCAAAGGCTCCTCCTCCTCCTTGTGTAATGTGATTTGCGACAGGATATCTTGCGGCAACAGGCATATATACGTACAAGTCTAGTACAAACAAACAGAAGAACCCCCCCCCCCCCCCCCGTCCACTCACGCCCACTCAAACTCATTCTTCAACCCCTCAACGCCGCTCTCGTCCTCCGGGTCCAGGAACCCGGCGATCCTTCCCTTGGGATCCCACACCTTTCGGACCTCCATCAGCCTCTTGCCCTGCTCCTCGCCCCAGAACTTGGTGCGGCGGTACCGGAAGTCGGCGTCGCCCAGGTACGACCCGGCAGCGTGCCTCTCGATGCCGGCCATGACGTCGCCCACCCACTCCTGGCACCGCTCGTCGTCCTCGGCGTCCGGGTAGATTGTGTAGAGGGCAAAGTAGTGGTCTGATTGCATGCTGAGTGCCATGTCGGGCATGGTCGTCTTTGCGGCGGTGCCGTTGGTCGTCGAGAGGGGTGAGGAGAGGGAGGAGGAGGAGGTCTCGCCGGCGATCTGCTGCAGGCGGCGAGAGCACGGGTTCATTGAATAGTAGAGGGCATAGGACTGCGGGGTGGGCAGCTGGGTAAAGGCCCTTTTGAGGACCGCGGGTACGTCGGCGTCGTTGGCGACGTAGGCGTTTTCTGCAATGTAGCGGTGCGCGGGCGGGTTGGCGCCGTCCTGCTCGAGGTACTGCTGCGGGAGGGAGGTGGGCGTGGCGAAGACGGTGGCGAGGGGACGGGGTGGGTGGGAGGAGTGCAGGGGGATCAGGGCTTCCGGGTTGGGGGAGACGGAGAGGAAGTTTGCCATGATTTGCGGGGTGGTTTGGCCGGATGGTGTGAGGGCTAGGAGGACGATTTCGAGTTCCGGGGAGGCTTTTGGGCAGACCTGTGATTTTTTTGGTGTTAGTGATTGTGTTTCTGGGAGTTGTTGATAGGGGTTCATTGATGGGGGGGGGGGGGGGGGGGTTACCTTGATCACCCGGTTCAGAATCTCCTCGAAGCGGGGGGGGGGGGGGGGGGGGGGGTTGGGGGGGGGGGGGGGGGGGGTGTGGGGGGGGGGGGGGGGGGGGTGGGGGGGGGGGGGGGGGGGGGAGGGCGTTACCTTGATCACCCAGTTCAGAATCTCCTCGAAGCGGTCGAGGGGGTAAAAGTAGAGGGACTGGAACATGCCCGTTAGGGGGCGGGTGCGGAGATGGAAGCGGGTGACGATGGCAGGGAAGCCTGATGTAAATGGTTAGCCGGACATGTCTCTCTCTCTCTTTCGGTGTTTCGGGGGCCTAGGCACGGGGGGAGACGGGAGGTACATACCCGGTCCGGCGCCGCGCGCGGCCCAAAAGAGGTCGGCGTTCTCCGTCTCGGAGCACCGGAGCTCCCGCGCGTCAGCAGTAACGACATCAATGGCGACGATATTCTCGCACGCCCAGCCCCAGTTCTACAAAATTTTTTGTCAGCTTTACCGTCTTCTGAGGATATACACACATGTCAAGAAAACTTTTCCGCCTCTTTTTTTTGAGACCAACACGCACGCACCTTGCAATTCCACCCCATGCCGCCCTGCAACAAGAACCCGCCGAGCCCGACATCAGGACAGTGACCGCCGGGAAACCACCTCCCCATCCCCTCGACACTATCGTCCCCGGGCCCCCCAATCTGGCCCGCCAAAAACGTATTCACCTCCCTCCCCGTCCTCGCCGGCGCAACGCTCACGACGCCCGTCTTGGCATCGTACGCGATGCCCTCCTCGTTGCCACTCCTGGCGACGCCGTTGCCGAACCCGCCGAGGTCGATCAGGAGCGCCTCGTCGCGGACGGACCAGACGGCCCACGAGTGGCCTCCCGACCGGATGCTCACGCGCCACCCCTTTTCGTTTGCAAGCTGTACGGCCTCGACGACGTGGGATTTGCGCGTGGCCTGGACGACGGCCGCGGGGCGCCGGGAAAAGTCGCGGCGGGCGTTGAAGACGCGGCCCCAGACGGCGGTGGAGTACTCTGAGAAGGGGGTATCCTCGGCGTAGAGGATGGGCAGCGGCGTGGCTGGCGTCGGTGATGTTGAGGATTGTTGTTGCTGTTGCTGCTGCTCCTGCTGCATCTTTGCGAGTCGAGGGATCCTCATTGAGACGACTTTCCGGGGGGAAGAAAGCAGGATTTGCGATTTGGGATATTAGAAGATGAGGGTCTCGCAGATCGGAAGAGGCCTGAGTTCAGACCGGACCGGATATTTCCACCCTGGTTGAAAGAAGGTGGCGATTGTCTAATCCGCGTCCGTCTTGTTCTTCGTTCAGTTTTCTTCCTTTGCTCCTTTCCCCTCGAGAGTGTCGTTATGGCTAAGCTTGTGAGGAACAACGGGTCGGGCCTCGGTATTCCTAGAAACGTGGAGCTGGATCTGGGCCCTCGGGCAGAATTTCCTTCCAATCAAGACTCAAAGGGCGGGAGAACGAAAAAAAGCGTTGAGCCGAGTATGCGAGAGCTGAGCTTTGGCGGGCGGTACTATACAGGTGAAAAGGTAGAAATCCGGCTCTATTCCGTCTTTCGTTCGTTGATGATTCAGTTGGACTCGAATTGGGTGAGAAACGTAGGTAGGTACCCTTCCAACTCGTCAAAAGCCCTAAATACTGTCACCGTCTCTCTCTCCCTCTCCCCTCGTGCTTTCAAAGCTACCTCACACGTTGTTTGTTTATCTCGGACCAAGGATTTCGCAAGCCTGCTCTTTCACGTTTGGGACGCTAGTCGTTATCAAATCAAACAAAGTGTTACGAGCACTTGGGTAAGCCTGCCAGTTTCCGTGTAAAGGCCCTGTCTAGACCGCCGATTGGAGCTGGGGTTGGACGGTATGCGGCTGGCCAGCTAAATAGGTAGCGGCGAAAAGAATGCCCTCTTTTGTTTGTTTGCTATCAAAGCAAGCTTAAGCCGGATAAGCTTCCGAAAAGGTCCTAAAGGGAGTAGAGAGGAAATCTTTTTTTCCCGCTACCGGAAATCCTGTAAAATACAAGAGATCGAACGACAATTTGCCTTTTGGTAGATATGAGAGGGAGAGAGTGTGGATAACGAGGCAAAGAGGTCAAAGCAGAAGAGGAGTCGATGGATATAGAGATTCGAGCTGCTAGACTCTAGTAAGGAAAAGTCAATGACAATCCCGTGCCAAGTAAGGGAAAAAAACAGGACTTCTGTGGTTTCATCGCGCCCTGGACGAAGTCACCTCACCTTTTTCCAATCTCAAGTCTCAACTCACAGAGAGACGAGAAAAGAGAGTCAGGAAACCCACCCACCCTCCATCAGTTGATCCTCCGCTGGCGCGCGTCCACTTCCTCCCCCCGAATCCCCCTCCTCTTCCTCCTCCATTCTCCCCCACTGTCCCGCGCCAACCCGCCATTGTCATTGGGCAGAAGCGATTCATGTCCTTGCAGTGCCTGCGTCAAGAATTGCCGTATGCCAATGTCCCTCCTGTACGAATAGACTGTGTAACAGTGTTTTCTGGTTCGGCCGCCCGCACCCCGTGAAACCAAAAAAAGAAAAAAATTAATTGTATCCGTACATCGGGGAAGGCTGGCAAGGAAAGCTCTGGCAAAGGGCGGGCTGGAGTGCAGCAATCGTGACAGGAAACGAGCTCTACGGATACTCGGCGCCCAAAAGCAAAGCAAAGCCACCTAGGAGAAAGGGGACCACAGCAATCTACAACCACGAAGAATACTAACCCAGTCTACCTTAGCTCAAGCCCCCTCCCCCTTCTACGAGCCGCGTCAACATAGACCACAAGACTAGCAAGGAAGCCGACCCGCGGGAGAGCGGAGGCACCACACTACCACTGCCACCACCTCGTGGCTTTGTCTAGAACCTGGATCTGGATCTGGACCTGGATATCGGACCAGGACCCAGCCTCTCACCCCAATTCGGTACTACACCAGAAAAATAATGACACTTCGTAGCCATGCTGCGATGCCGACTGCATCATCGCCAGTCCCAACTCATCAACCAAACCTCAACGTCGCAGTGCTGCAATGGAAACCCTCGGACTCGGAACGGGCAAATTGGGCATGCGAGAGGAAAAAGGGGGTATCGTCCATTGCTAGCTACCTCGTCCCGTCACACGCAAGTTCCTCCAAGAATTACACAACACCCATCATCGCCGTATGCAAGCGCAGCATCAACCACACGCCCACTTTGAGTCTTTGGACCACAACACAGCTCAATACAGCTCAACACCAACAGCACGACTACAGCAGGCTCTCTCTCTCTTTCTCTTCCTCCCTCGCTCTATTCCCTTTCCTTCCCTTTCCATCCCCTCTCTATCCATCTCCTGCAAATCAATTTGGGTAAAGGTACGCAAAATAAGCACTTCTCATCCCTTTCGTTGCCGGCGCGCTTATAGTCAAGCAAGTGCAGTACTCGTGCACTTCTACCAGACGCGCCGACGACTTAAAAACCCCCGTGCTGTGTATTAAAAACAAGAAACCTCGATCCCGACCAGGCGGCACGAGGAGAAGCGGCCAACGAGCCTTGCGTAGCGTTGCTTTGCGGGAGCCGTCAGGCTATGGCGAGCCTGCTAGCCAAACCAGACGTTTTGCTAATTTCTTTCGATTACCAATCTTTCTTCTTTTGTTAAAAACGTGCTGGACGGTGTTTAGTTGTCGAGGTGCGGTGATTGCTGGAAATCCGTAATGGACTCAAGCATGGCGAGGTTCTTCTCCTGCATGTCGCGGTCCATGTTGTGGATCTGGTTCGCGTTGACTCTAGCTCGTTGTAGCTGCGGATTCCGGTTAGCTTTCTCGTCCCTTCTCTGCAAATAAAGGGAGCATCAAGCAGGGCGTTCGCACCACAGCCAGTGCCTCGGAGGAATGGTCTTCTTCCTCACCTTCCGCGGGCTTGGCCGCTGAACCAACCGCTTCTTCATCGTCGCCGTCGGCAAATCTGCTGGCTGACAGTCCCTTGGGCTTGGCAGCCGCTGCGTTGGCCTGTACCGTGTTAGTGATGATCCGCCTGAGCCGCATGCTAACCAATAGAAGCGTACCTTTGCCTCTGCGATCTCGGCATCCTTCACCTTGAGTTGTGCCTGGAACTCCTCGACGCCCTTCTCCTTGTCGGCCAATGACTTTCTCAGGCTCTCAACCTGCTCCTCCAGCGCACTGCGCTTGGCATGCTCTTCCTCCACAATCTTGGTCATCGTGTCGTTGAGCTCCTCGTAGTCGGCCTTGTACGTCTTGTGCTGCTTGTCGGCCTCAAACTGAGATGCTTCGAGCTCCTTTTGCGCGAGCAGCAGGTCCTCCTTGACGTCTTCAACCTCCTGCTTGGCAATGCTGAGGCTCTTCTGCACCACAGTGAGCTCCTCCTCAAAACCCTTCTTGACATTGTTCAGTTGTTCACGAAGGTTGTCCGCCTCAGCGGTGTCCGGCGTCTTGTTCTTGACCGCATCGAGGGCCGCCTCGGCCTCGGCACGCGCCATCTTTTCAACCGAGATCATGGCACCGACCTCGCCCAATTCTTCCTCAAGCTTGGCCGTCTCGGCCTCGGCCTTGGCAACGGACTCCTTGGCCACCTTGAGAGCAGCCTCGAGCTCGGCCGTGCTGGCCCGAGTCTTGGTCTTGTCAGCCTCCGCCTGGGCAACGGACGCCTTGGCAGCCTGGAGGGCAGATTCGAGTTTGGACGCATCGGCTGAAATCTTGGCAATCTCTTGGGCAAGCGACTCATTTCTGGCCTCGTACTGGCTCGTCAGCTCCTCCACGACCTTGGAGTGGGCCTTGTTGATCTCTTCGAGCTCAGCCTGGGCGCCAGAGGAGCTCTGCTGCTTCAGTGCCTCCAATTGCTCGGCGTGGCTGGATATAAGCTTCTCGACCTCGACAGAGTGCGTGTCGTCGAGGTTCCTCTTGGCCTCGGCAAGAGCAGCCGCGCTCGATGTCTCAGTTTCGCGGATACGGGTCAGGGCTTCGTCGAGCTGAAGCTTGAGGGTAGAGAGCTCCTCCGTATGGGCGCTGTCGCCGGCCTGCTTCGCGGCGGCCAGCTCAGCTTGGTGGGCCTCGGCAAGCTTCGTCTTGGCGTCCTCAATCTCAGCCTGGTGCGACTGCTGAAGCTTGGCCTTGGCCTCCTCGAGCTCAGCCTGGTGGGAAGCCGCCAATTTCTCCTTGGCCTCCGCAAGCTCAGTCTCGTGATTGGCACGCAACTTCTTGGTGATGGACTCGAGCTCCTCCTTGTGCGCAGCAAGAAGCTGCTCCTTGTTGCCAGAGCTCTCGGCTAGGGTCTTCTCCCTCTCAGCGGCAATCTCGGCAAGCAGCTTCTCCTTATTGCCAGCAGTCTCTGCGTTGAGGGCCTCAATGACTTCAGAGTGGGAGGCCTTGAGAGCCTCGAGCTCCTTGGCAAGACCGGCCTCGCTGTCGCTCTTGAGAATCTCGAGCTGCTTCGCGTGGCTGTCCTTCAGGTTCTGGAGCTCGGCGAGCTGAGCGTCCTTGTCGGCAGAAGCTCCGCTCTTGGCGCCCTCCAGCTCCTCGGCGTGGCTGGCGCGGATGGCGTCAAGGGCCTTTTGGTGTTCGGCTTCCCTAGCTTCCAGGGCAGCGACGGCGGCGGCGAGCTCAGCCTTGGCCGCCTCCAGCGCCTTGGTGCTCGTCTCGGTGCCGTCGGCGAGGCTCTTGGAAAGGTCGCCGTGCTGGGTCTCGAGTTCGCCGTGCTTGGTGGTAAGCTCGGTGTGCTTCGACTCAAGCTCGCCGTGCTTACTGCTAAGGTCACTGTGCAGCGATTCTAGCTCGGCGTGCTTCGTCTTGAGGTCGCCGTGCTCGGTCTCGAGCTCGTTGTGCTTGACCTCGAGGTCCTGGAACTTGCGCTTGAAGAAGGCGTCTCCCTTGAGAGACTCAATCTCCTCCTCGTAGTCCTGAGAAATCTGCTTGAGTTCGGCATCGTGCTTCTTGACCTGGGCAGAATGCTCCGCCTTGGCCTTTTCCAGGGCCTCGTCCTTGGCGGTAATATCTCCCTTGATGCTGTCAATCTGCTTCTGGAACTCGAGAGCTTCCTCCTTGGCCTTGGCCACGTCGGACTCGGCAGCCGCAAGCTTGCTCTCCAGGTCGGCGACGTTGGCCTGGACCTCGGCCAGCTCAGCCGTCTTGGCGTCGAGGTCAGCCTTGGCCTGCTCGGCCGTCTTCTCGGCAACCTCGAGCTTTGTCTTGAGCTCGGCGATCTCGCCCTCGACAGCGGCGAGCTTGGTTTTATGCGACTCAACCTCGGCAGTAACCTTGCTCTCGTGCGCGGCCTCAAGCTCGGTCTGGGAGGCGGTGAGGTCATCAATTTTCTTCTGGAGATCGGCGATAGCGGTCTCGTGGCTGTCCTTTATCTTGGCCAGCGCCTCCTCGTTATCGGCCGAGGCGGACTGGCCCTGGCTGAGCTCCTCGGTGTGCTTGGCCTCGAGAGCGTCAATGGCAGACTTGTGCTGGCCCGTCAGGGAGCCCTGCAGCTCCTCGAGCTTGGCGGCGTGCTCCTCCGAGGCCTTGGCCAGGGCGAGCTCGCTTTCCTTTAGTTTCTCCTCGTGCTCCGCTTGGAGGGTCTCGAGGGACTGCTTCAGCGAGGCGAGTTCGGCCTCGGCGGCTTCCTTGGCGGCAACAGCCTCAGTGTACTCGCTCTGCTGTTTCTCGTAGTCAGCATCGGTGGCCATCAGATGTTCATTAGCCTCATCCACCTGGTTCTCGAGCTCCGTCTGCTTAGCCTTCAACTCGGAAACCTGGTCCTGGTGGGCCTGTTGGATGTTGTACACGGCGTTCCTCACCTGAACGGCATCTCTGTTCACCCCGTCGGTGTACTGAGCGAGCTTGTCCTGGGTCTGCTGGACCTGCGTCTTGAGCTCGTTCAGTTGTGACTCCTTTTCCGTGAGCTGCGACTCCTTCTCGGTAAGCTGGGCCTTGAGAGATTCGACCTCCTTGCCGAGAGCCTCGGAGGCGCCGGACGAATCGGGGCGGATCGATCGTCTGGGAGCGGCGGATGAGGTGGTTGAGGTGGAGGCGGTGGACAGGCGCTTCTTGGCCTCGGCGACGGCGCCTGTGGCGGCCGAGGAGCGGGAGCTGATCGAGGAGGGACGCGGGGCGACCGAGTTCGGGGTGCGCGAGGTCGTCGAGGAGATCCGCGGGGCGGCAGCGGACGAGCTGCTCGTGGAGCTTGCGGGTTTCCTGGCAGCGGCCGTGGCGGCGCCCAGGGTAGAAGTCCTCCTCTCCCTGCTTGGCGAGCCGACGGTGCTGGCACTGCTGCTGGGAGCGGTCGAGGTGCGGCGGGCGGTTCTCTTGGACTCGTCCTCGGAGGCGGACACGCTGGGTCGCGAGCGGTGAGTGGCTGTGGTCGAGGTGCTTGCGGGCTTGCGGACGGCGCTGCTGGCGGTGCTGGAGCTGCTGGTGGGGGGACGGGTGGGAGGTTTGGTCAGGCCGCCGGCGATGCGCGAGGTGGTCGAGGAGGTGGTGCTCGCGGGCTTTCCGGTGCTCGAGGTCGAGGTGGTCGGGCGGCGAGCGGCAATGGTCCCAGAGCTCGAGGCGGGCTTCTTCAGGGAGGAGGTAGTCGAGGTGGAGGACTTTGTGCTCGGCGAGGTGACGGCGGGCTTGGGCGCCTCGTCGTGCTGAACGACCTCGAAGCTACCGGTGTCGGACATTGCTGTAGACGATGGTTGGACTTCCGAGAAGAAGGGTGTCGTCGATGGGGTAATTCTGCTTGCGCGTGTCCAGGTCAGCCAGGGTAGTTCATGGGGAGAGATGAGGAAGGGATCTCGGGTAGCTGCAGGAATTGGGAGATACGAAGGAGGGAAGAGGGCGGGACAGGATAGTGGGAGTCACAGGATTCCAACATTCCTGGGGTAGAATAGTTGTGCAGAGCTGCATTGAGGTCTCAAAGAAGGCAATTGGGACCAGCGAGGGCACATGAATGGCGCTGGGTTGTTGTGACTTACCTTGCGACACGTCGTACGTGGTGGTGTCTTGGTCTCCTTTTTTTTTTTTTTGGGCTTCTTGTCCTTTTCGTTCTCCTTGCTGCTTGAATTTCCTTGTTTGGGAAAGCTTAAACTCTCACCGCGGGGAAATCAACAGACAACGACAACAAAGGATGGGAGGAAACCCGAAACAGGAGTACAAATGACGCACGAAACAACACAGAATGTTGTCGTGATATCTACAAGATGGTGAGCTCTGGTCAGGGGCGAAAGAGCTGGACAGAGCGAGAGAGAGGGAGGGTTGAAGAGGAATTGGGAACTGGGAGGTTGCCAGGATAGAGAATTGAGTCGGTACGGATACCTTTGGGTGAGGTAGGTAAGGTAGGTAGAGAGAAAGGTGAGGTGTCTACTTAGGTAAGGACATGGGTTCTGGGCGAGGATGGAGCAAAAAAAAAAAAAAAAAAGGGTTGCTTCGAGATTGGCGGATGGAGCAACATGGGGGAGGCACATGGAGACGTTGGAGACGACGCCGACCGTATCCAATCTTTAGTCACCAGCTCCAGGTACCTCGGACAGGACCCTTTTCCGACGTTAGACGCCTTTCTAAACCTCGATCCAAGTACCTCCAGACTCCAGAGGCAATCCAATGTACGAATATGCATGCCCGCCCGGCACAGGCGCTGCACTAAGGCACAGGATGCAGCCCCCGGGGGTCTGGCAGCACCACTGACACCCGACGAGAACATCAGGACGAAGATGGCCAGCTGGCCAAGTCAGGACATTGCATTGGGCGGAAGCCACCAGCTGCAAACTTGCCACCTCTTTGCCTTGGGCTCTCTCGTTCTCCCGTTCACCATCTTCGAGCTCATTGCCCTCGAGGGGAGAGGAAAGCATTGGATGTCTAAGGTACCGACCGCACCTTACCCCTGACAGACAGCACCAGCGATAAGGTACCTACCTACCCTGAGCTGCTGGAGGTGAGCCAGCCAGCGCGCGGACAGTGCTGACAGCGGGCGGCTCTCGCTTCGGGAGCTCGGGCAGTGGGCCCCATTCTGCAGCCTGTCATTCGCCAACAGGACATTGGAACGTCCAATTGGCTTCGGTAAGGTAAGTTCTCCACCCTCTCCACCCTATCTTTCGCGGTACGTATCTTCTTTGCTGTCTCTCTCTCTCTCCTCCGCGGTCCACCCAACGTTCCAAACATCTCTCGTCGCCTCCACCACCCCAATCTCGACCCTGGGAAGCCGCCTGTTCCATCATCTTTATGCAACCTCTGGATAACCCGTTTCAATTCGACCAAAGCCCAAACGGCGTCACAAGACCTCGCTTTCCCGCTCTTCCTCTCTGGCCGTACGCTCGAGGGATCGGCGCAGGTATGGCATTGACGGATGTGCCTTGGCTTCCCTGGACTCTTCAGAAGTTGAGTCCAGGTTCCAATTGATCCGTCCCAGCAGGCCGAGCATCAGACGAGAGGGTCCGGAGCGCACTATGAAGGGCTAAGGGGGCAAGGCACAACCACCGCTGTGCGAATAAGGCTCTCCCTCTGGACTCTCTGGTCCTCTCCCATCCCGAAGCCATCAATAGCGAACCCCTGAACTAGCCTGACTGGCTATCAACCATCCCACGCGGCGCGGCCTTTGCGAGAAAGAGGAACGCGTCGCACTCCGTTACCTAGTCTTGAGCGCGCGCGTTCGACTGCGTTCTCTCTGCGGCCCAGTGAGAGTGCAGCTACGGGACTACAGAGAAATATCCCCTTCCAAAAATTACGAGTCGCAAAGGGGCACGAGCGACAGGAAACCCGCCAATTTTATCCGTACTATACGGAAATTTGACTCTCAGGTGAAGCTCGCAAAAAAGGCTTGCCCCCCCGGCTACTTTTCCCATTTTATTTCCCTCTTCGTATACGGATACAGATACAAAGTACATACGTACAAAGCAGCTGTACGGAGGTACACAGTCCCCAAGTTTCCTTTTCATCTGAAAATTTCTGGCTCCTCTCGTGACTAAAGTCTCCGTAGTGGTATTGCACATGGGATGAAAACGGCAAGGTAGGCATTGGATTGGATATCTCGACACTATTTGAATAGGTACCCAGTATCTCTGCGCCTACTCCTATCCCTCATAAGGGCCAGTAGTCCATATTGTATATCCATATATAACACACTTACAGTATCATCATCAATCTTTGTCAATTCGAGATTCAACGGGTATATCCGTAATACCAGAACTCACACCCCCAAACTCATTCCCCAGTGTTGTCGCCGTCCTCTCCGTCCCGCCGCCGCTGTACCGCTGGGTCTCTCCGAGCTGGCACAACACCAGGGGAACCTTGCTGGGCTTTCTCTGGTCTCCCGCCTCGATTTCTCAAAGTACGGATAAGGTAGCTTTCAACCCCCTCCCCCTCCCCCTCCAGCCAATGCCACCAGTCAACATGTCTCGCATCTCCGTCCACAGATGCTGCGTATCACCAGCCAATGCCACATGAACCAACGCCCTCCACCCCGCCACAGCCCAACCGACCACGCACCCAATGGCATGATGCGCTGTCGCCATGTCACCGCAATCCACTCTCCCGCCCGCGATGTGGCACTTCGCCGTTGGTGGCAGTGGCACGGCACGTCAAGCCTGGGTTCGCCTTACTGTGGTACACTAGGTACTCGCATCCTTGGATTGTCGTCCATCATATCCAGCCCCGGTTCTTCAACACAGCACGATCAATGTAGGTAGCATTTTTAAATTGCCTAAATGGTCATGTTGCCTAACGGAATCGGCTGTCATCTTAACAATCCCCCAAGGACTGCACGTTTTGCTCTAGATGAGCTTGATTGGAAGAAAGCCATCGACACCTGTACAAACCAGGGGAGTTGAATATCGAAGACACACTTTGGTGAAATGCAAAATCCCACTTTATTGACTCCCAACACTATTATTACAAAACCAAGGTATGGCCATAATCATTCTAGTAATCATCATCTGAATCAGTGTCCTCGTCCGGGACAAGAGCGCGGTATCTGCGGCTGGCAAGATCCTCCTCGATGCCGCCCTCACTCTCAGGGTCAACGTATCCCTCGCCTCCGAACAAGCTGAGAGCAACGGGGAGGAAGATGAGCGCGTGAGTGCCTGCAAAGACGACCAGAGACAGCCAAACTCGGAAGTAGTAGATCTCAAAAATCTTTGACCTCGTAAAGGCCAGCACGAAGACTCCCAGAAGCTTAGTGACGGTGATGCCGGAGAAGACGGAGCTTCCCACGTTGACCAACGCCGTCCAGGCGCGGGCGTCGCGGCCACGGAAGCGGTTCTTGGCGCGCTCCATGACAGTGCGCGACGGGAACATGAACGCTCTCGCAATGTGCGCGCAAAACTCCACGCCGATGCCGACGCAAATAATGAGGTTGACGAGCGACACGGCGTTCAGTGACACGTTAAAGACTGCCATCGCGCCAATAATATCGACAACGGTCATGCAGACAGTGACGGTAACAACCAGCGCTGTCATGAGGGATCCCAAGAGGATCGATGAAATGACAAAGATGATAGCCACGGCCGAGCCGAGGAGAGCTCCCGTGAGCGAGACGATGCTGGCGTATTGGTCAAAGAAGATGTAGAAAAGACTGTAGGGGAAAACCTCGACACCCGTTGATTTTGTAATATCGGATGCGATTCTTCGGGCTGCTGACATAGCGTTGATGAAGTCGTCCTGGCTACGGAGCGGGGTATGCATCGTTCTGAAGTGGCTGGCAGGAATAGTGTCCCTCTCCGAATCGATCACCACCGCTTGACCATACGACGCTTGGCCGCCTAGAGGGCAGTCGTCGTTGGTGGGCGCCTTGAGGAACTTTTCGAGGTAGTGAACGAACTCGCCGTCCTGGGGCATGCCCGAAAGGGTGATATTCCAGGGCGGGTTACGGTCAGCGAAGCATGCCTTGCCGTTCTCAACGCAGCACGAGTCACCAAGGTCAGGGTTGAGCCACAGGAAGAAGTCATCGATCCAGCTAGCAGCGGGAGACGAAATGAAAGAGACGTCGGGTCTCTTCCGCTCACCCTCCAGGATGTTGGCGAGAGAGAATTGGTCGCAAGTGGTGAACCTTGCGCAGATTTCGCGTTGGTTCTTACGAGCAGTTGCGTTGAACTCTCTGGTGACAAAGTAGACAGGAGGGCCGGTCTCCAGGTACTTGTAAAGATCGTTGAAATAGGGAATAAGATAGGAGCCGTCTGGGATGGCGACGCGCTGGTCCAAGCCAAGCTGCACTTCAGGGATAAGAGCGATTCCAGCGGCAAAAAGGCCCAGGAAGATGGCCAAAATAATAGCCTTAGCCTGCTTTGCGAGAATCGCCGGAGCATACGTACGGCGGATGAACTGTTGCAGCCAGCTCTCTTCTGGGACTTCGTAGAATCGCGCGTTGGCGTTCCCGTTCCCGCCACTCAGATGGACACGGGCTGCCTTGACCTGGAGGCAAGGAATGCAGTCTGCCCTGTGGTCCTCCACGCGGATTTGGTTCATGGCCAAGACCGAAATGAAAAGCGTGATCTGAAGGATGGCGTTGATGAAGACGGCGCCAGCAGCGTAGGCGGCAAAGTTGCGCACCGCAGGCATGCCCACGAAAGTTCCGAGAGCGAACGCAACAGTCTCGGTCAAAGCTGAGAGAAGAATTGACGGTCCCATACGTCCCAGGGCCTTGGCAATGCGCTCCTCGACCATCTCATCAGGATGGCTGACGTTTACGCGCTCGAACTCGTGAACAATAAGGAAGATGTTGTCCACACCGACAGCAAGGACGATGAAGGGAATGACCTCGGCGATAATGAGCGTCGCCTTGAGTCCGAACCAGGAGAATAGACCGATAGAGGCGCTGATGGACATGAGAACAATCAGGATGCCAACAACGCCGAGTGAGAACTTGGACTGGACCAGGGCGACGGCCGGGTTCCTAATCATGTCCCGGAACGACAGCGTAGTGGATCCGAGGGCAAGAGACGCGTAGAGGAACATGATGATGTAGCTAATGACCACGATCTTGGCATCGGTGTTGGTAGACTTATTCAACTCCTGCTCCAGGCTGATTTCGGTGGAGAAAGAAAGACGGAGTCCTCGATCCGTGGCCTCTTTTTGCACCTCGAGAAGACGGTCGCGGAGTGCTACCTCCCAGTCCATGGCGCGCTCGACGGCCGGACTACCTTCAGCAGCGTTTTGAACGACCCAAGTGACTGTGATGGCATGAGCAGCAGCGGGATCGTCTTCGTAACCGCCGAGAATCATGTTCGGCTCAAGAGGCAGGCCGAAATCCGGACGACATTCAACTGGGGACTTTGCGCACTGTCGCAATTGATCCTCCCAGTCATTCTTGCCAACAAGCGATGGCTCGTCGCCAAAGTAGCTTGCCACGGATTGGACGACGCAAGAGGTGCCGGTAGGCTTCAAGCAGATGTCATTGAGAGTGGCGCCAAACTTGGGGCCCTTCAATTGCTTGACGCTCTTTTCAACGTCCATCCACCAGATCAGCGTGTCGTAGCTGAGAACAGGCGCAGGGCCGCTAGAGTGCTGATCGTTGACCAGGAAGACTTTCTCGGCGCGGTAAAACGGACCAAACTGCTCGTCAAAGAATGCCTTTTCCTGCGCAGCAGGAGACGTGGGGCTAACCCAGAGGCGCGCAGGGTCTTTCTCGAGGTCGAACCTGACCCAGCCGGCGCTCAGGATGATGACGACGATGAGGGTAACACCAATGGTGATTCCCTGGTAGCGTGCCGCTGCATGGCCGAGCTTGCTGAAGACCGCGTCACACCAGGTGTTGATCTTGTAGTATCTCTGAGGTCTGTCAAACATGGCGCCATTCTGTACCAGATCGCCCTCGTCCTCATCGTCGCTGGGTGAGGCGTCTTGCAGCAGTCTGAGGCGCTCGCTTTCCCTCTTGGCACGGCGTCTCCAGACGACGTGACCAACGACGGCGGCAACGGCGGCGAAAAGGAGGACGCTGTAGGTGAAGATGGCCGCGAAAGACAGACACGGCAAAAGACCGACATGGCATTCGCCAGGTTTCGAGACGGCCGGGAGCTCCGGACAGACAGAAGGACAATCTACGCAGGCACAGCGATAGTTGGGGTCCTCGTCGTTGCACTTCTTCGGCGTCATCTCGCGAGGGGCCATGCCCGGCTCGCTGTACTCGGTGGGGAAGTTGATCTGGAAGGGCGATCCAATGACCTTCTCGTCTCCCAAGAACTTAAGCAGCTGGGAGTAGTTCTTTGCGCCGCCTCCGATAAAGTCAATGGCCCTGGAGTTGGAAGGACCGAACTTGACCTCCTTGCAGCTGTCGAAGAAGCCGGTTCCATAATCCTTTGAGATCAGCTGGTCCAACTCCGTCACCATGGTCTTTTTGTTCTTCTCCTGGGTCTTTGTGATGTTCAGGAAGAGGGACTGGTCAGGAGAGCACGTGAAGGTGCAGAACAGGTTGAAGAAGTTGTCCTTGCAGGCAGGGCAGGAGGAGACAATCTGGTTCGGGGTGCCGAGCTCGGAGGCGAGCGAGTTGACCTGTCAAGCAGCACATGTCAGTAAGGCCGGCTACAGTCATGCTTTGATGGCAATACTTTACCTGCTCAGCATCACAGCAGACGGGACCAGAGTTCCATTTAGCGCCACAAAGGTCAACGATCTGCTTTCGCAGGTCTTCATCGGGGTCCTTGGCCAGACCATTGTCGGGGCAAGGCAGCTGCTTGCCGAAGAAGCTCTTGGAGCCGCAATGGCCGCGCATCGCGCATCGTCCAGCTTCATGTTTTGGGGTCAATGGCTCTGCTATCACGCTGCCCAGGGAAGCCAGCAGCAGGCCGCCGGCTCCGAGCAGCTTCAACAGCGTCATCGTGGGCGTCGTATCTGCCGCTCAGCGGCTAGGGTCGGGTTACTGGTGGGGTCTGGTGTTGAAGAAGGAGAGGATGGGGAAATGGACGACGATTAGTAGAGAGAAGAAAGAGACACCCGTCGCGCAAGATACCCAGAGAAAGGGACGATGGACGGTTGATGGCAAATGGCTTGTAGAGTGGAATGTGAGGGACGGATGGAGGTTGGGGCGGTTGCAGTGACACACGATACCGTCCGGGTGCGCCTCCAGCAAGCTTTCTGGGAGCTCCGGTAGGTGTCGGTGGGCTGCTGCTCGTGTGGCGCTGGCACACTCGCACTTGCGACTGTTCCGCCCGCGTGTGTCTGCGTCATCCACTTCAAGCTGCAGCAGTACACCAGCGGGTGTCTCAGCGCTGGCACCTGCTGCCTGAGGTGCATTACCACCCGACCGGCTGCTGGTGCTTCCTGCCTGCAGAAGTGGGCCCATCTTTCGCTCTCGGCTGGGGGAGCTTTGGGGGACCATTTCATTGGCGGGCTCCTGCCCAGCCACTCCGCTGTCAGTGCCTCAGAATCGATGGCGTCACAAAAGGAGTCACGTGGTACGTCTTAGTCAGGTACCTAGGTGCCCGATATGGAACATGCTCGGATGCTCATCCGGTGGCAACGCGGGGAATTCCCCCGGACTTTAGGGTCTACCCGGCCACCTCAGTCCCGTTCCAGGCTCGGTCCGGAGGTGTCGGTTCTAAACTTCATGATGTCTCAGTCTTGCATGAACATCACATCGACAATGTCACTAGTCGACATCGTGTACTTTATACATAACTGCCAGAGAAGTGAGCAACGTTTGTGAATAGAGTAGAGCATTAAACACTGTATCTTCTTCGGAATAAAGGGCTTGTTCATACTAGAGAATTTCCCGAGAGGCGCTTCAGCTAAATCCATCCCTCGGAAATGTTCCTAACATGTAGTATAAAACCTCGTCTAGACTTTTCACTTACTTACATTTAAATCACTTGAAGCCTCCGGAGCTCTTTGGTCGGTGGGGTCTCCTGCTTATTTTGGTCATTTGCCCACCGCGAATTACTGAAATCTGTAGGCACTGTGCCATGGATTGTTCGGTATTCTACCTAAAATCAACCGTTGCGGTAAGAGTTGAGCGCTTGAGGAGTTCCGACTTCCAACCTAGGCTTCTGGTGACCGCATGCTATCACTGTCTAGTTGATCAACTTACATGATATCAAATGTCGACTTTCTACGACTCTTCAACTCTATTCTGAGTTCGCCCGATTCATCCGGTACCTTGAGCAGCTTTTCCTTTTTGTACCCAGCATTCACTGCCCAGGCAGACAGAGCGGCCAGAGTTGCATCGTCCGGCTCCATCTTCCGAATATATTGCATTTTTTGTTTCTACTCTTTCGATCTAATTAATTCCCGCCGCTTATTGTCAAATCTTGACCCACCTATTGGCATATTCCGACCGGAATACATAGTCTCCGGACAGGATAGAGATGAGCATCGCCTGCGGGATAAGTCAATCTCGCTTGCTACATTTACGACATGTGCAGCAGAGGGGTTGAACGTTAAGAACGAATCATATCAAATGGCCCATCTGCAACAATGCATATTTCTCTTGGCATCGATTGTGCCTACATTTGGAGCGGAGGCTTCTAGCATTCGGAACTTTGCATCCAAGAACAAGAACTGTCAAGTCAATCTCCAAAATCCACACCACCCATCTTACAGACACATTCATACCCTAGCAACAAGCTCCATCACTCATCCCGTCCCTTCTCCTCCCACCCCAAGATCTTCGGCCCAAAGTTGTACCACCCATACATCTCGACGCTTCCAATCACGCAGAATCCCGTAACCAGCCAGAACCGCACCATAGGACTCGAAGTGATGTGTCGGAGATTGAACGCGGGAATCTCGATTGGGTCCTCTCCTCCGCCACCGCTACCGCCTCCGCCTCCGGCATTGCTGCCGTTGATGCTGTTTTTCCTACCCGACGTAGTGCCGTCGGCGGACCGGTACGGTGTTGTGGAGAAGGTGGAGCGCTGGAACGGACTGCCCCGTAGACCTGCCGGGAGGACGAGGGTCCTCGTTGTGATGCGTGTTGTCGCGGCGATCATGGCTTCTTTATGCCGTTTTGTTTTGAAAGTAATGCCAAGTCTGTCTATTCGCTGGCAAAGAAGTACTCATGAAAATGGCTGGTGATGTCCATGTCATCTCTGCCCGTCGCATTGCGCATTGCGCTCGACTTTGGTCGGTTTTATACCATCGCCCGCAATTATTTACGACCCGAGCGTCTGCCTTTTTACGGAGGATGCAATGGAGCCATCGTAAAATGACGCCGACCGCACCCGGAAAAGTGGGGTCATGACCGTCAGCTCGGAGGGACAGAAACATGTCGCGAGGACTTGGATTTACCCCTCTGGACTTGCATTGGGTCTGCTGCACATGCCGAGTGTCCAAGTACATCTGCAACCAAATTTCCATGCTGCCTATCAACTATTCTTACATCGTCATGCTATTCGTTCAGCCAACACCTGAGCTATGCCGTGCCCACAGTAAACGCCGCACAAAGTCCAAGCAGTATGCCATCGCCGGGCACTCAGGACCTATTAATCGTCAGCGGCTTGAAGGGCTTCCTCAGCCGGTCTATCGGTGCAATGCCCCTTTCCTTCTTCAACACCGCAGGCCTCTTGAACCCCCCAAAGCCATTCGTAGTCGTGGTCGCGTGTAAGCAGCTCGCCGGCCGTTCCCGGAGCGGGGGTGGCTCATTTGTGTCGTGGTTTTCCTTGTCGGGAGACTTTGGTCGAGGCGGGGAGCTCGAGAAGTTTGTGTAGTGTTTCTTTGGTCCTGAGGTGCCATCGAAAGTTGGTCTAGCCGGCTTGGCGGGTAGTTTCCCCTGTCCGAGCCGGTGACCACTCAGGCTTGGCTCGATGGCCGGCGCAGGTCGTTGCGCTTGGTGCAAGTTGGGCAGCTCGTGGAATGCTGATCGTGGCTTGGGAACGAGTGGAAGACGTGTCGACAGAGAGGCTACATCCGATAGATCGGACTTCGCCCTCTTCACGAATCCCAAAAGACTCCGCTGGTCAGCCGGCCGTTTCGTGGTTCCCTTCCTGGGCCCGGCGGCCTTCGAATCTCCGGGATCGTTCCGCTGAGCCGATGCAGCGATATCCCTCGCAGCGGCTAGCATCTCCCGTGCCGCGCTTGCAGTTGTGAAGCCTGGCAAAGTGAAGTTGGAAGCACTGTCCATTGTTGTAGATGTATGCCAGGTGGGTATCGGCTGGGAATCACCCTCTTCTGCTGAAGTTGCCTGCGCCCGAGGGCGTCTTTGCGCCCAGGGCCTATGTCTTCCACCTGTAACCCCCTCGCCAAAGGAGTTTTCCGGATCTTCGGGATACAAGTTGTCCTCGGGCCGTTCCATGGGCGGCATGTCCTTGTACACCTTCTCTTGCGTGGGAACGGCAGACTCCCTTCGGAGAATGCGCCCCATCTCTTGGAGGATCCCGGGTTCGAAAGATGGACCCGTTTTCCTAAAATACGGGTGAATCTCTGATGGAACGAAAGGTGATAGTTCGGTGCGCTCGCCCCCATTTCCTCCATTCTGCGAGCTGTACATTGGACAACTGAGGTAGAGGAGCGTCTGCGCCCGCGTCATGGCTACATAAAGCAGCCGCCGTTCTTCGTCGAGATCCTCGGACCTCATGTGTGGGATGGATCCATTGTACACTGCTGGGACAAAGACAAGGGGCCATTCAAGGCCCTTGGCTGCGTGTATAGTTGAAATGGTTACCGTTGGCTTGTTCTCTGTATCCCCCTTTTGCTGCGCATCCGACGCCAAGGAGACATTTGCCAAGAACCGACCAAGAGCATCATTTTCTTGCACCTGTTGGACTCCGTCGATCACTGGGAGACAATCCTCCTCTGCCGTGGCGCTCAGATCTCGCATGAAATCGCCCGCCAGGCTGATGAATTCCTGGACGTTGGCCCATCGCGCCTCGTGCTCTTCGGGGTAGTTTTCCTGAAGGTACTTTTGAAAGTTGAGCTGCGAAAGCAGATTCTGGATCAGATCGACCAAATGGTAGTACGGGCTTCCGGTAGGAGGCTCCTCAATCTTTCTTCTAATTCCAGAGATCAGTCTAAGAAGCTCTCCGCTAATCTTTTGCTCCATTGCCTTCTTGATGTTCGTCTTTGCCTGGCGCTCTCCCCGACAGTGCTTGTTTAGCAACACCCAGACACTTAGCTTCGAACTCTCGGCTTCTTCTAGGAGGGACTTGATAGTTGTCTCTCCCACACCACGGCGGGGTACGTTGATGATACGGGCCACTGCATCGTTATTGTCGGGCTGGTGAATGACGCGTAGATAGTCAAGAATCACCTTGACCTCGGCGCGCTCGTAGAACTTGAAACCGCCAACCATTCGGTACGCAATACCTGCTTTGCCTAGAGAGGATTCGACGTGCCTGGAAAGCGACGCCGACCGCAGGAGAATGGCGACGTCATCGTAGGTCAGCATCTTGCCAGCCATCAGAAGGGCTCTTTTGATTTCCGACACAATCCATTCGGCCTCAATGGCTGAAGACTTGAGTCTTCGAAGGACTGGTCGCGTGCCTTTGTTGTGGATTGGCAACAGGACTTTTTGGTAGCGTTTTTTGTCTTGCTGAATAACTTTCAAGGATACGTCCAGAATCGCTTGCGATGAACGATAGTTTTCCTCTAGCGAGATCTCGTCGGCTTTAGGATAGTCCTTGAGAAGACGGTACAAGTTCTTGATCTCGGCGGACCGCCAGCCGTAGATGCTCTGGTCCGGGTCTCCCACGATAGTGATTCGTTCTCGTGCCTGAGCAAATAGCCTCATGAGTTCGTATTGGATACCGTTGGTGTCTTGATACTCGTCAATAAGCACAGCCTGGACGTTGGCAACGCAAGAAGGATGCTTTCGAAGCAGCTCCACACATTGAGTCAAGAGGTCGTCGTAATCCAGCAGATTCGACCGCTGAAGGTGGCTTTGATATTCTCGAAAGCAAGTTTCCAAGTCGCGATTTTCGGGCATTTGCTTGCCATGCCGTTTTGATGGCGTCTGATTGTCGCCTCTGGCCTTTTTCTTGCTGATCCATGATCTTGCAGCCGGAGGGTCTACTGATAGCTGGAATCGTTTGCAAATTCGCTGGATGATGGACCTTGAGTCTGCATCGTCGGCGATGGCGAACTTTTCATCAAGGCCGATGCGCTTGCCGTAGGCAGCCAAGTAGCGGCGAGCAATGCTGTGAAACGTGCCGAGAACGATTCTCCTTCCACGGTCATCTCCAAGGGCCTTGCAGATGCGTTCCTTCATCTCCCGTGCGGACTTGACGGTAAAAGTGGCGACAATCATGTCAGTGGGTGCATATCCGACATTGTCCACGAGCCAAACAACACGAGAAGTCAAGGTGTGCGTCTTGCCACTTCCGGGGCCAGCCAGGATGGCGACAGTGGCATTGTTTGACGTGACGGCGCGACATTGTGCTGGGTTCAACGTAGCCAGGATGGATTCGGCCGGGCCTGGGGCCGAACTTGACGAGGCCATTGTTGGAGAGCGATCATTGGCGGAATACGGTCATGAAATGCAAAGATTGATATCCAGGAGGTGGTTAACAAGTGAATGCTCCACCTAAGATCGTCTCCCGGTGAAGAGAGCCGCGTCCTATGGCTCAGTTGACGCGTCTGACTGTTGCGTACCCGCGGCGCCAGCAGCCAAGTCGACATCGCGGTACCTGGCACGGCATCAGGTGAATCATCACGTGCTTCTTATCCCTGCCAAGGATCCCTCGCCGCGCACGTGCATCTGCAGATCAGCATGGCGCCGCGACCCACCTGCCCCGACCTCGCACTGAAGCAGCAGGTGGAGCGCTCCCACCCTGCTGCCCTCCCACACCTGCTCGCTAAACTCTCTTCGATGGCTTCTTCCTCTCCGACTCACCCACTGAGACACGAACCTGAAAATCCACCCAGCCACCGGGCTACCCGACAGTTCAGTTTGGCTTCTTCGTTGCTTCGATACCTCCTCCTCACCCGCTCAGGCAAAGAATGCTCTTCTGCGGCAATCATGGACAGGTTTCAATAGGCGGTGCAGTCACAGCGCTCGGATCCGGATGCAGACGCCGACTGCTTGTTAGTTGAGCTCCGCGGGGTGAATACCACAGCCCCCTTTTCTATGCCAAGACTATCTATCATACGGGCGCCGATTCGACAGGCTGGCTTTTGTTTCCTCGATCAAGAGTCCCATCCCGCTGTTTCCATCACACCCAGACCGATTGGAGGGTGTATTGAGCAACGCTCCATTGGGTAAAGCGAATAAGCATCGCTCGGGCAAAGTCTGTTTCCCTCTCTCCCTGCTTTGATGACTCGCGAAGGGTTGTTCGCTACCCGCCGAAAGCGAACGGACAATCGCCCGTGCTCGCCCAAGGTTTTCCCCTCCGTGCTGGATGAGCAAGAAGAACAACTCAACGGGCAAAGACAAAGTCAACGTTCCATCGGTCTATTGGAGAAGAACGGTCTCGGTCCTATCACGGTGATGAAGTTCCGATCATCACGCTTTAATGCTGCTCGTAATGTGAAGTCACACTTGGGCAGAAATCCCATTCGAGGACGACTGTGATGCGATGCCCCAGAAGGCAAGGTCAGTGCAATAACGTTGCGCCCTATTGCAGCAGCTCATGCGGTCAGAGGGAGATAGTGACGGGGCTGACGCAGGGGTGGCCCTCCCGCTGCCGGGACTTGGACCTGGAATTGGGGACTGGATCGATTCGCTTGTTCCTTTCAACAACCGAGCGACAGGACGAGAAGCGAGGACGACAGGTGGGACGCCTGAGCAGCTGACCCGGGAATCGCTCCCTTCCCCCCCCTCTCACCACTGTTCACGACAAACCACAGTGATATCAACTCTCAGTGGTCAACCATTCTGGGGCCCTGGCCGACGGGACATTACCCTACAACGACGAATTGAGTTGGCAGCGTCTTGTCGAGGGTGGCACGGCGCGGGGTTAGATGTGACGAAGCAACCCAATCAGGCCCCCGGCCGCCATCCTCGGCGCTTACGGCCCCCTGCCATCACGTCGATCCGTCCAACCACATCTCGGGAAGCCCTTGATGCTCCCGCCTCGTGTGCAGACGACATTAATAGCCACGAGCCATTCTGGGCGCTATTATGTCGTCGCCATCATGCAAGTGCGACCGCTTCGCAGGAGTCGTGCCTGGGTGTTCAGCAAGTCAGAGTCCAGAGCACACGGCCAGCGCCAATCTCGACGCACTGCCGAACCTCACCAGCCGCTATATACCCTTTGTACGCCGCATATCCGTGCTTTTCCATGTAACTTCTCCATCAACATGTGTTTCGGACCCTCCTCCAGGAGGTAAGATCATCAAAGCTGGATTTGACTTTTAAAAAGAGTTGCGGTGTCCTCACCACCTCGCCATGAAACCCGTCCAAGCCCTTCTCAACTCGTGTCCTCAGCTTCACTTCTTAACCTTTCTTCTTTTTTTCTTCTTCTGCAGCAGCAGCCCCATCACACTCGCGGCCCCGCCTGTTCATGAGACTCGCAACAACAACCCGTTAAATATTGATTGGGATCCCGCACCGTCACCCGAGGACGGACCACCTGCATCTGCAAATGCTCTGAGAGATCCCGCATATCTCCCTTACCAAATCGGCGCCATCGTCGGATCCTACGGAGTATCATTGGTGCTGGTCGCCTGTTTGTTGCTCGTACTATCGAAAAGACGTCGCGAAGCCCTCACTGCTGGTGACGACGAGGTGAACTTTGAAGTCGGTATCGAAGACCTGCTCTACGAGGCGTCGTCACCCCCGAAGCTTACCCTCGAGGTGCCGAGCTCGCCCAGGAGCATACTCAGGAGTCACGTTCGCGACTTCTCGTATCCCGGTGTCGAGGAGTACCAGACGCTAGAATACCAAACTCCCCAGACTCCCTACATCGCCCCAACATCAACGTCAACACTTCAAGCGCCCGGAGTAGACTTTACCGTTGATCAGAGAATTGTCGCCAAAGACAAGGAAATGGCGCAAACGCAACTTGAGGAGATGTACAAGTACGTGATGGAGCAGGAGGAGGCTAAGCTGCAGGGCATTAAGCTGGAGGGGTCGCCGGTACTTACAGCCAACGCTCAGCTTCCGACACCGACAAACGCCAGTTTCAGCAAGTCGTCATTGAGGAAGGAAAAGCACAAGCCAGGCAACTTGAATCTGGCAGAGGAAAAGCCAGAGAAGAAGCAGTCAAGAGCGTCCTCCATCTTCTCGGCCCTGCGGTCGCCCAAGAAGAACAAGGATGTTCGGGGTATCAGCATTTCGTCGCCCATCATGACACCCATGACGGGAACTTTCCCGAGACCGGAGGCTCAAGAGATGAATGCCATTCCGCCGCGGCAGTACGCGCCACCCCCGCCTCCACCGGTCCCCATGAGCCAGATGCCGTACGGGGTGTACCAGCAAAACGGCCAGGTATCACCTGTCAGCCCGGACCACTCGCCGGAGAGCACCCAGAGCATCGACGAGCGGATCGGGGGTCAGATCCCCATCGGACACACCCGCAAGCCGTCGGCAGCGCCATCTGAAATGGATCCCAACTCGGCGGTCTCGGAGAGATCGACCGCGCCGCTCATCGGTCTCCCGCAATCCCCGAAGCCGGGTGCCCGGTTCAGCTCCACACTGCCTTCGTCCCCGAAACCGGGGTCTTCATTCCAGATCCCCGCCTCCCCCAATCCAGGGGCCGGGTTCCGATCTAAGGCCCCGTCGGCGGTCCGTACTGGTGGATCCCTGCCTCTCCGCGCATACGAACCTGCGCTCAGCTCGCCATCGCTGTCATCGCAGACCACCAAGCAGACCGTGTTCACGCGCACGGGACCTCTGTCGCCTTCGGGAGCCCGCACGCCGGCAACCGGCATGGCGGTGCCGTACTCGCCTTATCAGCCTTTCACACCCTGCGTGCCCATGACTCCGTCACTTGTTACTAAAGCTGACCGGAAGAGGATGAAGAAGCTGGAGCCCAAGACGCCGACGTTGGAGATGGTCAGAAGCGACGATGACATATGGTAAACGGAGTGGGGGTTTCCGGGGTACAAAAGGGGAAAAATACCTATATAGACTGTGGACACGCAAAGCAGGCCTCGCGGGCGACCGTAGGATAATGTCATGATGAAATGTTTTTCCCTTGGAAACGAGACGAGAAAGAGAGACGTTTCTCGGCGTTGGCTCTTGGATGGGTCCTAGTTCTTGGTCGGGTGTATTCTTATCGCGTACACTCTAAATACCATCGTGCAGCGCAGAATTGGGAGGGGGGAAGTCATAGTCGTTGATCACAGAGTTTACGACATGACTCAGGTCGCGCGTGACAAATGGAAGAGGAACTGGCATGCCTCTGGAACGAGATCATCTAGCATCCAGGTATTTCATAATTAGGGTTTTTTTCTCTGTCCTCTTCGCATTCTGCATTCTGCATTTCAGGGTTCTTGCTGTGCGTGTCAAGGATGAACAAGTGTTTCAGATGATCCAAACGGAGGGTGAGGATTGTGTCGTGTCTCAGAGGGGGGAGGGGTAGTAAGTAGTTGGTTCAGGGTGAGGTGATAGCCAGCCTGTGTTATTGATCGGCAGGCGGCGGGTACTTTGAGGTTAACTGATGACTGCTTCCGATGCGGAGGCGACATGGTCCGGACTTTTTGGATACGGCTCTTTGTGGGTTTGCTGGAGACGTTGGAGCACGAGGCAAAACGGGCAGTGGGGGTTGTTAGAGACGAGGTCAAGCGTGTTTGCGGGGGGTTGCTTGGGTCTTGGGTCTTGGGTCCTGGTGCGTCGCGGCAGGCTCAAGCATGGTGAGTCGCAGCCATGCTCCATTGTGAGACACGCTCGCCGAGGCGCTGGATGAGAGGGCGAGGTGCAATGGACGAATGGGAGACTGAGAGCGAGAGTGCTGAGAGCGAGAGTGAGAAGCAGAGACAGCGGGCGACACGGTCCACAAGTCGAGGACACGGCCCGGGTGAAGGGCATGAAGCACCAGAAGGACCGTGACGCGAGCGCGGCCGCGAGGGGAAATAGTCAGAGAGACATTACCTCCGTGGAGACACGAGAAACGCACTGCGGAAAGAAACCGAGGAGCGAAAGCTAGGGCAAGCCACAGCTGCTTTCAGCCTTTCAGCACCGGAGATATTGGAACTAGCAAGTTCTAGCTACGGCTGATGTCTCTGGATTCGTGAGGCGAATTATCTTTCTTTCTTCAGTGTCTCGTTTTGTGATCCGGCGACCCAGCGCTACGGCGAGCGCCGGTGAGAGTCTTGGCCCTCGAGGAACCAAGATCAACAACGAAGCAGAGGCCTCTTCAAGCCTGAAGGGAAATGGTGGACCGCAAATGAAGTGTGGAGACGCGGAAAGGTTAGGGCAGAAAAATGCCCGCCGTCATCATGGGACACCCATCGAGCTGAGCTGAGATGGGTGGTGATCCTGGCTGGCTGGTGACTCTGGGCATTGAAGAGGAGCTGAGCTACGAGTACGCATAAGTACAGTGTAAGGGTCGACAAGTGAGGAGACTGAAGACGAGGACGGATTTGTGGACAGCGCTTGCAGTACAAACTCTGCACAGGAATTCCACAGGAATTTAGGATCCAGTGTCAAGCGATAGTTTCGGTCCGTATCTGCAGACAGCATGTGGAAGCGTTCGACTACTAAGGAGTTCCCAGCTCGCGGGTGGCACCCTCTCATCCGGGGTATGAAGTCTCACACACTTCTCTTGCTCTGTAATCTCATACTGTCGGTAGTTACTCCCACGGTGCTGTGTCTCTTGGCCGTAAGTGGCGTTTCTTGAGCGGGGGGAAGCCATGGAAGATGAGCGATGCATGTTCTGAAAGAGAGCAGACAGTGAGAGAGAGGGCGGCCGGCGTGGTGTTCCTGGTCCCCCGGGCCCTGTTCTATCCGGCATCTCCCAGCGTTGATCCAAACTGACCATACTTTTGGCGTCCCACCTGGTTCTGATGAGTGAGGTCTCGCTCATCTGCCTTCCCTGGTACGCTTGGGTGGGTGGTGCCCGAGGTAAGGTCGACAAGGTACCAGAAGAGAGTCAGGGCGGACGGGCGAGCGGGTAGACGGGACGAGGTATCATCTCATATTAAATAACGTGTGAGGATACGTACCGGCTGTCAAAGTGCGAGTGGACCTCAATCTCAAGCCCTTTTGTTTCTTGGCGGCGTGGCTGCCAGCCGGGACTACGCCTGTACCACTGCTGGCAGCCGGCGGCATTGGCAAGGCAGGAGTGGTCGAGGGCTGCGAAGCATGCGAAGCAGAGACGTATCGACGGCGGCAGTACGTACCCTCGATGGTCGACCAAACGTGGGAGAGGGGAAGGGGGGGGAGGGAGAGAGGGGACGGGCTAAGGCACCTTACCGGCTTACCCTACAGTCTACGTACCTGACTGAGATGGGCACGTACGGGCAGGGACGGGTGGTGGTCTGGGCTCCTGTGGTTTCTGGGCTCATATCAGGCGTAGTTTGTAGATAATCGTACGATGCTCCCCCGTTTCCTTCCCTTTCCCAAGTTTCTGCTTCCCTCCTTCGCACTTTCGATCCTCCCACCCGATTCGATTCCCGATTCCTACCCTCCAGTTCCTGTCCACCCATTGACAATTTGGTAGGTATCGAGCATCTCGAATCTCTACAGAGTCCGAGTATTCTCTGCATGTTGATTGTGCATGCATCGGAAAGGAACATCAAGCAGCATCAGTAGCAGCAGCACTACTACCACCACCACCACTACCACCAGCTCTCACTCTGGGAACCACTTAACACCCGCCCCTCTCTTCTTCCCTCCCTCGACCTGCACCCCCCAGCAAGTCAAGTCGCATCCTTGAGGAAAAATAAGGCGCCGCAAAACCAGACCAGCGTCATACGACTTCGACCCTCGAGCTTGTTTTCCCTCTGGGTCTTTCCGTCCTGCCTCCCGGCTGACACCACGCCTCCCTCCCCGTCTGTCCATCGCCTTCTGCCGACAGTCGTACGACCGGACATTCTTCCCGCTGCCACCACGCCGCTGATTGCCGTCAATTGCTGCTCGCAGTCCGACACTCGCGCCTACCGACACAACCAATCTCTGGCCCCTGCGGCCTCGTCGACCGATCCCGTCGCTCTTCGCCGGCCACTCACATCGAGTCCCGCTCCAGAGTCGGGACCTGGCCCCCATTCCCAGCGCGGAGCGCACCCAAGAATCCCAGGGCCGAACCGCCTTCCATGAATTGAGCATCAGCCCATAGTTGCATATTTGACCGCTCTGCAACATGGCGGACCAGGATCCCAACACCTTATTTGGCCTCGACGACGCGAACCTAGGCGTCCCCCCGTCGTTCCTAGACGATTCCGACCGCCAGAACGTCAAATCCGACCGAACTGGATCCAACATCGCCAGCGATAACCAGGCCTACTACGACGCAAACAATTGGTCCTTTCAAGACACCCCCCCGTACGATTCCTACAACATCGCTGCCGTCACCACCGTCGCTGGCACCACTCCTCTATTCCAAACTGCCGCTCCGTGGGACTTCTCTCCGAACCAGCACCAGCAACATCAGCACGGCCTTCCGACCGTCACGTCCGGCCTTGATCAGTCGACCCTCGCCCAGGCTGGCTTCTATGCCGCTCCCACTCCCGCCCCCAACAACCAGCAATCCCACCGAGGAGGCCAACACCACACCCTCCCGCAAGAGACTCTGAGCCTCCTGACTCCCGCCCAGCAGGAAAAGCTCAGAAACATCGCCATGCCCGCCCATCTTCAGTATCAATCTCCCAAGAGCGAGCCGAGCCCCGGATCCGCCACCAGCGACCACAAGGCAGCAGGACTGTCGTCTCCCGATGCCCACGACTCCAGCAAGGCCAGCAGGAAGCGCAAGTCTTCGGCCGAAGTCGATGACGATGAGGAGGAGGATGAAGATGGTCAGCCCATCAAGAAGACAGCTCATAACATGATTGAGAAGAGGTATCGCACCAACCTAAACGACAAGATTGCCGCCCTTCGAGATAGCGTCCCCAGTCTGAGGATCATGTCCAAGAGTGCCAGGGGAGAAGACACGACTGAGGACCGCGAGGAACTTCACGGCTTGACGCCGGCCCACAAGCTCAACAAGGCTACAGTAAGCTGGGAACAAGATATACGCTGATGAGACTTTGACTGACAAATCCAGGTTTTGAGCAAGGCCACCGAGTACATACGCCATTTGGAGAAAAGGAATAACCGCCTCTGCGATGAGAACCACGCTATGCAGGCTAGAATAGCTGCCTTTGAGAAGCTCTTCATGGCCGGTGCGATGAATGGCGCAATGAGCCCCCTCCAGCAACCGCCGACTCCAATGCAGTACCCCCAGGACCAGTACATGAGCACTCCCATCGGAACGCCACGCGGCGAGTCAGCCCAAGGTATGATTCCCGTGCCCGACGACATGAAGCGCATTATCTCTGCTCAAATGGCGGCTGGTCAACCGTACCCTATGCCACAGCAAGGATACCGCGGAAATCCCACTGCCATGCGACACCAACAAATCCAACAGCAGCAGCAGCAGCAGATGCAGCAACAGGGACGCTGGGGCAACAGCAGTCAATATTTCGGCAAGTTGATGGTTGGCTCGCTGGCCGGCCTGATGATCGTCGAGGCCGTGCGAGAGAGCGAGCAGAGCAACGAGTCGCCCGAAGGGCGTGGTCTCTTTGCCATGCCTATCCAACTGCTCAGTTATCTCGGATCGACTTCTCACATGCACATTGGCGGTTACTATATCTCTCCAGCTCAGATCATCTCTCATCTGAAAATTTTGTTTTTCCTTGGCACTTGCTTGTGGGTCTTTGTGCCCTCGCTCTTTGTACCATCTGAGAAGAAACCCAAGAAGGCGCAGCGTCTTCGAGAGTCGCTGCAGGCCGCTGGGTCCGTCGCATCCCCGATTCATGTTCGTCGCCAGGCTTGGTTGACGGCTATTCAGACCGTCTGGGTTCCTCAGCACAACTTCTTCCTTGAAGCCGCAGCTCTGATCATGAAGACGATGAAGCTGAGCATGCGCAATGCTATTGGTGTCCACGGCTACCAAATGCTCACTGGTCTCACCGAAGAGCAAGAGGCTGCGCGTGTCAAGGCTTGGTCGATCGCGTTGGACGCTCAGCTCGCCGGAGGCGATGTTGAGATCAACAAGAGCCGTCTGACCCTTACTCTCTTGGCATCAGGCACCCTTCCCGATACTCCCTCCCGACTGATGCTCAAGGCTCTTCATGTTCGTGTACTTCTTTGGGACCTCGGTGCCAAGGGACTTCACAACATTGTTGCCAAGAAGGTCGCCCGCTCTTTGTGGAATGAGGCGAGGAACCAGAACCGCGTGCTCACGCAGTTGCGCCGTAACTCTGAGCAGGTTGACGACGATCTTCCCGAGCACCTAGCTGCCCTCATTGAGCAGGAATGCGACGAAGTCCTCAACAACAGTGTGGTCCAACGAGCTTACAACTTGGCGTGGAACTTGTCAACCACCGAGGGAGTCACTGAGCACAACGACGGGATGGACACGGTTGTCGACGACCAAGCGGTACGGTCGCCCCTAGATGCTGTTGCCGCCTGGTGGTCCAGCCAAACCATTCAGCGCGCCCTGATCACCAGTCTCGAGGCAAGCAAGGACGACGGTGATGCCCCGAGAGTAGTGTCGACCTGCTTGGCCACCGCGCTCAAGACTTCTCCTATTGGCTCCGTGGTGCAGGCGCGTGCTCTGGTGGCCCGCGCCGTGCTCGTTGACGAGAAGCGAGGAGCCAACATTGCCGCTGCTCTTCAGAACATCAAACCGACTAGCGAACAAAAGTCTCTCAGTCAGATCGCCGCCATCATCGACTTGTCGTCTATCGCCCAATCGCCTGATGTACAGATGGCGCTCGACTGTGCCATGGCGATTGCCCATCTCCAGCGCGCAAAGTTGTCGGCTGCTCCGTCCCAAAGGGGTTTCGGAATCATCGAGAAGATTGCACGTCCCAGCGCCACCGCCCACATGTCACTCCTCGGATGCACCGCTCTCTTCAAGCTCATGGAGGAGCTGTACGCACACCAATCGTCCTCCGAAAGCTTCAACACCTCTCTCGAGCGCGTCGCCGGCAGTCTACGTATTTGGATTGGCAGTGCCCCTGGCGAAAAGTGTGGTCTCGAGCAGGATGTCCGTCACAAGATGGTAGACCGCTGTCTCAGTATCACCAAGAGCGTCGTCGGCATGGAGACTGACACGGGGTACGGCAGTATGAGCGAGTGTGATGAAGACGGCTGCTGACGGGGGGTGTATATTTGGTATATCGAGAGGCATCATCTCCCCTTATTACATACTAGATGCATTTTATTTCCTTGTTTGTTGTACTTTTCTACGGACAGGGCATGGGGCTTGGCGTCACTATTGGGGAGGATGTATGTCTTGGACTGGCGTTTATGCAGGGGAAGCAACGAGACTAACGGCTGGAAAAGGATGGGGCCAGCGGATTTTGCATGAGCAGAGACGGGATGTCGCATCTGACTGAGATTGACCCCCCACGTGGACTGTCATGGAATGGGACAGGTGAAGGACGGTACGGTCTGGGGATACACACAAGTCGGCTCCAAAAGTTGCGATGGAATTTCTCTTTCTCTATAATACGCGGGCCATGGGGTGTGCCATTATGTAGAATCAATATCGACGATGTACTCGTTGCATACAATCTGTTATCTGGAATCCGTTTGTGGACGATGGTAGGCCTGGAAGATGGTAGGCCGCAGCGGGGGGGGAGGCGTCCTGGAGCTTTATCCCGTTCCAGCCAGCTGCCCCCGTGAGGGTTGCAACGAGCGGCATACCACTTCGTCATGGAGGAGGGCATAGGCGACTTTCCCCTTTCAATAACGGTGGAATGGCAACACACTCTGCTGGAGTTATCGAACATGGATATGAACAAGGTGATGTGAGGTGGATACCTTACGGTTAAAACGCGACATATGGTGTTTTTTTTTTTCAAAGACGTGACGGATGTTGTTGATATTTTCTAGGACGATATGGCAAGACTATGAATGGGACTGGGCAGTGTTCAAGGGGAGACGCCGAGCGCCCGAGGAGCGGGACACGGGAGGGGATGAGATGGGACGAATTGGATGGGGTGGTTATTTAGTGAGAAGCTAGTACTCTTTCTGCATTCGCACCTCTCAGCAGTAAGGGAACTTGGAAGGCCAAGTACCTCGAGGTGCTGAGAGTTATCGGTGTTCCTCGGTGCGGCAGTCGATGGGCGGGACCCGCTTATTCCTCCCTTAGGTAAGGTCCCTCAGGTAATCGTGGGTACGTCTCCACCTTGCAAAGAAAGGTGCATGAGACCGGGAACCCCGACCCGGCCAAAGATACCGGTAGGTAAACAAGACACCACTACAGGTAGATACCCAGTCACCAAGTCACCCGCACAGTGACATCGCACTGGACACTGGACCTTGGCAATCAAGGGACGGGGGACGGATAGCTGAGGCAGGGAGACGGACAGTCACACAGGCGAAGAACCGCACTAGAGTCTGCTAGCAGCAACGGCCGCTAGACTTATCGGATCCGAACGGCAAACCCAACGTCGTGCCTGTCCGCCAGGCACCTGATATCCAGAACGGGAACGGCGACAGGGCCTTTTGGTAGGTAATCGAGAGAGGTTGCAGCAATGGCCTGCTAGAACGGGTCTTGAGTGCCGCCCGACATGTGAGTTGTTATCGGCCCCCTTGAAGAATACATACAGCACGTATCTGACGCCCACGAGCCTACCTTTATCACAGGATCCTTGCTCTATCCGTACAGCGAAAGGGCGGCGGTTAGCTGTAGCATTGGACTTGTCAAGTCATCCCTCGGCTCTTCAACTCGATATTAATGTTGTCTTATCATCCAACCCGTGGCCCGCCGCTGAGGCTGAGGTCGAACCCCAAGCCAAAGATGCTGACAAGTGCCAAAGCCGGGGAAATGTCTTGGGAGGGAGGCGGTTGTTTAGTCTTGCTGCTTGCCACGAGCTGGACGCTCCTTCGAGCGAGGCATCTGCGATGCGAACACCCCGACAGCCTAGTTCACGCTTCTCCTCCTTCATGCCAATATCGAATCGGAGCTTATCCTGCCGAGGAGATATGCCCTCCCTCACGATCCTCACCCTCCAAAGCCAGGACCGGCCTGCCCAATGGCGATAGCGACTGACCCCAAACTGCAACTCCCCGCATCCTGAGGGCCACACACCACAATCTCCATCTCCAATCAGACGCCGACACCACCGGGTGCCATGTGACGCAAGATTGCATCTGGCAAGGGCAAATGCCCATCTCTCAGACTGGCTCGTCACTTTTCCTCTTGACATGAGAGTTGACCGCTCGCTACCTCGCTCCCTCGCTGGCCCTCGCTGCTCTCTATTTCCTCTAGCTTGTTTGCTGCCCTGCTTTCCCATCAAGCATTGAGCATCAAACCCCTGACCTTCTCACTTGGGGATACCACCTGCCAGCTAATCCATGTTGCGCAGCCCTTCAGGAGGCACGGACAAATCATCATGTCCGAACCATCGGCATACTTTCCCCTTCTCATGGGACCGGCATTATGATGGCCAGGTACCCGAACTGTGTGTTAATCAGAGGTTCGGCTAGCTCCCAGGAGCTCCAAGAGCACGGAGGGGAAGAGACGATGGCTACGAGCTCTTCAAGGCGGGCCATAAAAGAGCGGGCGATGCGCCATGTTTCCTGTGGTTCTCGAGCTTGGAGCCTGAGTCACAGACCGACTGCCCACGATGCCTCGCCATTATCGTTCTGGCCTTGAGCTGCCTCGACGCTCGTTCGTCGCTGTCTTTTCTTTGATTTCGTTCGTGCTGCTTGTCACCATCGGCCTCTCCCAGCTCGGAGCTCGACAAGGCCCCACCCTACAGTTTGAACGTAATGCCAAGGGAGAGTGGCATGCCAAAGCCAAGACGCGTGCCGCGCCGGCGGGCGATAAGTACCTCCTCGGTGTTGGCAAGGCTGACATCACCGGCCCTGTCGTCGAGGTCGGCTTTGCAGGATACGCCGATCTAAGCCAGGTTGGGACCGGCTTAAGACAGCGTATTTACAGCCGTGCGTTCATCGTCGGCGATGTGAGCAAGCCGAGCGATCGGTTCGTGTATCTTGTGCTAGATACCCAGAGTGGTGACACTGCCGTTCGAAAAGGCATTCTCGAGGGGGTTGCGGCTCTTGGATCTGGATACTCTGTGTACACCAAGGACAATGTTGCCGTGACGGGCACTCATAGCCACGCCGGTCCAGGAGCTTGGTTCAACTACCTTTTGCCGCAGGTCACCAGCTTGGGTTTCGACAAGCAGAGCTATCAGGCTATTGTTGACGGCGCGGTTCTCTCCATCCAAAGGGCGCACGAGTCTCTGACAGAGGTACGTTGGCCGTCTTTGGCAGCGGCAACTTTGGGTTGACACTCCTAGGGATACCTCGACATCGGAACCACCGAAGTCACTGACGGCGCCATCAACCGCAGTCAATGGGCCTACCTGAATAACCCCGCGGCAGAGAGGGCCAAGTACAGCGCCAGTACTGACACAACCCTGACCCTACTCCGCTTCCAACGCGCTTCCGATGGCAAGAACTTGGGCGTCCTTACGTGGTACCCAACCCACGGCACGTCGATCCTCCAAAATAGTACGCACGTTGCGGGCGACAACAAGGGTGTCGCTGCGTATCTTCTTGAGAAAGACCTCGCGAGCGACGCGAGCGCTGCGCCGGGATTCGTGGCCGGCTTCAGCCAGGCGAATGTTGGTGATACGACACCCAATGTGCTCGGCGCCTGGTGCGATGATGGTTCCGGACAGCAGTGTAGTCTGGAGAACAGCACCTGTGCTGATGGCAAGAGCCAGTCGTGTCATGGAAGAGGACCTGCATTCCAGAAGCTGGATCTGGGTATCTCGAGTTGCTACGAGATTGGACGTCGGCAGTATGCTGGCGCCAAGTCTGTCTATGTAAGTCATGAGCCTGACGGGGATGCAACATATTGGCTAATCCTGCTTATCAGAATGCTCTTGCTACATCCTCCACCCCCATCACTGGCACCAGCGTCAAGTCTTTCCACTTCTTCCAAGATATGTCCTACTTCAAGTTTCCCCTTGCAGACGGTACCACCGGCCAGACCTGTCCTGCCGCCCTCGGCTACTCCTTCGCCGCGGGAACCTCTGACGGCCCCGGCGCCTTCGACTTCACCCAGGCCGACTCTGGCACCCCCGATGCCAACCCCCTCTGGGCGGTCGTCTCCGGTCTCCTCAAGGCGCCCAGCGCAGAGCAGGCTGCCTGCCAACAGCCAAAGCCTGTGCTGCTGGACGTCGGCGAGATGAGCGCCCCGTATGCTTGGAGCCCTAACACTGTCGACATACAGATGCTTCGCGTCGGGCGGTTGGTCATCATCATAGCGCCTGGCGAGGCCACAACGATGAGCGGGCGGAGATGGAAGGCTGCTGTCAAGGAAGCCGCAGAGAGTATCATTGACGAGGAGCCCCTTGTTGTCCTTGGTGGCCCAGCCAACACCTATGCCGTAAGTCTTGTGCGGCACATTTCCCGTACTGCTACTCAGTCACTGATACATGCCAGCACTACATCGCAACTCCAGAAGAGTACGCCATCCAGCGGTACGAAGGCGCTTCGACCCTCTTCGGACCCAACACTCTCCCGGCCTACATCAACCTCACCGTCTCCAACATCGCCTACCTCTCCCCCTCCTCTACATCCACACCGGCAGCAGGTCCCTCGCCCCCAGACAACCGCGACAACTCCCTCTCCTTCATCACCGGAGTCGTCTTGGACGGCACGCCGGCGGGCCGCTCCTTTGGGCAGGCCATTGTCCAACCATCGGCGTCGTACACGAGCGGCGCGGTGGTCAACGCCACGTTCCAGGCGGCGAACCCGCGGAACAACCTGCGGCTCGAGGGGACGTACGCCGCGGTGGAGCAGTTGCAGAGCGGCAAATGGGTGCAGATCAGGACCGACGCGGATTGGTTCCTTGTGTATACGTGGACGAGGACGAATTTCCTGCTCGGGTATAGCGAGGTTGTGATTAGTTGGGAGACCGGGGCCAGTGATGGGGCTGGGCCGGGAACGTATCGGATCAAGTATTATGGTGATTCGAAGCCTTTGATTGGGAGTATTTCGGCGTTTGAGGGGACGAGTGGGAATTTTACGTTGGTTTAGGGGAGGGGGTCTTGGTGATGATTTTGAATCATGGGGGAGTGGGTTTTCGTAGTGGTGAATTGTATTGTCTTTTTTTTTCTCGTGAATGTCTCCCGCCTTGCTCTGTCTACCTGTGAGCTGGTTTTGAAGGCTCGTAAGCATCGGATGGACTGGGCAGTACGACACAGCGAGATGTTCATTGGACGGACCCATGCTGCTTTGTACAATGTAGGTGTTTGTTGAAATCAAGTGGTGGATTCAAGGCGGATCCGGGGAGCAAGCTGGCACGCGATGAAGCGCGAGCTTCAAAAAAGCACTGGCGTGCTAAGGTTGTTTTCGATATCATCACCGAGGTATTATTTTTTCGAGAGTATCATTCACGGTGTCGAAAGGGAATTGACGAATTCGGTCATGTCTTTGGGGATGGCTGTTATGGTAGGTACATACAGGCTGACACTTGACGCAAGTGGTGACGTTTTTACCGCCTTTCTTTCTTTTTTGGTGTCTTGAACCTCGTGACGTAGCGGGCACATGTCCAGCATCAGGCTCTGGGGATGACTCGTATTTCGAGACCTCGGAGCCCTACAGCCTGTAGCTAATCGTCCTATCGTAGGGTATGAATTAATTAGCCGCGACGTTTTTTGCGATGCGTCTTGATGTGGCAGACGCTGCGGTTCCCTTGAAAACCGAGACACGCCTTATTTGCCAGCTTTTCATGTGAACAGAATATATGAACTTTCTAGGAGGGAATCGTCTGTGTCCTAGATCTGTTGAACGCGTTGATGGCTTTGGAACTCCGCCGTAACAAGCCTGGATACGTGATGCCAAATATGCCCCTTTGAGCGTACGGGATAACTCAACTGTGATACCTAACCATCACTGATCTGTATTGAATTATACGCATTACAGGATAGAGGTGGCCCTACGGCCTGGGTGACTAGCCTGTTTCTCTGTTGGATATATATGGCGACACAATACGGGTAGAGCGAATGCCAAAGACTCTCGAACAAATTGAAGTTTTGCCTCTTAAGCTTCACAAGTGGGTAGTTGGTAGAATGTTCAGAAAACACTCCCAGTAAAGTGAGTCTATGGACAGGCGATCTGAATATTGGATCGCGTCTATAACCTGAAGTTGCCCACTGGTTCATTGCTTCGAACTTGAGCAATATGGAGGGGCGTGAATCCAGACGTTTCTACTATGAACTTATGTATATCAAGGTAAGCTTCATGGTCCGATGTTCAGTCTGACTTCAGATCAATTCAGGTACGTATATCGGTGAGTGTTCCCAACACTCGTTGTACAGACAATTTCAAGGCGAGGCAACGTCATCCGAGTACGTACTCAACGCAAAGAACAGGCTGGCTGTCATCACCTGACCTGCAGATGAGACCGGTCAGAAGGGCTCCTCCGCGGGTATATAAGCACCATTGTCCCCGATTCGTTGCTACCCGCTGAACTCTCCATCAGCCTGCATCAAATTCCTGCAAATGTCAGCATCTACTGACTCCGCGGCCAATATCTTCTTCTACCTTAGTCGAGCATATTTGAAAGAAGTCAAGCACAGCACCATTTCAGCTTCAAGCAGCAAAACATGGATCTCGAACAGTCTCAAGAATCAGAATCCCCCGATAATGCAAACTTTTGCAAAGGGTGCTCGGTTGTTGTGTTCGATGACAGCGCCGATGAGTTTTACGAAGACACGAACTGGAACAATGAGCCAACCCTGCGACATTCGCGAGAGGGAGACAAGATCTTTTACTTGGAACCCGTGCGCTACTGGAAAGATACACTGCCAGACTTGCCCCGAATGGCTGAATCCTCCAGGGCTGGGTGCCGGATGTGTGGTTTCATTCGGGAAGCGCTTGTCCAGCGAGACATAAGCTACGAGGGTCAGATTTATGTCCGCGGGGGATACCTCTATGGCGAAAAAGTAGATCTCAGAGAAGTTTCCGACATGGATACCAGCTTGGCTTTCTGGAGGTGCGAGGTTTATGCAGTTGAGAGAGGGACCGTGGTTGCAGTTCTCAATTTTGACATTGAGACTAGCAACGGTAAGTCGATTACCATTGCCCGCTATCATTTGAAACTAATAAATCTTTGAAAGATGACTTGCTCCAATGGCTGAGGTTGGACATGAAGCGCGCCCCAGAGCCTTTGGACCCGGAAAATATTGAATGGCTCAAGTCAGAGCTCCGGAGCTGCGAGGATCAATGCAGTCACCCAAAACCAGCATCGCCGTTCTTACCTACCAGGCTGATTGATATCGGTCAGAGCGAGGAGGATGTTCCTCGACTCGTCGTCATTGAAGACATGCTCAACTCACACATAGGAACTATTAATGATGTGGAGTATGCGGCACTGAGCTACTGCTGGGGAACCGAAGAAGACGCTCTACAGCAGGTCAAAACCACAAAAGACATAATGTCAACCTATTGCCAAGGGATGCCGCTTAGCTCCTTGAGCCCTGTCGTGCGGGACACTGTTAAAGTCTGCAGGGCCTTCGATATTCGATACCTCTGGGTTGACGCTCTTTGTATTATTCAAGGAGATAAGGCAGATTGGTATCGCGAGAGTCAGATGATGGGGCAGGTCTATTACTCTTGCTCTATGGCTATCTGCCCCATTTCTTCGCGGTCTTGTCTCGAAGGCTTTCTTGGAGCACGGTCCCAAGGTCTCCACGTCAATTTCCAATCATCGCGCCACAAGCATATCAGGGGCACCTACACCATCGTTCTCTCCTCTACCGACGTTGACGAAAAAAGAATGCGTAGAAGTCATCCAAACCCATCACTGCATGTGGACCTCGCCCGCTCCCAATGGAATCAGAGGGGCTGGACTTTCCAAGAGCGGATGCTTTCGCCTCGCTTGATCATTTTCGGGTCTTCCATGAGCCATTTTGTCTGCGAAAAGAGAACAAAATGTGAGACCGGGTATTCAACCTCTTTCACAATGTGGGGCAAGCTGCGATCCACACTAGACGAAGCCTTCGGAGCGGGGTTTGACGGGATGGAATGCTCGGCAAAAAGCATGCACGAGATGTACTCCCAGTGGACCTCTGTGAAAACCGTCCATTCCAAGATTTGGACATATCGTGAGGACATCTTTGCCGGGATTTCTGGTCTCGCCCAGGGATTCGCAGCGATTACCGGCGACACATATCTTGCAGGCTTATGGAAAAATGATTTACATCATCAGCTGCTTTGGTATATTTTCAGGCCGTTGTCCGACGATCTGGCCTCACTAGTGAACAGCATGCACCACGCAGACCCGTACATCGCGCCCTCATGGAGCTGGGCATCGCGGCAGGAATACCTCGAGGATTTCCCTAGCAGGAACTTTGCAATGTTAAGTACGACTGAAACGGCGGCTTCTGCCGCGCGAAAAAAAGGAAAATCGTTCTCTAAAGTCGTCACGAAACCCAGCCATGTCCGCCCCGAATTTTCCCTGATAGACTACCGCATGGACGTTCAAGGCAGCAACCCTTTTGGCCCTCTCAGCGGTGGCTTCCTTCAGTTTCAGGGCAGGATGTGCCGGTTTCCTTCAGATGTCAAAAGAGAGGCCTTGCACATTCGCAGTGACCGTCGTTCATCTTACGGGAAGTTTTCAGGCGGGATCGGGGTTTGCATGCTCGACTGGGGCGTCGACGAGGCGTCAGTGCAGAGGCCGGAGACCATGCGATTATTTCTGGTATCAAGCTGTTGCTCGGCAACGTCAAATTGGAGGAACTTGAAGTACCTCGCGGACTGCGACGATGTAGACTTTGACGACTGGATGCCGAGTGATGCAGAGGTAGGCGGCACTTCGTTTCCCAACGGCTATGAGAGCATCGAGACGTGCCGATACTGCGCGGATCCGACGCACAAGCGGAATGGCTGGGGTCTTGTTATCCATCCCACGGAAGAATCTGGATCGTATGTGCGAGTCGGGATGTTTGTCTTTTTTGCACACAAAGGGGGCATGGATCTCTTGGAGAAGGAGGCAGAGAAGATTATACTCGTGTAGCTCGCTCCACTTCCATCTTCATCTGTTTTGGACTCCTTTATCAAGGCAGCGCCTGGTCTGAGGGGACGAGCACAACCTCTGCGTTGCACATTGAGGGATTACAAAGCTGCACAGCGTCGCTGACTTTATATCCTCACTACTTGGCTCCCAACGTAATTATCTATCTTCTCCCTCGAAGGCCTATCTCGTGTACTCAAGAGAAATAATTGTCAGGCTTAGCCCCGAACAAAGTTCCTTTGCACATGTAGGCTGCGAAGTGGCGTTCTATCCATCCCAAGCTGAATTAACCAAGTGCTCTTTTCATCGGTTCACCACGAGCCATTCGGGATCTCGGTGGAGGCTAAGATGGTTCGAACTTGTCTCGAACGGAATATGGTTATTGGATATACGTCAACGTGTATCCAAGAAACAACACCGGTGTCATCTCGGGATGATGGTCTCGTCTTTCTTCTCGAACGATTCCAGTGAGGACTTGAAATCTACGCGGTCCTTCGCTGGAAGAATATCTAGCCTATTCTGTTTGTTTCGCCACGCCCAGTTACTGAGATCTGTAGGCACTATGACATGTGGTTACCCAAATGTCGTCAGGTTCAATGGGCACCCCTCATGCGCTCAACTCACGCAAAATCGACCAGACAGGGGAGTAAAACTTAGCCACGCGATTGACCGCGAGGTATCCTAGTTTCTCATGTTTGCGCAGCGCAGCCGCATTCCATCTAGAGTCACCTCCGTTCAGCTTCTCACAGCCTGACTAGCCAGCGCCGTTTGCGCCACCAGCCCTGTCTCACCTGGGCAATGCTTGCTTGCTCACAGAAGCAGGAAATCTCCTGCGAAGGCCGAGATCGACAAATATTCTACAAATAGAGGGTTCTAGGCCTGTCAACGTCAATCACACACGTGCATTTTCAACGTTGCAATATCGATAACCCACTCATAGGTCCTCTGGCTCAGAGTTCAGCACGTCACGTAGAGTGGGCTTTGAAAATTTCCTACAACACGAGTGCTTCAACCGGTCATTGAGAACAATTCAAGGCCGTCTGTATTGTACATTGTCCTTATCACATCACGTCTGCGGGGAGCAGGATAGTACGGTATTTCATCCGTGTTCGTCTTGCACCTCAGCCATGGCTTCAGTTGATTTTGGGTTTCTTGCCAAGAGGCTGAGGTTTAAGACAATCTGCAAGGATTCGGAAAAAAACTTGTTTGCACGTTGAGATTGCCGCATCGATAGCCTGTCTGACGAGCGACGCCCGAGAGACAGCTCATCCGCGGGACTGCCACAAGCTGTTGACTATCGCGGATGTAACCTGTTCCTCGTTGATTGACACAACGCGTCGGGTGCTAGCCCATTCACCAGCCGGTTGGATGCTATGGATATGCAGGTTGCATCAAGACTACGGCTGATTGAAAACCGGAATATCTGCACCCCTTGCCATAGGGACATGGAGCGAAGATCAGATTTCAGTCCCAAGGTTGATGATGAAGCCCTCTCTCCGAAGCCGCAGAATACGTATGACCTAAGACTCTCACAAAGGGAATTTGCTCCTGATTCGACGCTTCTTCACTCCCTTTGCTGCTCTGCGTTGAGTAGCGTCGAGTCCGTTGCCCCGGAGCCCTGTCCCTGTCCAATCTCTACTTGCAATCAAGGTTCAAACCTTAATTCTTCTGGTAGGTCAGCTCCAGCAATCAGTCAGACAGGCACGAGTGAACGGAAACATGCGGGACCTCGAACCCCATGCCTACTTGATCTGCGGGTCTGCTTCTGTTAGCCCTTTGGATCGATACCCACGACTGGGTGTACGTTTGCTGATGTATCGATGCTCAAGCTTCGACTGAACTCACCTCAATAACGGCAACGGTGACGATATCCGCCAGCTCTGGTGGCCTCACGAGCGTCGCGTCACCGACGTCGTCCTCATCACCGGCTGGCTTCGAATCCCGGCAGTTCGGGCATATCCACCGGCGTGATCGTTGTCATGAGCACCTGGACGTCTCTTGTGGCCATGGCCTTGTGCGCCGGCGACAGAAGGCTCTGCGGGCGGGCCGAGATGCCCAGGATCATGTGCATGAAGTCGATCATCCTGGTGAGCTGGACGGGAGTCTGCACGTTCCCCCAGGGGACGGTGGCGTATCATGCGAAACTGGAGCTGGAGGCGAGGAGTGCGGGGAGGGAGATGCCTGTTGAGCCCAAAGCGAGGAGGCATGAGTTGCACTGAAGGAATTTCTGATGCGTCGGTCAGGTTGGAGGTTGAATGGAGTGAAGAACATGTAAATGGACACACTGAACGCCATGGCGCAACGGTTTCTCGAGATGGACTAGATGATGCTCATGTAAAGTTATACGTAAGGCGATGAGAAAGAATCGCCGAGGCAATCTACTGTAGCAACCCGATACCTTTGGAGAGTCCTGATGATAGTCTTTGAGGAATTACTACACTTTTTAGACAAGCTACCTATTTTACAGTCACTTTTATGTGATTAGACGGCAAATCCTCCAGAGTTCTTTTGTCTCGGCTCGCTGCCTGCCTCGAAAGTGCCGTTCGGCAACAGCCTCACACCTTGCGCCGAGCTACCGCCCGGCGCCTCCCAGGTGACTGTGGTGCCCAAGCTGGCAAGGTAGCTCGAGGTGGCGTTGTCGTAAGCGTACTCAAAGGAGGCCGTGTTCGGGCTCAGCTGGTCATGGAAGCGAGGCTCCGCGAGGGACTGCGGCACGGTCAGGTTCCTGTCGAGGACGTTGTGGAGGTTCTGAATGACAGCCGTGATGATGCGGCTGCCGCCGGCCGAGCCGATGACGAAGTAGAGCTTGCCGTCGGGTTTCTCGACGATGACGGGGGCGATGGAGGAGAGGGGCCTCTTGCCAGACCGGATGTAGTTGGCGCGGCTGGGGATGAAGCCAAAGTGGTTGCTGGCGCCCGGAATGCTGAAGTCGTTCATCTGGTTGTTCATGATGACGCCCGTTTCCGGGACCATGAGCTGGGAGCCAAAGAGGAGGTTGACGGTCGTGGTGAGGGAGATGGCCATGCCGCTGGCGTCGGCGACGGCGATTTGGGAGGTGCCGTGGTTCTCGACCGTCTCGGTGCCTTCCGGGTTGTAGTAGGACACGTCAAAGGTGCGGGAGTCGGAGATCTTTGAGCGGATTTTGGCGCCGGTCTCGGGGGAGATCATGTTCTTTGTGTAGTCCGAGAGGCCATTGACGTGGAACGGGTCACCGAGCTTGGTGCGCTGGCCGTAGGCGAAACGCATGGCCTCGTCCAGCCTGTGCACAGTGGTGTTCCGCTCTGCCGGGTCGCCGAAGCCTTTGTAGCCCTCGACGATGTTGAGGGCGCTGAGGGCGACGATGCCGCCGGAGGGGGCGTTGCAGGCGGTGAGCTTGTAGCCCCTGTACGAGATCTGCGCGGGGTCCCTGATGGCGACCTTGTAGTCCCTGAGGTCTTCCAGGGTCATGATGCCTTTGGACTTTGTCAGGGCGTCGATGGTGGCTTTGGCGATGGGGCCGTTGTAGAAGGCGTCGGCGCCGTTGTCGGCGATTTTCTGAAGGGTTTCGGCGTAGCGCTTGCGCGTGATGATGTCGCCCAGCTTGAGAAGGGTGCCATGCGGTGCAAAGTCGATGGCCCACGAGGGGTCGTTGGTCAGGAACGAGTTGTTGGGGCTGACAGCGTTCATATATCGGATCAAGTCATGGTTGACGGGCCAGCCGTCGCGCGCCAGCTTGATCGCGGGCTTAAGCACCTCTGACCAATCCAGCTTGCCGTATCTGTGCAGTCTCTCCAAGCCACGGAGCTCACCAGGGACGCCACTGAGATGATGTCGTGTCAGTTTTGGTGTGACTTGTCTGCGCAGGCACGGGCAGGTTCACTACGAAGAGACAATGCTTACCTGGCGAGACCTCCGTACATGCTAGCGTCCGGGTCATCTTTGTACATATCCTCTTCGGCGGCTCTTGGGGCCTTCTCTCTGAAGTCGATGAACTCGTATTCGCCAGTCCTCGACCTCACGAGCATGAAGCCGCCGCCGGCGATGCTGCTGTGGTACATGCTTACGACGCCGACGCAGATGACGGTGCCGACCGTCGCGTCGGCGGCATTTCCTCCCAGCTCGAGGAGGTCGGTGCCGACCTTGCTGCAGATGGCCGACTCGGAGGCGACGGCGCCCAACTTCGGGATCGTGCTCTCGTGCGGGGCCGCGAGAGCGGGTTGGGTGGTGATGCCCAGCAGGAGCTGCGCGAGGGCAGCGGACGTCAGGGAGAACTTCATGGTGAACGGTTTGAACGAGGTTTACAAAGGCGTCTCTGTCTATTCGCAGCTCGGCGAGAAGGACAGCACGGCGTACCAGGTGGTCTTGGGGGGAAAGCGAGCGGCAGCTTTGGAACCAGAGACGGCTGGCAGAATCGAGATGATCAAGCTGAGTTGATTTCGCTCTTGGTGATGGGCAGAAGCTGCCAATCTTTAATACAGAGAGACGGCTACGGTCCATGGCGCAATCGAGCAGACTCGCCAACTTCGCCCACAACGCGAGGACGTTGTGGACCGGAGTCACCGACAGCCTCGTCGGGGGGGGGAAACATGGCAATGGCTTCAAACTTCATTTCGGCAGTCTGCAGATCAGGTCAGCGACGATCACCAACTGCGGCCTTTACGCCCTACCGCAATTTTTGTTAATATCAGATACGCCTCGTAGATGCTGCAAAGCAGCTCTGGAGTAGGTGTAGAGGTAGTCACCCATCGTACGGACAACCTGCAGAGAAGCCAACAGGGGAGGGGGTGGGGGGGCCAAGAAACAGCGAGTCAAGTGCGTGGGTGGCTGGGATTCTGGTCGGTTGTAGTTGGACTGTCGAGTACCTCATTGGTTCTTTGAGGGGGCAGACCACGAGGGAATTTAGGAAAAGTTTGGGAGAACAATCGAGCGAAATGCCGGAAAAGATTCCACTCCGCAAACATTCGGGCGGATTTCACCTGAATTCTCCCGCCTACTTTATTTTTTCCGGGTAGCTCGCGGCGACCCCGGCACCGGGGTCCGGGGAGAGAAAAAAGGTGGAGGGAGGATTCCTCCCCCGGTCACGATGGGTCCGCTCACGCTGCACGCCCAGATCACAATACTGAAGCTTGCGATTTATCAATGGCTCGCCTTGTCACGTTGTTGAAAGAAAGCGCGTCTTCATGAACAAACCGCTATAGATCGATTGATGTCCTATACTTTACTTCAATATCTAGAACTGCTCTCTACAGGTAGGCACTCGCACTTTGAGCGAATTAATGATGTTACAAAACGGGTTAACCAAGTGCCATGGAACAACATCCATCGGCGAGTCCTTAGCCATTGCGCATGGTTTACCTCATTAGCCCAAGCTTTTGGGGTGGAGTTTGGAAGTTTCCGTCACTCTACAAGCAATTTTTAGCTATGTTTACCTCAATCCGAACCACGCCATAAATGTATCTATCTATCTATCTATAGATAGATAGATATCACCATCACAATTTGCATTTGCAACACGATAGAACGGACTCCACAAGAGCCCTCAGAAATCTGCATCTAAACGTTCACTCGAATCGAGCCATCAGCCGCCCATGTGTGACCCATCAGCACAGCTGGAATTGGGCTTTCCCAAAAGCTGTCTCTGAATTCATACAAAGCCATGTAAACTTACTATGAAAACAATACGTTTCTCTGAACGGTGATGCCGCTGCCCGCTGGTGCGTGAGAAGTGGCCCGGGAGAGATTGTGGACGAGCCTAGGCAATGTATAATTAATTGCCCAGTAATAGCGGGCCCAGATTTGTGAACCGTTGACGAGCACGTCAAACTAGGATCAGATCGCACAATAAGCGGTACAGAGAACGTTTTTGTAAACAAACGCCCTCGAGTGAGAAATGGGAAAGAAATCATGTTGGATGGGCCTTAGAACAGGGGGCTCCAATTATAGCACCTGTCAGAATCGGAGGAGTCGCCGCGGAGCCAATCCAGCTATGTCCGCCTACAGCAGGGGAATAATTCAATTGACTCTCTTCCCAACCAGGCTCATAGGACTGGAGTGATTGATTTCTGGCATTCGCATAACTGTTGTCACGAGACTCAACCTCATCGTACTTCCTTGAATCCTAACTTGACTTGGTTTGTGAGCTACAGTCAACCTGCATACTATCATACCTCACCTACTCATCCTTGTGAAAACCCTCCATGTGGAAAGATGTACACTAAATCCTAGGGGAAACTTGTCATGGAAGTGTGGGAAGGCAGAATGATACCCATCCTAGGAGGGCGATTAGTTAAAAAGTTGTAGGAACCTCTGTAAATAGTGATCTCTTGAGAAGAGACAGACTTGGCTATAGTTGAGCCCAAATTTCTCAAATTCGAGGGACGTGGCGTAGTCGAGAACCTTGAAGGCTTCTACTCAAACAGTGCCGACTTGATCAGGAGGCGCAGGAAGACCAACGATGCCGAATTGTGACAGAAACCTCCCACCATTGGTAATAATGTTGACTGTTCAATGACACCCCATGGGTTAAAGGATTCTTTTTTAAGACTATTTAATTCACGAAGGGCAATATCATAACTGTATTAATGGTAACAAGGTGACATCGCAAGTAAAGAACGGTGGTAGGTGCGTTACACGGAATATGTCGACAGTTTCTCAATGCTTTCTACTATCACGTGCTTTGCCTCGGTCACTCCGAAGCTTGAACTAGCTACTGACGAATACGCTTGGAAAGTCACTCAGCACTGCTGAAAGAGCAGTGAACGATTGGTAGAAGTTCACCATGTAGCCGAATAATTATGCGATATACGTAAGGTACGTTGGGACGGACGATGAAACCACAGAGCTACGAAACTTGTGTAATCGCCGAGAGATCATAGTAGACTTTTTGTTGGAATTGATTCGAGATAGTTAAGTAGGAAAATTGGCTTCATTGAATCTCGGCTTTCGATACCTAAGGAACCAAAACATACATGTAAATCAACATGAAAGAACAACACTAAATTGACCGTGTCTAAGATGTATCACGACATCCATCAAATCTTCGCACCAAAGCTTTGAAACACCTCAAAGTTGAGGTAATGTATGCCAAACTCTGGACGTAGATCAGACAAAGCATAACTGGCCATTGCTTATCTTCAAGTATTTACTATGTAGATATGCAGGGAACAACCTCCTAAAATAAACATCTGCTAGAAAGTATACAGGCTGAAACAATAATGTACTGTACGATAACAAGAGACCAGACGCTATAGGCAGAGCATGGAGCGTGTGAAAGATCAGATCAAATCAATGAGCCGAATAGCCACCGTCGACGCATATAGTTTGCCCTGTGACAGTGGCACTCGCATCACTAGCCAGCCATATAGCCACTCCGGCAAAGTCCTCCGCCTTGCCATTACGTCCGATCATTGTCCGCGCCGCATGTGCCTCCGCCTTCTCCGTGTCCGCAAAGACCTCTTCCGTCATTGGAGTTTCCACAAGTCCCGGCGCGATGGCGTTGCACAGAACCCCGCTCGGCGACCAGGCCTCGGCTTGCGAGCGCGTAAGCGACACCAAGCCGCCCTTTGCTACACCATAGGCACCGCTGTTACCGAAAGCGCGGAATGACTGCTGGCTGGCGATGTTGATGATGCGTCCGCTTCCGCGCTCGGCCATTCCCGAGCCGAATGCTTGGCCCAGGGCGAACGGGGCAGTCAGGTTCGCGGCGATGGTGTAGTCCCAGTCTCCCTGTGTTATCCGTGACAAGGGCGGGCGGTTGTTCACACCTGCTGCGTTGACGAGGATGTCCGGTATGCCGTGTGTGGACTTGATGCGAGCGCTGGCGTGGTTGAGGTCTGCGAGGTTGGCGAGGTCCGCCGTGATTGACGTCGCGGGGACGCCGAGTTGTGTGAGCTGGTCGACTGTCGATGCGAGAGGTTGCGGTCTCCGTGCGATGAGTATGACTTTTGCGCCGGCTTGGCCCAGGGCGAGGGCGATTTCCTTTCCGATTCCTGAGCTGCCGCCTGTGACCACGGCTGTTCTGCCCGCCAGACTGAAGAGGCGATTGAGGTAGGCCGGTAGGGTGCTGAGATTTCTCGCCATTTCCTACGAGGTTTCTGTCTCAACAATTTTGTTAGGAAGGCTCTAGACGAATGATATAGACGGATTTCGAAGTAAAAGAAGGTTATTGCAAGGTCAACCTTGGCTTTTGGGGAGCGAGGGGTCTACATGTAGGGATCTTGATGTGTGACTCTAAGTAAGTGAGTGTGACTAACTGACCCTTGCCAGTCGATTCGGGAATTAGCGGTCCTAGGCGGGAGATTTCGCATGCAGCTACCGGCGTTCAGAAAAGACTTAACGCATACTAAGACGCCAGCAGCGTCCATTCTCCAACTTTCTGCGTAGAGAATTCGCACGTGATGGTGATTAATGTGCATGATAATGGGGAGTCGCTTTGGTTGATCAAATTTGCGACGGAGAGGTTGGCATGCATGCTCAAGCCGGATCGTCCTGCGAGTGACAAGGCTAAACACACCCGGCAGAGGTTGGAAGGTATTCTCAAAATAGACTTCGCAGCAAGTCTTGAGAAGAAAAGCTGCGATCATCAAGTCAAGAAATCTGCAAAACTATACGTAGAAAAGAAGGCTTTCCAGGTGTTTTCATCATTCCATCATTAGAATTCAACACAAAACTCACACCTACGATAGTCACCGTTGTACCCAAAATACTCCAGAATCCGCAAAAGGTGGACCATGACTTATTAGCGCCAGACTAGTTCGGGCGACGGGGTCAAATGCAGTGGCAGCTGTCAGTCTAGCTCCAGCATCGCCAATCCCAAATGCGGGGGTTGGCTCATTTGCAGTATTAGCGTGTGGCATCTCAGTCCTGCGTGGTCTGTTGGATTATTGGAATGCCGACTTTTGACTGTGTATCTAGCTTGATTGTCCAACTCGGTAGGGGGTTGGATCTCGATGCTCGAGAACCTCGTCTGAGGTTTACAAGTCCAATCTTGCTTAGAGTTCGAATAAAGACGACACTAGGGAGCTAGCACAACCGAAGATCGCACCGTTTTCAACGTGTTTGAGATAGTTCAATGGGAGCGCTGCGTGTAATTATGAAGGATTCATTGCCAAGGTCGATGAGTCTAGCCGAACCGGCTTCAATACATTCTCGATGATTGCTGAGCCCTGGAATGAAGAGCATAATTTGACGAAAAGACAAGACTTTTGTGATCGAATATAGCCCCTGAATAGAAGCTATGTATTGGCTTTTGTGAAGGGGCAGGAGACTGGCTCCGGATAGTTATTCAAACGATTATGCATATCACATTTGAAAAATTGGATTCAAAACTACGCGTTTTCATTTCTTGCCACGCTGCGATCTTGGGGAATTCTAACGCTTCGGGCTACAACTATCAAAATCAGTACCCCAGACTACCTAGCTCCCAAGTCATCATCATGAAGCAATCATCCCTCGTATCATCATCATCATTATCACTCTTCCATCCACTTCCCTCAAACCTTGAGCTCCAAAACTAGAACGGCGGCATGCAATTCAGGGCGGTATACAAGTTTTTGGGAGACGAGTAGAACATGAACGCGAACAGCCACAAATATCCAATCGTCTTCCCAATCTTGCCACTCGTCTTGTCGTAGAACCGAGGGAAGTAAGTCTGAAGACCATACATGAAGGCTGTTTCCGCAATCATCGCAAAATAATTCAACATCCACCACCAAATCTCCCAAACAACGTGGCACTCGAGGCCAGAAACATACTCGGTGCCCGCATGGAAGATTCCACTCATGAAGAAGATCAGTCCGTTCAACAACCATCGCTTCTTGCCCCGGAAGGGTCGTTGACCTGCACCAACTACAGTGAGGATCATCTCGCCGATGCCGTTGGTGGTACGGTAGATGAGCCGATCGAAGTACTTGCTCCAGAAACGGCGGAGGTTCCAGCCCTCGCGGATATCGCCGAATACCGGGGGCCACTCTTCGGGCTCATCGATATGAAGGGCTACGAAGAAGAGGGCCACTGTGGAGTGAAGGATGGTATACCAGTGAAAGGCGCGCCAAATGCCCTCGAACGCAAAGTAGCACCGGATCATGAACTCGCGTGGTTCGACCTCATTACGAATCAGACGGCGGAAGTAGGAGCGTTTATAGAGAGCAAAGTCGTCGTGGGTATATGAGGCGTATGTGTTCCAGAGGTAATCCATGATACGTTCCAAGACGAAGATGAGGGTGATTTTGGCAACGGTCGTCATTATCCAGCGGTTTCTAGGACTAAATGAGTTCCAGAAACGAGCCACCGGCTGGCTTACTTTTCTCCAGGTATGACGACTGGTTTGACGTTCAAGGCTCCGGAAATACTTGATTCCTTCAGTCAGATCCCTATTGTCGGTGGCCTCCTTCAAAGCCATATCCCTCTTTTTATCATCCGCGGCGTCTTTCTGAACTGCTGCATCATCGATCTTAGCCTTATTGGTCGCTTCTTCAAGTTGTCCCCTGACATCATCCTCTGCCTTCACCAAGTGGAGTACAGGAGCCGGTCGAGGAGTGTTGATGTAACGAGCGTTCCACAAGAGCTTATACGTGGCGAGTAAACGGTGTCTCCATGGGAGCTTCTTTTGTTCCTCTGTGACGGCAATCCCTTCCCACAATAGCATGACAGCTGCTCCCATGTTCTGGATGACGAGGACTTGAATAGTGGTGATTTTGACAGGGTAGAATAATGGTAAAATAGACAGTTGTTGAATAATACCAGCTGCAACGGCAATAGACGCGCCGACAAATGCGGTGCGATAGCGTCCTTTGGTGTTGAAAGCGGTGGCGAGGCAGGTCAAGTTGAGAAGATAAATCAGAGCTGGGTAGAAGAGCAAGTCCGTTTGAATCATTTGTATTTCCTCCCAGGCGTCCCAGAATATGTGGTTGACCAATGCTTCCCATATCCTAATCGGCTCGCCGTATACATAATTCCAGTCAGTATCCGTCCAATTCCATTCGAGGGCGTTATGGTTCCATGGGTTTGCCAGTTCTTCAAGGGCTGGCGGCCGAATATCCATAGCTGGAATGAATTCCACAGTAGGATTGCAATTCAGTCGTTTCCAGTATACGGCGGTAGAAGTGAATGTCAACTTTGGCTTTCGTTAGAGATCCCAGCGTTCGAAGACATGAGGAAATGAACATGAATGGATGCTGATTTATGATGGGCTGGGAGAGGGCTCTTTATGAACGAAATCCCGAAGCTTTTCCCGGGAATTATCAAAAGCGTTCCAAATCTGAACAATTTTTCCTAAGCTAGGCGCGGTGGCTGGTAGATGGCTCATTGATTGCTTCTTCACCGTGGATCCTCAAACTCTGCCAGACCGCACCATACATGGACCCAAAGCTACCCCTGGCAGGGATCAATGAAGATAGGAAACGGCCTTTATTATTCATCATCTCTTCAGTTCCCTCGTCAGCCCTTACTGTTTCCCTCTCCCTCGAATGCCATGATTAGCTTCAATTGAAAAATAACTAGAAGCTCGGAGTGAGCCGAAAAGATGCGTTATGTCTGCAATTGAGTTGGTCTGCACCGCCATGAACTACAAAGACCTTTTATACGGATATGCTAAAGATACACTGTCCTATGGCCTTGTACTGCTGCCAACTACACTAAGTCATTCATCAACTCGACACAGTCTCCCGTTCTCGTGAGGAAGCTCATAAGCAGTGATAACTTTCCAAAACTCATTGCAGACCGCGGTAGCAGCAAAAAAGACATCCTCCGGGTCCCACTTGTCTTTCAGCTCCAGCAAACGAGGGTACTTGCTATCACCGTAAAATGACTGTTGAAAATGCGGCTCCATTTTATCCGACTCAGCAAGGTACGAGCCAGCACCCGGAGAAACATCTCTCCAACGCTGCATATCTCCAAAAAGTGAAACCTTTGCGAGCTTCCAGCATTTCTTCCGCCGTTGCGTTGACAGACCACCTGGCGGACTGGAGAGCAAACAGGATGTTCTCGCGCCAGGCGGGGTTGACCGCGTTAGCCGGGTCATCGGGGCTGGTGGCTTTGATGTTGAGCCCAACAAAGACGTGGCTCGTCTCGAGCGAGGTGCGGATAGCGTCAAAAACTGCCTGCTTGAGCGCCTCGCTTTCAAAGTTCCTCCGGGGGACGAGACAGGAGCCGTTTTGGATGTTTAACTTTTCGACAGCCTCGAGGGGAAACAATACTTTCCAGGCAGGGTAGAATCTATCGTATTCAGTGATGTTGGGGTCGAAGGGAATCCCGAGACCGCGGAGCTTGCTGAACCATGGATCCAGCAGGGTAGTTACCTTGTCGGCTGTCTTGTTGGGCGCGAAGAAGGGTGTCATCTGGAACAGGAAATTTCCAGGGCTTGGGATGTTGTACAGCAAGAGGAATTACGAGTACGTTACGTTGTCCGCGTTGTGGATAAAGGAGTCAAAGTAACTGCGAACTCTGCTCCAAACGTCTCGTTGGATAAACCGTCCGCAGTGGAGAACTTGAATGCTGAAGCATTTGTTAAGAATTCCTGGAAGGCTTTGACCGTGACTGAGATTGCTACGCTAAACGTTGAGCAATCGCCACCTCGAAGGGCCCAGAAAGGTCCGAATTCTGGCAATGGTTTGTAGTCACGAGATCCCCATCGGCCGTCACAACCTCGAAGGCTAGGGCTTGGTCTGCTCCTGTGCCGTATATCGAACTCAGAGGGGAGTGGCCGCTACCCTGGATGTACCCCCCTTTCACCCCAACGGTCTAGGAACAGCCAGCTAGATACCGTTCAGTCTTCTTCTGGTTGACGTACCTGTCCTTCGCCACCAACAAGGACTCTTGTTTAGACGCCACCTTGTAAATTTCGAAAGCTTGAACGCCGGTTCCACAATTGAATGCACGATCCGAGTATCCCTCAATATTGTCGATGAACTCCTCGATGTACTCGACGCTCTTCAGATGATGTGTCCAGATACTTAGTGACTCTCCGCCACCTGACTTGCCTGAAAAGTCATGTCCCCTCCGCAGAAACGCTCAAGGTGTAACCTGGCGCAAGAATTGCCAGCTCCGTGTTCTTGATGACTAGTCTCACACCCGTCTCTTTCGCAAACCTAAAGCCTTCTTGCACATGTTTGTCTAAAGTGGCGTTAATAACATACGATGAGAATCCGCCCGTGGTGCAATTGCCAGAGTCTAAATGTTAGGTGGCAGAAAAGTGAGACCTTGGTAGACAGGTGAGAACATTTCGATGGGATCATCAAGGTGGGTGTAAGAGTTTGCCCAGTTTGCCGTCATGGTGGCGCAGGCGGCTTATTGCATTCGGGACCATTGTAGCATGCTGATGCCTTGTGGTCGTGGTTTGAGGAGACGATTGTCGACGCATTCATCGAGAGGCGCCCAAGCTTCGTCAGAGGGCCAGGAGGCATCACCTGGGTATACTCAACGAGCTGTTACGATATCTGCCGGTGCCAAGAGGGTGAACAGAAGTACCGTTGACAATCGCACAGCCATGGCCTGTCTATTATGCAATGTAGTTTATTCACAAAAACCTAGCAGATATCCTTCTCGAATCTTCCGAGGGAAAACCCGTACACCGTGGCGCGCATTTAAGAGATTATTCTGTCTTCAGCAACTGCCTTTCAGGAGTCGGACAAGTGCGGGGGATTCCCAACGTTACAATGGAAATGGCGAACCCTTAGTCGCCATTCCCCTGCCCTATTTAGCCAAGATGGCGATCTTCACAAGAAAAAGAGGAAATTCCCTCAGCGTGTCAGCGTCACACACGCGCTATTGACAATCTTCAAGCTTGATTCAATTCCTCATCTGTATCCAAACCCAATGGAATCTCAACGAGAGTCGGCAATGGATGCTGCGGTTTAGATGCGGAATTCGCTGGCAGATGGACTTCAAGCAGACTGGGCTAGTCTGCGACATGATACATGATGCGTCCTTAACACGGATTATACAAGACGGATATCTTATGTGAAAGTCAAAGCTCTTCGCCTTGCTTCATTTTGCTGACTCTAGCCTGATAGCTATACATTGATTGGAATGCTACTGGAAAAAATTATATTTGATGTGTAATGGTCGACTGGTCCTTCAACGCCGAAACTCCATGGCGACAGCTGATCCCAAACCACATGCCATCCCGGCAATCTGATAGCTCGGAAGTTGTGGCGCTAATTTTCGGATAATTTATGTTCAACTCTGTGTCCACTAGCTTTACTTCGTGTATGTGATAATAATGACTTCAGACACTGTTACAGCCGAGCCTATCGAAACTGAATTGCTTGAGCGTTGCTGCTGTGCCGGTGGGAACTCAGTCGTGTTAAGCTGCCTCAGCAGCCCCATTGAGACCGTAGCTCTCGGTTTGGTGGTTGTTTCCATAAGCGTTGCCGCTATGATTCGCATTCGAATCTCCAAGTCCGCTTCCGCCGTTGACTGAGTTTTGATTTCCGTTCCAGGTTTGGGTCGTTTGGTTCGTCGGGATTTGTACCCAGACGATAGCTTTCCTGGTGAGGTCCTTTCCATGAAGGCACATCATCCCCACCACGGCCCGCTTCATTGTATAACCTGTCATGAAGTCGGCAATCTTTCGAACTTCCTCCCTCGTCAAACCCTCGACGTAGATTCCTGCTTGTCCAAACAGGGGGTTCGCTTGGGGGTTCAGATCGTTGGGGTATCCGCAAAAAGCTGCTTGTTTGAAGCGGTACCGTTTTCTGATGGAATTGGCTGGTTGGTCGGTGCTATGTAGGAGGTTGAAGAAGTGTGCAGTGTTTGAAAGGAACCCCTGCAGAAAGACAGAAAATGTGTCTGTGGTGGATGAAGTGGTAGACATCGTGGAGGTTGAGAGTAATCAATTCGTTTTCAATTGTAGACACGTAACTTTTCGGGGAGTGAACTTGAAACGTAAAAAAATAAGTCGAGCGTCAGATAGATATATCAAGCTTTGGACTTTATATGCTGTCGAGACGAACAATCAATCTTATAACGTGTGAAAGCTGTGGTCTACCAAATAACCTTCCCGCTTTATATGGTAATGGTAGTACAGTTTTGCCGATGAAATGCTCGTCAAGTGGCATACGCTGTTCGTATCAAGACGTTTTACGGTCTAAGCCATGGCATTGGCAGTAAGGCATCCACCAGTTACGCCCCACAGCCGAAAGTTTTAAGTTGCTTTCCCACATGCTTCAAGGTTGGACTGCGTGGCTGAAACTCAAAACGGGCCGGGGGGATTCCTTCGAGTATAGCCGGATGATGGATATAGCACTGGTCAGTGATACATGGACGGCTCGGCCGGCTTGTTGAGGGAATGAATTTGGAAAATATTGAGCTGCTGAAGTGAAGAGTCATGGCACATGATGGAAGACTGTGAGAATTAGAAGAGGATCACGCATCTGTGGCCAAAATTTGGAAAGAATTGTTGGAGGCCGGTCCACACCGTCCCGTCTGCCGGCAGCCACAGCTGCGGCACGGAATCGGAGATAGCTGGTTTTTGGTACCATTGACACGGGATATACTGGAAAACCATTATTTGTTTCTCCATTCCTCATTCCTTGTGTAGAAGCAAAGGTTGTAGGTGCCAACGGAGAATGGCAATGAGAATTCACATGCGCCATTCATCATTATCTGCTGCGATGGCCTCCGTTCAGGAAAATGACCCCATGATTAACCTCGTCACGTGTGATCTGGTGGAATTTGATTCATCTACATTTACTGGTTTTTAGAGTTTCTCTTTCCTGCCGTCAACCCCTCCCC